ATCGTGGGTAAACTACGGATTGGGGGTGCTCCTCCGGGGGGGGGATATGTCTAATACCCCACCATGGACCTCACACCTCTGTACAAGGCTCTGATGGCCACACAAGAACCACAGTAGAAGTGTAAAGATGATGCACGAAGAGTGGCCTTCAGCACGGTGGAGACGAGAGCAGAAACAATCGACATGACAACACAGCCGTGCATGTCCTGGCTCGATTGGTCCCTTGTGGGCGGAGATACAGACGGGGGGGGTATTTAGACAATAATCCCCCCCGGGGGGCAGGTTGGGGCAACGGATATATTTTGCCCATCAGCCATGGCTGCACCAAACCTGCACCGTTTCCGCCGTACGATGTATCTCGCGATAGCTCCACAACACAGCAACTCAGCCGTGCATGCCCCGGCTCGATTGGTGCCTTGTGGGCGGAGATACAGAAGGGGGGGTGTTTAGACACTAACTAATCCCCCCCCGGGGGCAACAGATATATTTTGCCCATCGCTGTACCAAACGTGCACTGTTTCCGCTGTACGATGTATCTCGCGGTAGCCCCACAACACAGCAACACAGCCGTGCATACCCTGGCTCGATTGGTGCCTTGTGGGCGGACATACAGACGGGGGGGTGTTAAGAGACTAACCCCCCCCCGGGGGGCAGGTTGGGGCACCATAATATATATTTTGCCCATCAGCCATGGCTGCACCAAACGTGCACCGTTTCCGCTGTACGATGTATCTCGCGATAGCCCTACATCACAGCAACACAGCCGTGCATGTCCTGGCTCGATTGGTGCCTTATGGGCGGAGATACAGACGGGGGGGTGTTTAGACACTACATAGACTATGTAATTCCGGGGGATTTACCTCCGGGGAGGGATTTAGACACGCCGTTTAAACTTGACTCGATCGGTCTGTGGGTGGGAAATCCAAGGGGAGGAGAAACAACGAACTCCGGGGATGGATGCGCATAGGGCGGTACATTGCTGCTGTGTGGCTTGCCTGCTCGATGACGTATCCCCGGCCTTCATAATAATAGGAAAGCATGGTTTTTCCGCATTTTCAGTGCGCGCCATCTATCTCGTGTGTGACACGTAGTTGATGAGGCGAAGTTTTTCCTGCTCCTCCTGTGCTCCCGTGGCGACTCTCTTACCGCCTGCTTGATGTATGTGTGCCTCTCGATCTTCTTTTGTTTCAGAGGGGAGCCACTGCGGGATTCATTTCGCCCGTTCTGCTTGCATCGGGACCCTCCCGAGCCAAGGGGCCCTCCATATGGAAATATCGGAACACCCCTGGGTTACGCTGCAATCTTGGTCGCTGGGGGGGGGGGGGGGGGGGGATGGGCCTTATATGTCCCCGGAGGGGACATTTTGACCAAATCCCCGGGGTTTCGACAATTTTCGCGCGCTTTATTCACCGCGCTCGCGCGCTCGCGCGTACGGCAACCTACACACAGCCAGTTTGCGAGCGTATCTTGGAGGCCATGTCTGCCGCCGAACGAACCACTGCGCGAGGAATAGGGCAGTGCCACACATAGTACTTGTAGCATCCCTCAGGTCAAGAGGGACGCCGGAGTATCTCCCGTCCATGTACCAACAATTGTTGCCCCCTGTTTGGCTATTTTTTTTCTCCTTTTTGTCGTGGGTCGGTTTGTGTCGGACAATACTAACCCTATGTTAAGGATTGCCCGATTCGCAGGGTACATGTCGATTGACATTTATTACCAAAATCGGTACACCTTCGCATACATATGGCGTCAGCAGGATACTGGTTCGAATCTCCTTGGGTGCACGTTTTTTCTCCTGACTTCGACATTTTCCCATGGACCCAAGCCGGTCGCCCCGGTGGTCTAGTTGGTAGCCTCGTAACCTTCTAGAGGTCAGTCAGGTCAGGGGTTCGAATCCCGGCGTAGGCGAGCTTTTCTTGCAAAGTGAGTTTTTCTCTCGCTTCCGCTCCTGGCCAAGTGGATAGCGCTAGTTCGTGTGTACACAGAGGGAAGAGAGTGCTGAACTCTTCTCGCATTAAAAATTGAAGGCGAAGTACCGCAGGAGGGGAGGGTAGAGAGAGGCTCTTCTGTGTGACCACGGGTTGGAATAAACGGCACTAGTGCTGTGAGCGCTGATTTGAGGTGAAGACCAAAAAAAAAAAAAATGTGTGTCAGTCCTGAGAACACCTCTTGGAATCGATCCTATAAAGAACCTTGTGACACTTCCATCGAATTACCCGTCCTGGCCACAAGAGGTTCCCAGTTGAGGGTAAATTCTGTGGGTGGAGAGTGTTAGGGAGGGCCCGATTCGCAGGGTATCCGTCGATTGACTTTTTTTACCAGAATCGGTACACCTTCTTCGCACCTAATCCATCCTCGATCAACGGTTAGAAAACGTGCATGCTTCAAGTGTTTGTGATGTTTCTGGGTTGAGAACACGGTCATCTTGTCACGGTGGCGATCTACGATACCAGCTTGTCTTGGTGGGCTGCAATTTTTTTAGCCCACTTGAATGATTGCCGATATGCCGTTCACAGCTGATGATGAGTATTTCTTTATTGTCGTGCCGAAACCAAAGGTAGGTTTGAAACGATAATAACAGCACAGTGCACGTCAACACTCGAGAGTAGAAGCGCATCAAACTTCTTTGGAGGTGCTCTCAACTCAAGACACGAGGACAAATCTTTTTGATCCTGTTCTCACACACACGTTGTAAATAAATAAATACTTCAACCCATGGACGGATGGATGGGTCCCTCTCTCTCTCTACACTATGTTGCTCACCGAACTTCGAACCCTGCGTGCGTGTCGTGTGAGACCCTCAACAGGTTGCACTCTCCTTGGGTTTCTATTTTGTGTGACCAACCGCTGGCGAAACAATCAAAACAAATTAACACGTCACGGATATCCGATTTATCGACAAGATTGTGTTCCCACAAGAGATAGGTCTTATTATATATCCAAAAAATCCTCCCTCCAAGCATGTTGGTCGGGTAGATTAGACTGGTACACATATATGTACAGCAGTAGGGGGGCGACCCTCCCACTAGATGTGCCCAACGTGTTGCTGTGTGTTCACTCCACCGTAGTTGACCGCCTGACTTCGTCAGGTCGACGCTCTGCTTGCACACGGTGCCTATCACCGTGTGCAAGCGTGCAGCCTAAACCCCCTATATTGCGCTGCAATCTTGGCCCGGGGGGGGGGGGCGGGCGGCTGGGGTGTTCCGATATTTCCATATGGAGGGCCCCTTGCCCGAGCAACATCCCGTTCGACTGTGGGTATATCTCGAATGGGTAGTCTTTCTGTGTGTGTTTTTATTATTCCTTAATTATTTCGGTGTGTATGTATGTATGTACGGTATGTATGTATGTATGTATGTATGTGTTTGCGGATGCTCCGCCTCCTTCCTGCTGTTTCTCCACGACGAGGTGTTGCAGCTACACGTGATTCATCTTCATTCAATAGCACAGCCAGAGGAAGAACAGGACACCTTTGATTCCTTCGGCGGTGCTCGCCTTCCACTTCTACAACTTGCCGTGAAACTGCTGCGGGTCAGAGCGAGGAGTGATGGTGATGAGAACAGGCACCAACATCAATAAAGTACGTACGTGAGAAGAGCAATGCATCTGCCCATTCTCTACATTCACCTCTGAAAAGCAGCCGTTAGGATCTTATTGAAAAGTCCGCCTGGCAACCTCGTGCAGGCTGATGGCATACGCTGTGCATGTACAAGCCGTGAACCAGAACTCAAACGTTGAACTGGCGGCACGGACTGCATGCAAACTGGGATACGCGAAAGATTGACTGACGAAGTAAGGGAAATCTGCGTTTTGTGAGAAGCGGCAGAAATAAACCGCTGGCCAATAAGAAAGCAGGAAGTGGACGAGTGTGTTGATTCCTGTTTTCAGTATACTCGCTTCGCCGTGTTTACCGCGGGCGAGCGAGAGCACGTGTGTGTGCTTGTGGTGGCCAAGGGTTGTTTCTGCCGTGACGTTTCGCTTCGCCGTGTTTACCGCGGGCGAGCGAGAGCACGTGTGTGTGCTTGTGGTGGCCAAGGGTTGTTTCTGCCGTGAGGGTTGTTTCTGCCGTGTGTGTGCTTGTGGTGGCCAAGGGTTGTTTCTGCCGTGACGCACGTGTGTGTGCTTGTGGTGGCCAAGGGTTGTTTCTGCCGTGACGTTTTTCTTTTTGTCTCCGGGGCGATATGACTTTGAATCCAAATCGCGGAGGGCCGATTGCTGCCGGCGGGATTCGTACGTCGGTGGATGACTCCATCGCCGACGGCGGCGGCAGCAGCGGTGGTGGCGGCGCCCCTCCCTCTGCTGCGGTGGCGGGCGCGGCTGCCGCAATGGCGTTGGCAGCCCAGCAGGACCAGCAGGGCCCGCCGCCGCAGCAACAGCAGCAGCCGCAGCAGCAGCCGCAACAGCAGCAGCAGCAGCAGCAGCAGCAGCAGCAGCAACTTCAACGTCAGCAGCAAGACGCAACAGCTGGGGCCGCCGCCGCGGCGGGGTCGGCGGTCAGCGTGGTTGCGGCACGGCGGACCGACGGCATGGCTGGTTTATCCGTGGAGGGCCCTGGTGGGTCGTCTGCGGTGGCTGGTGTGAGCGTCGATGAGACAGCAAGGCTGGGTTCCCGAGCGCTTGGGGCCGCGGCGTTGGCGGCGGCGGGCGTGGGCGTCGATCGAGGGGCGTGTGTGCCCGGAGCTGTCTAGTCGTTGCTACCAGGTGATGTCTCGTTTATAGGTCGATTGCGGGTTCGCGTGAACTTTGCGTGTGGCGATCTCGTGTGTCTGCTTTAGCGGCGGTGTGTTCATCCTCCGATATGGGTGTGGCTCTTCGTGAGGTGACTTCCGCTGGTTCCGCCTTGCTTAGACAGTGTGGGGGGCGTATTGAAGTGCTCGTGGCGGCCGGTGGTGCCGGCTTCTTTGCGCCCCATGTCGATGTTGTCGATTGCGGGTTCGCGTGAACTTTGCGTGTGGCGATCTCGTGTGTCTGCTTTAGCGGCGGTGTGTTCACCCTCCGATATGGGTGTGGGTCTTCGTGAGGTGGCTTCCGCTGGTTCCACCTTGCTTAGACAGTGTGGGGGGCGTATTGAAGTGCTCGTGGCGGCCGGTGGTGCCGGCTTCTTTGCGCCCCATGTCGACGTTGCGTCGGTTCGTGAATTTTTGGGGGTCGCGAAACGTTTTCGGCACATTGACAAACTCCTCCGCGTGTTGTGTCCTGGCGCTCCCGAGGGGTTGTCACGACGCCGAATAAAAAGTACGGCAACCATTCCAGCATTTTACCATACACTTCGCAGATTACTGACAAGATCGTTTCGGATGTTACGTTCGGTCGTGCTCTTGTCTTCGACGTGCAGTTCATCCGTGAAATTTTGGGTGTGCGTGTTTCCCCCCTTGGGGTGGTGGAAGATCCGAAATTCCGCATCATTCATGATCTCACATTCACAGCGGCTGGTGCGTCGTCTAGCGCCCATGCAGATACAGATTTTGATCGTGCCCCCGAGTGTCCGTATGGGACATGTATTTTTCGATATCTTGTCGCGCGTCCTCTTTTTGCGCCAATTGCACGGGCCACATCTCGAGATTTTGCTCTGTCGTGTTGACGTGCGTGAGGCTTTTCGTCAAGTGTTGGTCGACCCTTCGTGGGACCATTTCCGTCTGCTGGGACACCGGGGGCCAAACGATCCTCCGTTGCTGTCTGATGCAAAGAAGATAACCGATTTTTCGACACGTTTGGAGGTGTTGGGATGGATTTTGGACACGCAAACTCTCACAGTGACCATGCCTCTGCGAAAACAACAGAAATTACATCGTTTGTTGGGCGAGTGGCCACAGACGCGCCCGTCCCGTCGCGGAATTGACCGGTTTTTCTTCTTCGCGTGTCTTTTGCCTTGCGTCCAGGCAAATATTTCGTCGGCTGTCTGTTGGTTGATGCCGGCATGCCGCAATCCGAAGTGTTCCCTTCACGTGTTTCTAACCCCGCTCGGCGTGTCGTGTTGGGCCCCATGTTTCACGATGATTTGGATTTCGGCGCTGGTTTGTGCAGCGAGGTCTGGCGTCGCGTGGCGGACAGTTGTGTGCACCGATGTACAATGTGGTGCTTCGCCCTCCGGTAATGGCCGTGTTTGCCGATGCGTCCAAAACAGCGTTCGGAGCATACTGTGTGCAAACTGGGTGTTATTCCGGCGTGATTTGACGTGTGACGAGCAGTCCCGTGTTGTGGGGTCTAGCAAGTCTGTATCCGAGTGTCCCGATGTCAGTATCAATGTTCTTGAGCTACTCGGCATGGTCGCTGCGGCGTGGGTGTTGATCGTGCAACAGCGTCACGAGCCGATGTCGGCCGGTGACTGCATCCAGTTGCGAGGAGACAATGAAGCGAGTGTGGCATGGATTGAGCGGTGTCGCGGAGGCAAGGAGCCGCGGTCCGGCGCGCTCATGCGGATGCTGGGGGCGATTGAAGTGTCTAGCGGGTGGCTTTTCCACTCGTCCCATGTGCCTGGTGTGCTCAGTTCGCTTGCCGATGGTGTTTCTCGCTGGCCTGCCGCTGATGTGTACAACAACCTTTGTGCCGCTGCCCCCCATGTGCGATGGCAGGAAGTGGAGTTGAATCGAGCCGGGCAAGAGATGTGCTCTGCCGTGCTGGGGCCAGCCTCGTCCGCCAGTCACTTGCGCGAACGTCTGAACGAACTCACCTGGACCTTTTTGGAGGCTCGGTGAAACATCGTGTGGCCGTTGTGTATCGGCCGGTGTTTATTGCTGCTGAGACTGTTCCGCGTGATGTCGTTGCTCAATTGGTTGAGTACGTCGCGTATAGTTTTTCCGTTTTGGGCCTGCAAAACTCGACGATTGCTATAATAGTCACCTGTCCGCTGTTAAGTTTTTCCATCGTGTGTCGGGTGAAGGGGAGCTTGATACGCAGCATCCGCTGATTCGTTGTGCTTTACGTGGAGCGGCGCGGGGGCATGCCGACGTGGGAACACAGCAGCGGTTGCGGCGGCCGGTGTCTTGGGCGATGTTGCAACAGGGGAGTTCGTTGGTGCCTCAATGGGGCGTAGGCGGGCGTGTTTTGTGTCTTGCGCTGAGTGCCTCTTTCTTCTTTCTGACGCGAGCATCTGAGATGTTTGCGGTGTCGAAATTGTCCATGCATGAGGTTCATGGGTTGCGTCGGGGGGACGTAGCGTTTTTTCGGGGGGCGGTCCAGCTCTTGCAGTCGGCGCAGTGGCCGTTGGCCGATCGCGTGGAGGTACGTTTTCGTTCGTCCAACGGGGACCAGTTTCGGAAAGGGGCGGTTTGTACGTGTACACGGCAAGGTCCGTGCCGTGGAGTCGACCGAGGGGGTGGTGCCGTGGATGTCATGGTGGAGCTGCTTTCTCTGTATACGTTTCTGCCTTCGCATGCGCCTCTAGTGGCTTTTGGTGTTGGTCGGGACCAGTGGGCCATGTGGACTAAGTGTCAGGCTGTTGTGGCCCTTCGCCAAGTGGTTGCGTTGGCGGGTTTGCAGCCCGAGGAGTACGCGCTGCACTCCCTTCGTATTGGGGGCGCAACTTTCTTGGCGGCGGGGGGTGCATCGCCGGAGTTTCTTCGTGGAGAAGGGCGATGGTCGGGGGAGAGTAGTTACCAGTGTTATGTTCGGAATGTTGGGGGTGATGCTTCGTGGGTGTCAGAGGTGTTGGCGAACAAGGAGAAGGTGACTACACAGCCAGGGCAGGGTACCCGATGGGGTGACGTGTGAAGGGGTTCTGTGGCGCGTGGCGTATGTCGAGGTCCTTGTCGTACCGATGTTATTTTGCTGTACATTGTGTATGCCGTATATATTGTGTGTCGTACATAAAGTGTGTTGTGCATACATGTATGCGATATATGTTGCGCATGAAAAAAGGGGGGGGGGGGGATCAGTATGGCGCACCAGCCTTAGGTTTGGGGGCAGACAGAGTTTATATATTTCTGTCCGTTGGGTGGCTGATGTTTATACTGATCGTAAGGAGTAGACCGGGGGCGTGTGTGGTGTGTTGCCCTTCCTGGTCTTCGCTCTTTTCCCCTCCCCCTTGGCGAGCAAAGGGGGTACGCAAAATAATGACAAATTTCGAAAGCATCGAGAAAAGCGAAAGATTGACTGACGAAGTAAGGGAAATCTGCGTTTTGTGAGAAGCGGCAGAAATAAACCGCTGGCCAATAAGAAAGCAGGAAGTGGACGAGTGTGTTGATTCCTGTTTTCAGTATACTCGCTTCGCCGTGTTTACCGCGGGCGAGCGAGAGCACGTGTGTGTGCTTGTGGTGGCCAAGGGTTGTTTCTGCCGTGACGTTTCTTTTTCCCACCCACCCACCCTTGCTTTTGGGGGTGTCAGTGGACATGGAAATCGGAGCGGCGGCGTTGTGTCCAATGTGATTGCCTGTCGGGGGGATTCACTGTGTAGCCGCAGTCGGGGTCGCGTGTGCCTGTGCTGGGCGCGGTTCCGAGGTGCTCGTCCCATTTCATTTTTTTTTTTAATGGGATGTGTGTGTATCGCATTTACTTCAGGTTGATATATGCAGGACGCATGTTGGTGTGTGTATCGGACCGTTGCATGGTTGGGGGCGTGCACTCTTGGCTGCTGTGTGTGGCTGCGTTGGTGCTGCGCGCTTCCCCGTTGCGTGCGTTACGAGTCTGATTGATTGGTGGACACCCGTATATATTATATGATTAATTGTACGTGGGGTCCTGGCGACATGTGTGTTTTTTTCTGCAGTGCGATGGAGTGTCAGGGGAACAGAGAGTAGCGAGAGACGGGAAAATGGTTTTTTCTTGGTGGCCCGAGTGTTTCGCCGAGTGGCGATGTTAATTAATGTTGATGGGCCTTGTGGGGTTCTCTCGTGGTTTCAGTATGAACAAATTGGTGTGGTTATCAGGGGGGCAGACAGAGTTTATATATTTCTGTCCGTTGGGTGGCTGATGTTTATACTGATCGTAAGGAGTAGACCGGGGGCGTGTGTGGTGTGTTGCCCTTCCTGGTCTTCGCTCTTTTCCCCTCCCCCTTGGCGAGCAAAGGGGGTACGCAAAATAATGACAAATTTCGAAAGCATCGAGAAAACATACTGTACCCCGAAAAAGAAAAAGATTGCTGCCCTCCCTCCCCCTACCTCTTTGGTGTACATATCTGCGTCACCCCTAGCCGGTATTTGCGGACGGTCTGTCTGTTCCGTCCAGGACGTGTCGCGCAACATATGCTCCGCGTCCACGGAACACGTATACGCGGTGAACCTCCACCCCTCACTTGAAAGGGCGGCGTCTGTGTGGTGCGTCTTGTGATTGTGGGTGGGTGGCAGGCACTTCGGGCAGCGGTGGTACGCACGTGTACCTGCCAAGCTCACCCAGCTCAGGTTATCACGTTATTGTTGTCAACAATTTCTCGACATTTTGCTTCGGCACGTGGTACAGCAGTACATCTACCCGCGTAGGCGACAGCGTGTGTGTGTGTACACAAGCACCACCAAGATGTTCCAGAAAGACATGGGCGAGGAGGGAGAGGCCGCGCCGCTGCTGCGAGCAGGTCGCCCTTACGGGAGTAGCGAGCGAGCAGAGAGAGGTTCCTCCGTCCAGCAACCAGCCGCGTCGGAGGCAGGTCATCAGCAGCACGAGGATGTTGGTCAAGCCAGGAGGAAACGACGTCGCGTCGAGCCGGTCGCCGCGCTATCGCGGGCGGGCTCTGGCCCCTTGCTGCTGGCGATGGTGTCGGCAATAGGCGCCGCGTTGTTGGTGATCGGCGTGGGTTTCATGTCAGCACCTGATACGATCGCCGGCGCCTCGCGGCAACGAGGAGCGGATACGAGGGCGAGCCTGGCAACATCACCAGCGGCGGCAGGGATTGCGGTAGGCGGTGCGGTAGAAGGAGGGCAGAACAATGGCGCCGCCGCTGCTGCTGCTGCTGCTGCTGGCGAGGGTGGTGGTAGCACGGCAGCAATGGGGGGCTGGAGATCTCAAGCAAACTGGGCATCATCAGGTACAGCAGTACTTGTACGGCGGTAGGTGGCATCACATCATGTTGCCTTGTAGCACGTTACAAGCGCAGCAGCAAGTTTTTTTCTCCCATGTAAACATTGTCTCACAGAAAGACGCCAGTCTGTTTCAGCTACCAACGGGTTTGGTATGGTACTGTGTGTATCAGAGAACCGAACTACAGTAGGGTTTTCCCCGCTCTGGTAACACACACCCGTTCCACTTGCCCATGCGTGAACACACCTAGGACTCTATCGTACATACGTATCATGATAGCCCAAGGACTACAGCAGTATCACCATATACTTGTACATTGTAGAGGTACACACCCCGTGTGTGCCCAAAAATTCACAGGCACACTAAACCGGACCGGCACTTTTCAAAGTACACCAGTGGTCGCCACGGTTGTTTTCAGCTGGTTAGATCATTGAAGAGAAATCCCAGTTTATAGAGTTCAACTGGTTTGTCACGCCTCTTGGGCGATAATTAGAGATAGATTGCCATTATCCCCACGTTGCAGCACATGAAGTCTCTCTCGTGCACGTCTGTTTTGCTTTCCTCGACCCGTGTTTGCTCGTCGACGCTACATCCTTAGCCTCACAAACATGGCGTTGTGCATTGTGCATGCTGCATCACTCTTCTTGCGTGGCGATATCCTCGACTGAACAACAAGTTTACAATAATAATAATAGTCTTGTGCTATGTATACATTCCCCCTATTAGTACAATGGCGGACGCACTACTGTACGGCTGACCCCGAGGAGCTGTCCGTATCTGCTTGTTCGTTCAGCCTGATCGAGCTCGTGTTTTTGATTCATCTGAGACTAAGGCTAACGACCCGATGAACCCGACACATTATTAGGAATCTGCCTCATTTTTTTTTTTCAGAAAAGGGATTATTTTCATGGCTCGCTGCTTGTTGTTTCATGGTATTCAGCCACGAGTGGGCACAACAAGGCGCTGACTGAAAGAGATGAAAGTGCGGATGGAGCGCTACCTACCTTACCTACAGACACACAGCGGGCGCTTTGTTAGCTGCCCTTGAAACACAAACGTGATATGCGGGGTGTGACAAGCATACAGCAGTCGACATTGACATTGTCGTGAGATGACTATTAGTATTAAGAGGCGCTAGACGGGGAATAATGTGTGCGCCGCTCCTCGCCCATTCCATAGTATTTCGCTAGGTGTGTATGCGCGTGTGCGTGTCCTTACGCCTTTCTGCGACCGCACTTGACTGCTTCTCGTCTCCGTCACTGCCAAAAGAATTACAATTACCCTCAAAACATCGGTATCGCTTGCATCCCAACTACTACTGACTGTGTGTGTGTTATCTTTGGTCTTGTGCATACATGGTGAAGTAGTGAATGGGAGAGTGTGTGCATTCTCCTGGCCATGGCTATTTTTTTGCGTGTCGACTTCCGCCATACGCGCTCCCCGTCCTTGGACCCTTCGCTGCTTGTCGTTATTCCAGACCAAACCTCCTGCCTAGATGGAATACTCCCAAGCCATGTGACCGTTCCCCACGTCACTCGACGCATTTTTCAGGCATTGCCGTTAACGGCAACGGCGATGGTGGTCCTGGTTCCGTGAGCACCTCCAAGCCGAACGTCTTCTTCTTCCTTATAGACGACATGGGTTTCGGGGACATGGGTTACCAATCCACCGACCTGTCCGAGATCACACCTAACCTCGATGCGCTTGCCGCGGGCGGGGTAAAGGCAAGAATTTATCAGCTGGAATGTATTCACTCACAAGGTTTTCGTTTGTTGTGTGGGGGGCATCTACAGCTTTTAGCTTTCTTTGAGCACCTGTAGTGTTGCAGTAGGCCCCGCCAGGGGGCACGCCGGGCAGGGATATCGACGCGCTCGCGGGGAGTGCACGAGGGAGGACAAGGCTTGTATTTTTTTCAACTCAAAGGGCTTGCAAAGAAAGAGTTTTTCCCAGAGTTGGGTCGTATTTTGTGTCGTAGAGGATCCTTTTCGTGCTCGGGTGTCGTTTGTTTCGTTGTTTAGTTCTTGTTTCACTCCTTCATTTTCTGTGCTGAATATCTTCCTCCCACTTTTGCAATGATGTTTTTGCAGCATATGTAGCGCGCGCAGCGGCTTTTGGTCCGCATTCTTTGGTTGCTTCCTCTCTATTCTCTTTTTGGCACCACACGAACCCCGACCGATTGGTTGGCTGTCGGATGTAATCACGTGAACGCCCTGACCCGACCATCTAGTCGTGTTGAGCAGGAAGGAGCATGCTTGGCAAGGGAGATTACTGCCCAGCTTCCCGAGTGCAGCTTTGGTGCTATTTGCTATTCATACAAGTCACCTCTCTGGTGCCACTGCCTGTTGTACTTCTAGTACTTAGGCGTCTTCCGAAACCATAGGTAGCTATTACTAGCTGTGACAAAATCTCGGTAACTCTGCAGAACCGCCAGGCGATTTTCGGCACTGAGTGAGTTGCTGGTGGTGGCCGCGTTGGTGTTGGTGTCGTTGGTATTTTTGCCGTGGTGATTGGTATTGACAGTGGCAGTATTAATAATGTTGCCTGTGGTCTCTTCTTTGTTGTTTTGTAGTGTTTCTCAGCACCCCTCGTTCCCGCTCCAGCTTTCTTCGCCTCGACCTCCGACCCTGAACTTTCACTTTTGTTTGCTACCCCTCCCCCTTTGTGGTCAACTCTGCAGCTTTCCAACTACTACACGATGACGCTCTGCACTCCGGCGAGAGCTAGCATCATGACCGGGCGTTACCCCGTGAGGTACGGGATGCAGTACTCCGTCATCATGCCCGGCTCGCCCTGGGGACTACCCACTAGCGAAAAGGTAGGTACATTTTGCACGTGGTGCGTGGCGTGTTTATTGCTGTGCTTGCGTGAGTCCGCAGGCTTTGATGAGGTCCGAACATGGTGTTTTTTTCGGCTCGTTGTTTTTCTCTTTCTTCCCCTGTTTCTATTTTTCATCTGTTGTGCGTTGATTGGAATGGCTGCGCTTCTTGTGAGGTGGGCTTTTTTTTTGTTCGAATCGACGAGAGCGCAAGACGGACAAGGCGTCGTAGATTGAGGTCAGAGTGATGGTCCTATTGCGAAGACCACGACACCGCCACCACAGCGCGACAAACTGCCAGACTCCTCCCTCATGAGACGTGTCTCGCACATGCAAAAATGACGAGACATGAGTAGCCCTGTCGTCGTCTTTGATTCCAGTTATATTGTTGTGTGAAGGTCAACGAGCATGATTCAATCTTTCTCTCCACCTGCTTTTGTCCCCTCAACAGATTCTGCCCGAGTACATGAACGAGGCTGGATATGAATCGCACATGGTGGGCAAGTGGCACCTGGGGAGCTACAGAGACGAATCCCTCCCCAGCCAGCGGGGATTCAAAACCTTCCTGGGCTACCTTAACGGCATCGAGACATACTACAGCCACAAGGTGTGGTGCCAGTACCGTTGCCCTTCCCAACGGTACTATTTTTCTGACACTGTTTTTCAAACAGCAAGCTCGTTTCGTTATACCACACGTAACCAATAGGCTGGATGCTTCTCAACCCTGTCTTTGCGTTACCGATCTAAGTCCGTCCTCCTGCAACCGCCAGTGGTATTCGATACCACAAGTTTTAGGCGTTTTCTGGTGGGGGATGTGGGAGTACGATATGTACCGTCCGTCATCCATGCCTTGGGCTGCTCTGTCTCTGCCCAGGTAGCTATTTTAGCCAGCTAGCTTTCCTTTAACCGGCCACGTGTGGGTGCCGACTGGTTTGGTTCAGGGTTATTTTATTTGAGTTCGTGGGCGGCAACGATAACCGGGCTACATACTTCTTTGCGGGAAGCGCGCACGCTCCGGCGAATTACATGTTACAGGGGGTACACGTCAGGCTACACGTCACGCTACGTGCAATGCATATGCACATCCACACACGCGCCGTTCGACGTGGCGGCGGGAAGTAGTCAGCCACCGGGCCGTTCGGCGCTTCCTTTCCCCGAACGTTCTCAAGAACTGCTCTGATCTGAACTCGTCGTCACCTCCTCCTCCTCTCTTTGTCCCCCCCCTTTTTGTTTCGTGTATGCCTCTTGTTTGGTTGTGTGTACCGTATATCTATTAATAGAACCCCGAGGCGTCGGTAGACGGACAGTACTTCTTCGACTTCGGCTACGGGAACGCCACCGGGTACCACGACGTTACCCTCCAAAACCACGACGAGAACGTCGGGGGCCCGTGTACGGACGGAGGGCCGAGATGGGGAGATGTCATGGAGAATGAGGACCCCGCGGACGTGTGCTTCACGGGAACGTACTCAACTGACGCTTTCGTCGGCCGGGCTAAGCAGGTGTGGCTTGTGGCTCCCGCCGCCGTTTTTTTTGCGATTGATTTTTGTACATGCGTGGATGCGCGTATGTCGGTCCCATTCGGTGTCACGCCAGTGTGCACACTACACACGTCTTGGTGGGTATGTATGTTTGACGTATCAGCCGGAGTCACATGGGAGGGAAGTCACACAGGAGCTGTCTCTTCGTGATTGATGGCAAGGGTCAGAAAAGTACACCGACGTTCATCTGTCGAATGTATCACCGCGTGTGTATGGCGAGCGGTGTCACTGGTGCTACATGCATGCGCACCGGTAGTGATGCCTGAAATGTCCATGATATCTGTAGAGATGGAGTTGAGTCATTGGTGGTAACTAGGTTCGCAGATGGAGACCACCGCCTCGTACTCAACCCTGATCCCCCCCTCCCTCCCCCCATAACGCTTGCTTTGATGCGCGCTTTTGCAGATCGTCAAAAGTAAAGCGCCTTTCGACGAAGACCCTCTGTTCATGTACATTGCCCACCAATCCGTTCACTCCCCTACCGGTCCCGCGCCCTACGGTAAGTGAAGCATCAACATGCAACACGCGCTAGATAGAGGATAGCTAAGCTTTGGAGAGGTTCTCGAGGGACTCACCCCCGGCACCCGATTACAATAGCCATCGGTCATCGGTCATCGGTCCTTTGGGAACAATTCTCGGCCCTCTCGAGGACGCGTGGTCAATGGTCTAACAACTGAGGCATGCCAAACACGAGTACCCCCCCCCCCCTCACGATCCTTCTCGATTGGAGGACGACTGTTTATTTTTCTAGTGGGAGACGGGGTTGACGCACACGGCGAAACAAGAGTCGTGTGTGTGGTTCTAGTTATGGAGAAGGTTACGTTTTGGCGCTTTGTGGGCGACGTGATGATTTTTTTGGAGAAAAGGCCGGTGTACCCTCCTTCGCTTGCTGACTAAACCGTCTACCGTCGGCTCGCTGCCGCAGTTTGTGCGCGACTGATCGATCGCACCCTCCCGGAGCTAGACATAGCTCGATTGCTCCACAACGGAGAGGGCAGGGCATCACTGACGAAGAATGGCCGGTTGTAGAAGAGTGAGACCTACCCTTGAGTCTATCGGAGGTGGATCTAATCCTCAACTGCCGTTGCCCTGTGGACGCCTCTAGATGGGTTTCCGCCACGTCCGCACGGTAGATATCTTGATATTGATATCTTGGTAGATATCTTGATATTGATATCTTGATGTTGGACATAGATTGCAACAACGAACTTCGGCTTTGCCACCCTCCACACTCACCCACCCCTGTCTCGCGCGTGCATCGTTGTTGTTGTTGTTTTGTCAATATCGTTGTACCTGCAGAGGAGTTTTCACCAGAGGAGCTTGCGTTATTGGAGGGCGTGAAAGATGCGACGGAATCGGAGAAGAGAACCGCCTTTGCCGGCGTAAGCAGAATACTGTTGCTTGTGGTTGTGCTTGGGAGACTCGCGTTGCCATGTGACCGCGGCTTTTTCTGTTCGCCCGCGGCGGTGTTGCTGATGTGGGGAAATACCGCGGCACCGCAGAGTTTTTCGCTGTTCGTCGTACATGTACTGTTTCCCTCGCGGCCGATGCTCAAAAGGCCACACAGCCTGCAGCACTGAGGTTGTCTATTATTATATGTACAACAACATCGTCATCGCCAACGAACAGCTGCGGGTATGTACCATTGACATTGCAGGATAATCCGCAGTATCTGACGTGTGTGCGTCGTGTGTATTGGACGAATCGATCGATCCAGCGGGCATGCCGTACTACAGCCAAGGTTGAGCGTTCACGAAACTAGAATCGTGTGCCACCTGTCTGTTCGAAAATACAAAACAACGGCCGTTCGGATGCCAAGAGGAATATCTCATTCAAAACGGCCCCGGAGATACGAAACGAAACATCACAGTCGCGTCGGGCTCAGTTTCTCATTTGGGCTCACTATCGACCACAGGTTGTTATTTAGGGTTTCGTCTAGGATCCGCCGCTGAGTTTTGTTCCTTATCCCAGTTTTCTTTTTTTCCGCGAAAATTTGAGCCTCTGTTTCTTGACGAGATATTTCTCAACCGCGGGCCGGTTCTGCATGACCCCTTTCATATGTCGAAACGGAGTGATGGTAGTGTTGGGCGGCGATCGTATCGTCAGCTTTCTTCTCTCCACCGACGGAGGGAGGGCACGTGATAATCACCCCGACCTCTTTGTCTCGCAACCTGGACATGGACATGGACATGGACATGGACAGGTCCTGCTGTACCTGGACAAGCGAATAGGAGAGTTCGTGGACATGCTGGAGCAGGAGGGCTGGCTCGAGAACTCTGTGATCGTGGTGTCAAGTGACAACGGTGCTTGCCCCGATGACGGGGGCTCCAATTATCCGCTGCGAGGCAGCAAGCAGTCTGTATTCGAAGGTGGCAGCAGGGTAAGTACAAAACCGTGTTACAGCACCCATCAGTATGGGCACGCAGTGACTGTTTGGATATCGAGACGGTATCAAGGTTAATTTTACGAATCGGTTTGAACGTACGGGGACCCTTTGGATACGAAGGCGGTAGCAAGGTTGTCGGCGACAACCCGTTTGGACATGTAGGGACCGTTTGTGGGTACTCTCGCTGTCGTATTTGAATTGTCCATCATATTTTCTAACAGACTGGTGCGAAGGACGAAGTGTAGCTTGACCGATCAAAGTGGCTCTGTTCTGTTACCGAGAAACTTCTGTCGACTTGTTGCCCGTCTTGCCCAAAAAGATCAAATCGTACCCCGTATCTATTCAATACTTCAAGACGGTAGTGATATTGTAATGCATGCATGTGCAGCGGGTTGTTTCTATGCCCAAAGACGAAGTCGCAGGCTGCGTTGTTTCTGTCTGTTCTTGTTTTGTTCTGCACAACCGTCGCCTTTCAAGATCCCTCTGACAGGAGGCGAGCATCAAAACGCTCACGGCCGCGATTCATTCCCGTCAAAACTTGTGGCTGCTGCTGCTGTGTCCCGTAACATGGTGCCACGCTCTTTTAGGTACCGGCGTTCGTGTTTTCCAAGAGTCATCTGCCGTCGCATGCGTGGGGCACCACGTACGACGAACTTGTGCACTCGACAGACTGGGTACCAACCCTCGCCAGCATTGCTGGGAAAGAGACAACCGGCAGGTGCGTGCGCTTGCCAGAAACCGTCCTGGGTGATGATTGGAACCGTAGGTGGCATGACGTAAGGTATCACACCCCCTGGACTAATTTTCAAAGCTTGGTTGCTCCACAGCTGAAGGAAAGAGTTGGTGGCGGCGTTTGAACCGTCTCGTACTGGTGGAGGTTTCTTAACCCTTGCGTGAGTCCAGGTCGATTCAGCTCCCTTCTCAGCTCCGATCACTTTGCGTGCCGAAAAATCGCCGTTGTGCCACAGCTAAGAGCAAAAAACATACATGGAGACCAGCAGGGAGACATAGGCAGCCCACCCCAAAAGCACGCTTATCAGCAATGCGGACAGGACTCACATAGTACAATACTATTCACCCATTCCTAATCTCTCTGACGTGGGGCAGGTATCCTTTCCAGATCAAATCTACTGCCTACCGGTACTGTGAGATTGAAACGCAAAATACCACCGGAGGGTACATACAGCACCCTGAACATGTGATCAACCCGGTGCCGCATCCGCGGGGGAGAGCAGAGAAAGCGCACACCGGAGCCGATGCTAACGTATTCCCTCTGTGCTTGATGTTGTTGTGATTGCGGTGCGTGTGGTTCCCAGTATTGGGAGTGAAGGGTGGTTCGTCTGCTGTTGCAGAATTTCGCTCAAAGGCAAGGGTTTTCGGGACTACAGCTCCGATCACAGCTCTCTATTTGTAGTAGAGAATAGTAAAATTTATCATGATTTTTATGCATTTTGTGCGATAGCGGATGGTGGTCTCGATTCTCTGGTGAGAGGGCCGTTGTTTTTTTCGTCGATCTGGCGCTTCTGTGAGGCGGTTTCCCGTGAGCGTCTTCGCATCTAGCGCCGCTAGCATTTGCGCTTGCCGTAAGCTCTGTCCAAGGATGAGGTGGAGAAGATGTGCCAACAGGTATTGCTTGCACAGGTACATCTTCTGTGCGGACGGTTGCTGTCGGAGACAGGCATGCACACCTGCTCAGAAACTACTGCTGCTGTACAGTCTATTTCTCTCCTCATAGCTGCTACTGCTGTACAGCAGTAGTACTACTGTGCTCCTGTTCGTCACCCTTTTACATATACCGCGTCCCCATCCCTGTGAGCCCCACACATGGACCCACTGCTGCACCATCCTTGCCGCCGTGATTTGTAGGTGTACACACATGCTTGGAAGATCTTTGACCGCAGAGAGCCAGTTGTTCAGAAAAAAACAAGAAAAATCAATGTAACCCAGTGACGTAAGGGTTAACGGGGGATCTGAAGTTTGTCATGGTCAAGCCTGAACTTCTTGAACGTGTCACGTCCGTATGCGTACGGTGGCGGCGGGTTCTATTGCCGTTTTTAGGGCGAAAGCGCCTAAGCTATTCAGGGCGCAGTCATGGTAGTTTCAGCCTTTTCCCCGCCCCCCCCGCACCCATCACCCCCCACTCGGTGTTTGCCATCGGGATTGGGTTTTCGTCGCTTGGCAACGACGTTGTAAAACAAGCCAATTCACTTTGTGAACTCGGCAACCAGGTTACCGTTTTTTCTTTTTTTACCTCGTTTTTTTTTTTTGCGGTAACCATAATGGTGGTCGAGTAGATCATGTTGTGCGGGGTCGAGAACCCTCACTCCGCGCAACGGGGGATGATCGCACCACGTTGTGTTAAAATGGTCAAGCATCCTCGAGGCAGTTACACAGTGCTTACAACTGCCTCTGGAAGTGAAAGCACCAGAAAATAAATTAAGTCATACGTAGCTGTCATCCGTACGCAAGGAAGTAAGCACAAGATGCCGAACACCCTTAGCAGGATGCAGCTCACCCTTCATGCGACTCGCCGAATACCTCACGGCGCTTCGCGCTTGGTGATGTGAGAGCCTGGTCCGGTGAGAACCCGGCGTGCTCCGTCCCGGCTTTGTAGGGGTGCGAGGTCAATGGTCAACGATTACGGCATGCACGACTATGAGTACACCCCCCCCCCCGCACCCATCGATTTGGAACGATGGTTTGATTGTGGCTTGGAGGCCTTAACACTTCCTCCCCTCGTTATCTTTGTAACCCCTGCAACTTGCCTGACAGCGCCGGTGCGTTGGACGGTGTGGATCAGTGGGAATGTCTCAAGAGCAACGGCGTCCGAGGGGCGGGGTCAGGGAACACGTCGAAGCCCCCCCGCACCGAGCTGCTGTACAACTGGGACTCGTACCTCCTGTCGTCCGCGGACGGATTGTAAGACCGAGTTGCTGTTGGAGCCTGTCTGTCTGTCTGTCTCTCGGCGTACTGTAATGCTGCAGTGTACTTTACCCTTGAACCTCACGGCAGCGCCATGAACGGGGGGCTTAGGTGCCCGCTATTTATTGTCCCAGAAATTGCGACAGAAACCGTGCATGGGCCTATGCGCAGATCCGACGATTGTCAACGGTTACTGTAGTTGGAAGCCGCGATCGAGCGTGAATTGCGGGTTTTCTGCGCTTGCCAACGTTCCTTTCAGGGCGTTCTGGACTTTTGGATGAACAGTATTTGGTGCTTCACAATTTGTGGCCAAACCCCATTTTGCTGGGTTAAACTGCTTGCGATGGCATGACATGCACTCCAACGAAGTGCGGGCTGTTTCGTACCGCTTCGTTTACGAAATTGTTCCGAAACTAGAGAGAGAGACACAGCAGCAGTCGACTACAGACGCACTTGCATCGATTGCATCGATTGCCCTCGACCTCGACATCCATACAGCATCACATTACTCTACGTTCCCAAACGACACACTGCAGTGGCTTCTCGGTCGAGGCGTTCGAACATCGCAACAATGTTCGAAGGGTCGAACAGAAAAGCGACTCCAATCTAATCGAGTCTGATCGTCCGTTTCCCTCGGGGATTCTCGACCGAACACACAACACCCTCTCACACCATAGGAAAGAAGACCTGGAATTCAGTCAAGGGGCTTTCCGATCGGGGGACTGGAAGCTACTCGTGAACGTCTTTTGCTCGGGTTACTTCTCCCACGATCTGGCGGTTATCGAGGTGAGCGGGGGTGTCTCTAGCGCCGGAGGGCCAGGGTAGTGTTTTCAGGGGTGAGCCGCGTGCGCGACGCCGCCCAAGAACCCCTGTTCTGTTGCTGCCTTACTTCAGCCCCCCACCGTCTATTTGTGACCTCGGGCTCTTGCTTATCGTCTCCCTCGAAGCTATTATCATTTAGATTATGCTGACGTCGCATTTAAATTGTTCTCGTTTGTTTTGTGCCAATGCAGAGTGACGACCTGCTCGACTCCGATGTCGCTTGCGGAGTCGGGAACATGGAGTGCCAGGACTGCTGCGACCGATGCCAGTTGTACAGCGGAGACTACCCCGTCAGCGACAGGCTGTACAACGTCAGGGAAGACCCCAGGGAGGAGCACGACTTGTACGACCAGTACCCGGAGGTAATTTAAAAAACTTGCGCGCGTTTTTGACATACGCAGATTGCTCTCTCTGTCTCTTGTTGGGTAACATTTTTCGGGTGTGCATGTGCATGCTCTCACGTTGCTCGATGGAGGGAACAGTTTGGGCGGCGTGGTTCGTTAAGGCCATCCCAAAGCGGAGCGCAGTGCTCGTACAATGGCCGCCTCGGGTCTAGCGCGTCAATAATTGACCTGCAGGTCTGTCTGTCTCCGCACGGCTCACCTTTTCCGCCCTCTGCAACATTTTGGGATCTTATGGTCAAACGGCGCTCCCTCTCCCTTTTTTTGTTTTTGAGGGTGCGATTTTGGTGGATTTTGCGCGGAGGACGTGATTTAGCCTAACATACCCGGATCAAGTGTTGTGGTATGCATACGTGCGGTCTGTTCGACATTCAAAAAGGTCGCCCCCCACCCCACCCCGAGGATTCTTTTTTTTCGTATCATGAAAAGGGCGTTCTCCTCGATGTAGCTATCGGTGTCTTGGGTGACGCACACTTCTCGTAGAGATGCGCTCGTTACGTGATTCGATTGGATGGCGTGACTTAACTTGAGGAAAACCTCTTGCCTGCATGTGTGCATGTGTACATAAACAACACGTGTAATAAACGATGGATTCGAGGTTCACTGTGAGAGACGTGGGAAGAAGAGTAGAACTGATAGAAACTCTCATTTCGACTCGAGTGGAATTCGACTCGACACGACGATCGGCTTGTCTTGTCTTGCTCGTGGCTTCTTACGCGAAACGACTGTTTTTGAGAAACATCCGGAATAAGGGAGGGGGAGGGAGAGGTCACGCAGGAAGCTACGATGTATGAGGTTCCTACTAACACGGCTGTTTCGGGCGGGTTGTTGCACGCCGTTCCTCTCCCTTTTCCCGCGAGCAGTTCGCGAAGGAGCTTCGAAAACGCGCCGAAGAAGTGGTGTTCGCTGAGTGGGAAGGAACGAGGTTCAAGGCGGTCAACACAGATAGTTACCCGGTCTGGAAGGCAAACAACTGGTGGATGTGTCCGTGGGAAGAGATGCTGGGGAAGAAAGCGTCCAAGTCTATGAACGGCCTGATGTGAAGACTTTTCACGGCAGGCAGTGTTGTAATGCATACAGCGTATCCCCGGTTTCTCTTGAAGGACTCGCGCAGGCGTTTGGTTGACACGAATACTTCGTGTACAAAATATTTTGGATTTTCATATTTTTGTTTTATTCTTGAAAGCACGTAAAGTGAAAGTCCTTTTTGTGCGTAGTTGGTCTGTGACCACGCGAGGCGATGCGTCAGCTGGACGTGTTCGGTGTTGGAAGGTACAGAGACCCAACGGTTTTCGCGTGAAGACGACAACAACAACGTTCTTTGATTTTGGTGGAACGTTTTGTGGTTTTCCACGGAACATGCTGTCTATGGTTGTAGACACTCTATTTATTGCCGGGTTCGTTTTTGTTTTCTTGCAGAGTTTCTTAGCAGGCTCTAGCCAAACACCAACTAGCGAGCTGTAGTTCGACGCCAGGTGTGTGTCTTGTGTTCTCTCTGTCGTCTTGGGCACCCTACGAGTGCTGCGATGCTTCGGATGTCTATTGTAGCTTGTTGTGGCGTGTTTGTTTTGTTCTCTTGCTTTTTGTCAGGATGGAAGGACGTGTTGTCGTAGTTGCCGTGTGAATCGGTGGCACACACGCGTTGTTGCGTGAGGTCGAACTTCTGTTGGTATTTCTCTTGGTGTGTCACGGCACTTTGTGCAGGATACACTACAGTATGCATACAGCTGTTACCCGGGTTGCCTGAATTTTCTTTGGATTTTTTTTTTGTCGTAAGCTTGAGAAATGAAATTACCCTCGTGTAATCCGGTCGCCCCAGTGGTCTAGTTGGTATCCTCGAAACCTTCTAGAGATCAGGTTAGGGGTTCGAATCCCGGCGTAAGCGAGCTTTTCTTGCAAAGTGAGTTTTGCTCTCGCTTCCGCTCGTGGCCTAGTGGATAGCGCTTGTTCGTGTGTACATAGAGGGAAGAGAGTGCTGAACTCTTCTCGCAATAAAAATCGAAGGCATAGTACCGCAGGAGGGGAGGATAGAGAGGGGTTCCTCTGTGTGACCGCGGGTTGGAGGAAAACGGCAATATAATAGTGCTGTGAGCGCTGATTTGAAGTGAAGACATGCATACGTTCGTGTGGTATCTCTTTTTCCATGTTGCTTGGCCTGGCATTGCCTATACCGGTAGTAGTTGTTTTTGACACGTTCGACAACATGCTCACTATATACAGGATATATCCAACGGATGAGGTGCGCGCCGTGGCTGCGTGGACGGTTCGTATGTAAGGCTAACGCTAAGGCTACACGAGACACATGAGAAACGGCCCTGTTTAGCGCGGCCTAACAGCGACTCCTCCAGTAGTCTAGTTCAGATCTACAATCTTCAAACCACTGCTGTTTATTGCATTGTGACATGCACGGCGGAAGCATGCACCGAAGAGATGGCATAGGAACGCGCTTGAGCAGCAACGATGAAAGCTGTCTGTCGATAGACATGACATATAAAGCCATCGACGGAGCTGTTGTAGTGGTGGTGGCGGACAAGGCAAAGAAATATGACTCACTACATGGACTACTGTTGTAGAGTGACTCTGGCTTGTGTATGTTCCAAAATAATGCAGCAGTATAGCATGTAGAAGGTATTAGCGAACGAAACGTCCACAATGTTTCATGTACACCACTAAAGATGGGACGGAAACAAGCAAGCAAAGCCAAGGACTCATCCGACGACCAGAGTCCCAGAATCAGATGACCCCGCGCGTTTCTCTGGAGGGGGGCGCACTGCCCTCCAACGACGGATACATCCGTGCATGGTAGCGAGAAGAGTTTGGCTGCATGCATGCCTCCTCTCCCCACTCCATCTGCTATTTTTTTCAGACGTCGTACAAATGACTTTAATGATCCTTTTCGTATCTACTTCATTCATACTCCCATGCCAGATCCATAGACTACTCGAAGATAATAACTCGATAGCCCAGGCCTGTGTTACAATTATTTATCTAACCAGCTCACAACCTGCTGAAGACACGCTCCATCAGCAACACGACAAAAAATGGCGCACTGTGGGTGCGACTATACATACGCCTACGTAAAATATCCTCGAGCCCGGATGTTTTCGATTACCACCATGGCCTTGTCTCGCTGGCAACCGTTTCTGGGGGGTCCTACAGACACTGTCACAAAATTGTATCCGATACGCGGCATCTAAGAATAATGCCGAGGTGAAGAGTGGATCGCTCGTTGTGCGTACCACGTATAGTAGGATCGCACCTGCTCGACACGGTCATACCCAATAAATAATACACAGCCAGCCGCGTGCCCCCCCTCCCCCCCTTGTGCTGAGTCGTTCTCACATTGCCTGAAACGGTGAACTTCGCAGCAGCGCGCACTAAAAAAACTCCGCTCCCGCCGTACAAAACAAATTTAAGCCACAAGCGGCTCCCAGTACATACATCCACGCAGCAGATAGAAGGAACCTTCAGCTCGCAATATTTGGGTAATAACCGCTAAATGATGACCGATTTCATTCCAGTAAACGAACACATATGTACAGTCAAATTCTATTTAACCTACTACGCGACTATCGGAGAGACCAACATAACTCGCCGGTTCCGAAGCCACCAAAGTCATGTCCACAACCTAGACAATTAATTATTGATCAATAGTGTGCCCCTGGGCCATCTCGAGGCTGAATTGGAAATGCCCAGCCAATTGTCGATGAAAATTCTCCGAACTGCGGTTCGCCCGCCTGTGCTCCTTCATCTTCGTCAGTTCAAGGTTTACGGTTGGTCCCCCACGCCTACATGAGCGCGCCAGCAAGCGTTGTGGGGAATACACCCCCAACAACAGCGCAGGAATCCGCGCACGCACACACGCGGGCGAGGAGCGGGAGAACTCCACTCCCAAGAAAACGACCGCAGCAGAGTGGCGCCGAAGCACTCAGCAACCAACAGCCAACCGCCAAACCCAACCCAACGCCAACAAACAAGAATGGAGCGCCTTCTTTGCGCACGCCAGCCGTATTGAAACTGCAAGCGGAAGCGGGCGTCTGAAAGACAATAAAGCGAGAGACCGCAGGCAGACTGCGAGGTGTGTACCCAAGCCAAAAGTCGGAGAGTTATTATTCGTCCATGACGGGCAGTACCTTGTTCAGGTCGCCGCCCTCAAGAACGATCGAGAGGACCTCTCGCGTTGCACACGCCCAGGTCGTGATGGTGTCCGACTTGAAGCTGTTCATGTCTCTCTCCATTAGCCATTTCTCTACCTTGTCTCTGCTGTACACTTCCTGGCCGACATAATCGGTAGGACGCGGAGCACACGATCATCGTCGGTGGGGGAGGAAAGAGGCATTTTGCTTGATGAGAAATCCCATGTGCGCGCCAACCCAGCTTACGGCCATGAAGGCAGAGAGTATTAATCTAAGTGTGCTCTCATCTTCGTTAGAGCATGCATGGTACGGTGCCTATCGACTACAGGCGAGTGACGTTAAACATCTCGGTTGCTAGCAAACTCAAAGTGCTGTAGTCGACGAAATTCCGGCGTCCTCCAAGCTTCCCGAAACGCCAACAGACAAAACTGAGGACGGCAGCACCAACATCATCATCACTGACCTGCCAGTAGCGCTTCGTTTTTCCTAAGTAGTCGCCTCGGCTGCCTAGGTAGTGGTTGATGCGGATCTCGTCGACGGGTATGACGTCACACAGGCAGCCTTGTCCGTTGTGCATGCTCTTCAAGCGGGACGTGGCCTGACCCAGCAACGGTTGGGTGGTGTCCAAGTTTACCATGACCTGCTCGGCGGCAAGGTCAGAACGAACCGAAGTCAACCAATGTCTGTAACCCGTGCACTGACACGCGCGAGCAAGAAAACAGCAGCTGTGAGCTTCGCACCTGCAGCATCTGGTTCTCCAGAAAGAGAGACAAGCCTCCACCACTACTTGTAGGCACAGTTTTATCACCGGCCAATGCCCGCTGGTCGTTGCAATAGGGAACGATGACAGCGCCGGGTAGTCGTCGACCAGGCATTGACCGCGGACCGCTGCATTCCACATCGTGAGAAGTCCGCTGCTTGGTGTTGATGATAAGCTCCGATATCTATGTATAATAGCACCTTTGGCACCAGCATCTCGGCCAAAAACGGAAAAAATGGGCGCAAGCTTCATCCGGTGGTTTCGCTCACCTTGGGTAGACGGTTGCTCTTGAAATCATGCAGATGGGCGTGTTGCAGAAATGCTTCCAGGAGCAGGCCTTGCGGCATCTCGTCGTGCCCTCCTGCCCCGTATGTCACGCGCGGCACCTGCCCGGGATCAAGACGTTTCAGTAGGCGACCAGCAGTCGTGCACACGCTAGAGCCACACCTACCCCACCACAAACAAATACGATTGTCCGACGTTGCTGTTGAATACATACGTGGACGACGTGTAGGAGGTGCAAAGCCCTTTAGGTCGCCTCCGATCGTTCGAGAACGGGGAAAGAGGGTTGGCGGCGGTGAACAAGCCCTGCAAACTACCCCATCAACAGTCAGCAGAGGCAATCATTTCTGTGCGGCCGTGGAAGGGCCCCACAACGATACATGCGATCCGTGCGTCCGAGCGCTTGCAGGAAGCGGATGACTGTTGTCCGCTACGTCGTCTTGGATGGCCGTGAAAACGCTTGACGTCATTGTGTAAGAGTTAGTCTTGTGTTGCTGGCGGTAGAGTTGCACGTACCCGTACACAGCACGTGGAGCTATGCTTGTCCAGAGCCTGGGCGATCGTGACGCTTGTATCGACGGGAACTATGTACTCGTCCGTGTCGTGGAACAGAAGCCATCTCGGAGCATCGTTGTCGCTGAGCCTTCGAACCATGTGCTCTTCCAGGCACCGGTTGAGCGGGGTCATCTGGTTCTGCCAACTTCGAGGGTGGGCACACCGCAAGCGGGCGCTCCGCGGTCAGTCAATGCTATCATAGCAACATCCGTCAAACAGTAGCCGGTGTTCGAGAGAACCAACCGTTTGTGTGGTGGGCTGTGTTTTTACACGCACGTCAGATCAGAGTCTACAAGCGCAGGACGTCAAGAGCACCATTTTTCTCACTCGGTTTACAGAGCTCGAAAGTGCCGGCATTGCACCTTGTACCGCGGCCCCTAATGATGGCCGTGCCCGTGTCTGTGAAGAACTGGGTAGACTTGGCGAGGGGCATTAAGGCTCGCTGGGTCCAAAACTTGGCCCTTGCTACGTACGTATTGCTCCTGGTTGAAAACTCGTCAAAAAAGCTGCCGCAGGTGACATGCCATAAGATACTACGGCGAAGAGGACGCCGAAATCAAATGGTACGTTTTCGGAAAGCTCTCGACGAAGCGTTTCTAGTGTCGACATTTTCGGCACCGTCGCTGCTTTTCCTGCCGGGTAATCGAGATCTGGCAATCGGTCCAGGGGGGTGTCATACCTTACGTCATGCCACCTACGGTATATATCTTGTGTCAACACATTGCACGCCCGCCGGCACTCACTGTCCAGTCCTCTCCAGGACGTACGTAACGATGCCGGCGTCGACAAAGGGTTGGAGAATCTCCACGGTGTCGTCATTGCTGTCGTCGTCGTAAATCGTGATCTCGTCGACCCCTATCGCGTAGTGGTACGCGATCCACTCGGGTAGGAAGCGCCCGAAGTCCTTTGTTCTTACGCACGCCGCCACCTTTATGCCAGTCAGTGCGAAAGTGGGAGAGAAGGCGCTGGGTTCTGAAGTGGCATCAGGACGGGCGGTGCGTAACCACACGAAACAGAGAGCGTGCCTGAGCGCTGTGTAGGTCTACACCAAGTATAAAGGCATGGACCTAACAGTTTGCTCGCCGCCCACCTTGAGCAGAGTTACACTTGGCATGACAACCTTCGTCTGCTTTCTCTGGAAGGAAACGTTTCACATCTTTCGTAGAGCACACAACTCTAGGGCAAATGAAACGCGCGCTTGCTTGCTGGTACTCAAGAATATCCCTATTGAACCCTATCTGTTGCCCTAACGCTAAAAGCAGGACTCGTACATCATCAGGTTGTATTGTGAGATTTGGCCGGTATCGAGGCAACCGTTACAATGGCAGCGCCCGACTTACTGTAGGCCCGAGCAACAACCCTGGAAGATCGTTGTCCAACTTATGGTCCGGTCTCCTTGCGTCCATCCCTTCTTCCCGTACGTGCAAGCTAAACGATTATCAATAGTCTCGGTCGGACTCAACCCAACACAAACATGTGCTCGCGGGCGACTGCTGTGGTGTTGCTCTGATCGCCTGCGCAACGCCTTTGGGGCGTGCGTGTGAGCTGCAACACGTCCACACCTTGCTAGTACCGGGAGTTTTGGCTCTCCTCTCCAAGATCTCCCGCACTTGGCGCTGTTTCGCATCTCCCATGCAGTCACCCCCCCTCATCGTTGCCTCCCCCCCTCCCGCACCAGGCATCATGGCGGCCTCTCTCCAGTCTGAAGTAAGCCCGAATCTTCCTCCCGCCCCTGTCCACGGGTAGGGCTCATCGCTCTCCAGCGGATTAGGCCTCGGGATCGTCGTGGAACCGCGAAGCCTGAGGCGCGTTGACCGTGGGGGCGTGGTCGGCCGCATCGGGCATTAGATCAGAATTTCCGCGCGTTGATAACGGTGATCGCTTGCCCCCAGAAGAGCGCACGTGTTTCTCGGAGCTAAACACTCGCGTGCACCGTGCGTTCTGATGGAAGGAAGGTCGAGCCACGCAACAAACCCTTGCTTCCATGCCGTTGACTAAAGAAAAAAATAAGCCTCGTGCATCTATTTAGGAATTCCGCCCCTTTTGAACGCGGCTCAGCTGCCGCTACGCGTACTTGGCAAACTCAACATAGAAAGGAAGCAGCACGCTCTCGTTCTCTTTCCCCCTGAGCTAACCCACCTGTCATGCGTGGTGGTTGAACCAACACCGTTCTGGGACTGCTGTTGCGTCCCTGTTGAAGGCGGCACTGCACCCATGACGAAAATCGGGAGGGCACCGCCTCCGTCGTCCTTTGCCTCAACAAATCCAGCTTTGACAGTGGCCATGGCTATTGTCATCATTGCCGCAGCCATTCTCACAATCCATGTGGGGAGAGCCAGGCTGAACACCGGCGGCCGCGACCTTCGATGCCTTCTACGGCTGCTGCGCGCGCAGCCTTTCATTTTGGTGGCCGACCGAACCTGAACGAGCACATTCATGTACATACATACCGCGGTCGCCCCGGTGGTCTAGTTGGTATCCTCGAAACCTTCTAGAGGTCAGGTCAGGGGTTCGAATCCCGGCGTAAGCGAGCTTTTCTTGCAAAGTGAGTTTTGCTCTCGCTTCCGCTCGTGGCCTAGTGGATAGCGCTAGTTCGTGTGTACACAGAGGGAAGAGAGTGCTGAACTCTTCTCGCAATAAAAATCGAAGGCAAAGTACCGCAGGAGGGGAGGGTAGAGAGGTGTTCTTCTGTGTGACCACGGGTTGGAGTAAACGGCACTACTGCTGTCAGCGCTGATTTGAAGTGAAGACTAAAAAAAAAAAAAATACCACACGCCACACGCTATCGAGAGTGTAATAATAGTGGTTGTGGTGAAACGAGGTGCAGAACAGCACCAGAACATGCCTCAAGTAGAGTTGGACTTAAACTTTCAAGCAATACAACAAGAGGATGCTTTGGTATGAACGGGCATGCATGGTACTCTTGGATGATAATCGATTGTACAGCAAAAGAGTACACTGCTGTTTTCGTTATCTTCTATACATATTAATATGCATACTACTTTGCTAATAAGAGGGTGTATTGTACCTTTTTTTTTTGTGAGGACGAACAATCTGCGTTTTGCTCCTCAACTTTTTCGCCGTCAACGTCCAACACAGGCGCGTTAGCAGTGTATTTACATAGTTCCACCACACCGTCGAGCTGTCGAGGTCCTATGTAGTAGGCGCTGACCCCATTCTCCGAAAGGATCGATCGGTAACATGTAACTATGTAACGCTTTCTGAAGGTCTATTGTGCATATATATGTATCATAGACTACTCATGATACATTTAACCAGACAAAATCTATGAATCATACAGCAGTAGCAAACAATCGACGGACTGCCAAGTCAAGAGATACGAATATGTAAGAGATCGACTGCTGTGGGTATATCTCGAATGGGCAGTCTTTCTGTGTGTGTATTTATTATTCCTTAATTAAATAGATCTCCCAAGCCACGTGTTCTTTCTCAAGTATGATGGAAATGCGGCAACACATTTACGTCGATAGAGTATGTACCCTTGTTATGCATAGGATTGCTGCTGCTACTGCTGCTGCTGCTGCTCATCGTTCTGAGCATGCATGGGGAACCAAGGCCACCTGTAGCGCGTCTGTGAAGCAGGGATCTCTGGTACGTGTTTAGCAGAGTACCCATAGTATGCTACTTCGGTTGCTGCGCGTGTGGGTCCCTTCAAGTATTTGATTCTGTGCGATTTCTTGAGGTACGGCGGTCTTTTCTCGAAGTCAAAACCGAACCAAGAGCGGAGAGAGAGGGGAGGGAGGGAGAGGCCACGAAGGAAGTGTCGGTGTGTGCGCGATCTTGAACCTCCATGAATCCAACACATATGGACCCCGATCCCAGGCAGAGCATCTGTCCAACAACCCACACAAAGCATTCGCAAAGACACGAGTCCACACAAAAGTGCTTCGGAAAGTGTTGACCAACTTGTCCAGACGAACGAGAGAAATAACTCAGAAGTGCGCATTATTGCACCGGCAGACATACATACACACCTGAGCGAGGAGGTTTCTCCTATAGATGATCACGGTCCGCCTGCCCGCCGCTGATTGTTGATACGGCAGCCCCCGTGCAGTTCGTGTCCGCGCAGACTCATGTACTGCTGTATAGTTCAACATTAGGAGGGTGTCATAATCTCCAAAGGGAGGTGCGATGGATACCACTTTTGGGAAGAAGAACGAAGAACGTTGTCGGAGATCACGAGGAGACAGATGGGAGATTCCATCTCAGGAGGTCAAAAAGGTCGACGATCGGAAAAGTCTGTCTTCTTCCAGAGGCAACAGGCAAGATCTTTCCACCCTCGCCCGCAACTTGAAGTCAACGTCTCGCTTGCTTGAGCTTGGTCTATTCCGCGTTAACAGCATCAGTAGTGCTTTCAGTGTCCCTTCACGTGGTTTCACGGCGTGGTTGACCTGTTGGGCAGTTTGCGACACACCACGTGCGACTCGAAACTTTGAACGGCCTGTCTCCAGAACAATTTTACCTTCTTGTGTGCATACGGCATTTTTATTATTCCTTAATACGGTATATGCCTGCATGCCTGTGCTGCTGTGATGGTTGTTGTTGTTGTTGTTGTTGTCGTTGTTGTTGTTGTTGTCTTCACATCAAAAACCGTTCCGATCTCTCTCTACCCAGTACCTTCATATGTCCGTACTGATCCAACACTTGACGCGGTCGATTCCCGTGGTCACAGGCTAACTTACCCAAAGAGGTACGCTCAAACAAGCTGGCCCCGAGGGGTCATCCGCAAGTCAATAGAAATCAACGACAGATATTCTGGAGTCCTCCGCTCGCTCGCTCTGCGCGCTATGCGAGGTAACAACTGAGACTACGAGTCAGCATCACGGGCCAGAGAGAAAGAGGTACACCCCCTTGGTTCAATCTTGGTGCTTCACACGCAAGAAGAGACAAGGCGATTTGACATAGAAAAGAGAGAAAAAAAGAGCGACAGAGAGAAAAAAGAGGAAAAAAAAAAGGAAACAGGAAGAAAAGAGAAAATAAAACGAAAAAGTGGTGTCATATTAAGAAAAAAAAAAAAAGAACACGAAAAAGAAAAAGAGCGAGGACAAAAAGAGACCAGGCCGAAAATAACAAGAAATAAGAGACAGAATAAGGCACATGGTGGAGAGACCACTAACGAACGAACAAGCAAACACGCAAACATGGCCACCAACCAGCGATACATGGTAATGGTACGTCATCACGAGTACAAGGGGGTTGGTACAAGGGGGTTGGTGCAATGGTGCAGCGTTGTGAAGGAGCGGGGGAATTGGCTAAAAGAAATTCAATCCGGCACGTATCACGCCACTCGGTCCGTCTCTTCTCGTTTACTTTCTTCCCTCGCCGTCTCGTCCGTCTCCTGCCCCCCTCCCGCCCCACCCACACTGGTTGATGGCTTTTGGTCTCGTTTGAGCGCTCTCGTTGTCGGCTGGCCTCTTCTTCCTTCTTGTGCCAGGAGGTCATGAGATGAACCTCTCAGCTCCCTGCAGCACCGCCGCATGCCAGGATACTCCCCCCTCCACCTTCGCGGCTTTCGTCCACTTTAACTTCGGTGCCGTGTCTTTCGGTACCGGGATTCCGAGACAACATGGATCGGTTTTCGTAGATCCGTGGTCGGCCCCGAATGCCTTCAGGTCGTCGAGCACACACTTCGGCCAGTTCTGTTCCTGTCCCCCCCCACGTCGCTTCTCCCTCCCCGCCAGTTCGCCGAGAATCATCAGTCGTTTCGGGAGTCGCCCGTCCGGCTGCCTTGCCAATGCTCCCGCGAACAGTAAGTAGGCGTCTTTGTCTGATCGTGGCCTCAACGCCCTGGCATCCGACCCTCTTCAGCGTCTGGGCGTATAATAGGTTCTTCCGTGGCGACTCCAGGGATTTAACCGTAATTTGCCCGTACCAGAGAGATCAGATGACTGCGCTTTCTGCCTCAACTACTATATAGTATCATCATCTGTTTCCTAGATGGATACATACAGTACAGTAGTCTAGCCTACCTTCTCTGTGCTAAATCATGAAGTAGACAGACCCTGACAGCACCCTGACATGGTGACAGTGCTTTTGTCAACGTGGAGTAAAATAATTGAGGACTGAAAGAAAGAACTCCGGAATAGGCAAAGAGGGATGATGGCGAGAGAGCACCAAAAACGGCCAACTCGGATTGTTCGGGGTACTGTAGGAACATATCCCGAGAGGTATTGAGGATCCATCCGCACCGTTGATACATGTCATATTTCGTATTCTACGGCGGCAAGGCGCGGAGAGTGAGGCTCTTGAACAAAACGGTCTGAAAGAAATAATTTGGGCAGAAATTGGGCACCACCAACATCCATCCGTCCGCCCGCCGGTTGTTGTTATCCATGGCGGTGGTCGTCATATGCAACGACGTATGCATACACCTGTAGATGCCGCGAACACGCACCAAACCATAGAAGCATGATACCCGTGTTTCGGTGATGCGATATACATGGAACCCCGCGTTTTGGTAAACGGGGTCAACGGCCCTCCCCATATGCATATGAGAGAAAAGAGAACAGCGTGACATCGGGGCATGGGCACCGCACGGCACTAAAAAACGCTTCCCATTTCTTTTTCGGCCACCAACCATCGCATCGGAGGAGGCCCAAGAGGCAGCATTGATGCGCTGAAGGGCATATACATTGTAGAAGAAAAATAAAATCGGAAGCACAAAATAACCGTGCCGCTCTTTACACACATACATGAGGTCCTGCACACCACAACTTCCGAAGGTTCTTGCGCTAAACAATGATATGCATACATATCCTTGCGTCTCCGGCTAGATTTCAAATCTCATGAGCCCGGGCTCGCCGCACGCTTACACGAGACCCAGTGAACGTCGCTCTGTCCTACCCTCGACATGCAGCAACTACGAGAGAGATGAAATCCCGACAAACATCCTTGCGCACCCCGTCTAGAACAATCAAACCGTTGCTGTCTACTGCTGACTGTCGACCCCCATGAGTGTTCACTCTGCTGTTGCAGCTGCAGAAGCAGCATCATGGCGTCGCTTCTTCTTCTTGTCCCGGCGTATTCTCTCGAGCAAGCTCAGCGCTGGCGGCGCGACTCCTGCTTCCCCCTTCCCCTCCTCACCGCTAGCACTAATAGCATCACCGCCGCTGCCACTGCCACCAGATTTCCCCCTCCTGTTGTGGTGAACGCTCTTGCTAGCGCCGCTGTCACCGTCACCATTGCCGCTCTCGCTGCCGCCGACCCTCTTGTTTGATGACGGCGTTTGGGCAACTCTTTTCCGCGAGGGGATTGTGGGTGGTGTTGCCAAGCTCCCCCCCCCAAGCGGGATATAGTCCCCACGAAGGGTGGCAGCATCCCTGTTCCTCTTCTTGCCCTTCAGAGCTTCTGTGGTAGTGGCATTGAGGAGGAAACAATCGCTGGTGAGGTTAGGAGTCTGCACGAAAAGTCTGAAGAAAGCACCAAACGATCGAAGCGTCAGATGCGAGGCGTGGGGTGGATCGAGATGTGAGTGTCGGTGTGGATACACCCAAGCGAGGATCGGACTGTCTACGCAAAAAAAGTAAGGTTATTGCGAATAAAGACCTAATAAGGGAGGGGGCACACAGACCGTGAACCTAACCCTAACCCCCAACTTGCCCGTTCTATACTTTGTCCAGTATGTTTGCATACGAAAAAGAAACTGAGCACCCTACTGGGAGAACGGGAAGCATCTCATCTGGAAAGGGGCTGCTCGACCCGTGCCACGGTCGTCAGCATGGAGAATGAAAATGCTGTGCGCAGGGCACAACGGACGGCACAGGCCACCCGCAAGAGCAGCGGCCGAAGCAGAGCAATTCAGGGACCAAATACATGGCACCAGAAAAAAAACATAGTACAATCAACAAGAACGACACCAACACCAACAGACGCGCCGGACGCACCGATTCCCTCCCCAGAATCCCTAACGGCTTGTTTCCTGCCCCTGCTGCCTCCCCTCCGGCGTCGTTTCTTGTCGCGAGCTTGCCGTTCCGTTCCTCCTCGAGTGTTGATTCCGCCGCACGTCAAGCACGTTGTTACCTAAATACAAGCATGCAGTGCCAGGTTTGAGTTCATTCAGCGAGATATCTACCCCTGTCGACCAAGCACGAGCTGGCGGGCAACGACCTGCGGCCAGATCACCATGAAGACACGCAACTATTTGCGAAAGCATGTGCATACTAAACCAACACGTATATCAGTCAACCGTCGGAAAAGCGAACTGCAAAGCCGTCACGTGGCTCATCATCGAAGACTGCCGTTCTTTGCTTCCTCTGCCGAGTGTGACCAGTTTCACAAAAGCCACGCCCGGGTTTCGGGTTGCAACACATCAGCGGTACAACCAAGCCAACTCTCATCCATATTGCTGTCACCGACACAATCGAGCGAGAACAAGACAACAAGAATGACTGCCTCTCACCACTTCGTTGCGACACTTGTTGGTGTTGGTTTTCTCCACCCTGGTTTTAGCCTTGGCCTTCTTCACGCTAGGTGAAGCCAACGAACGGTGACGGACTCGAATGCGGCAGGTTATCCCCGGGGTCAGTATGCCTCCACAAGAGTTGCACAATGAGTCTGACACCCATTCCGGGAGCAAGGGGCCGCTTCCTGCTGCTGGGGGGGGGGGGGGTGTACTCATAATCGTGCATGCCGTAATCGTTTGACCATTGACCTCGGGGGGGGGGGGAGGGGGTGAAAGCCAACATCATTCCCAAGAAAACTTCCCCTGTCTGCACACGGAAATCTCGTTAAATCGTTCATGGACCATGGGCCCATCTTTCCCTCCGTAAGGGTACAAGCGGGCACGCATACCTAGAAGAGTTTCAAAGGAGTTGAAGGGCCGCTTCTTGAAGCCATATACACAAAAACGCGGCAACAGCAGCAACGACAGTTAAGGGCTGTGGTGCCTCAGAACACATCCTTGCGGTAGTCTGGCCGAGAGATGTCTGTTGTTTCGGTTCTGTCTCAGCGGACTCTCTGATCGCGCTGTTTCAGTGGCCACCGATTGCGATGCGAAGCTAGATGCTCCACAGCTCCTTCGCAAAAGGGTTGAGAGTGGCAATAGCCACATCAAGTGCAAAAAAACACACAACAACAACACGCCCTCTTCAACGGGTGGTACATGCCTATGGTCTGTAACGTATCGTAACAGGTGAAATCATGAACACAACTATGGTATCGATAGATACGTGTCTCCGCGGATGTAGTGCCAACGAGACCTACAGCAGGTAAAGAAAAACCGCACAACACAAAAATAGACGAGATTCTCAAGCCCTCCCAGTCCCAAAAAAGCGTAAACCTGAGTCGCGAAAAAGAAACGGCCACTTTTATGTATGTCTCAGGTGCTCATTGCACCAACGGTGAAAACAAAACTCGCATCTAGCATCTACGATGGCAGGAGGCATTTCGGACCACTTGGGCGCTTGGCGTGACTGCCACTTTGATATCCCGACAGCTCGAAAGAAAAGGCTTGTTTGAATTTAGGTGATTTAAGAATAAAACAAAACATTGTCCAACAAAACGCGGGCGCCATTTTGTAACACCGCCGCTAAGATTTTCACCCAAACCAGAGCGCGCCGAGTGGGACGCTGACGAGAGCACAACCACAAAAATATTATCAAAAACAAGTGAATGACGTGATACTGTTGATGTTGTACATAGCTTACCTGGCCGCCGGGCTTCATACTCCGCACAGAGCTTGCGCAGCTGGTCCCTGCGGTCCGCAAGAAAAAACAATCAGGGGTAAGACAAGAAGCAAACGATGACTGCACGAGACAAAGACACCGCAGTCAGCAAGCAATGCTGCAGAAAAGGCGGGAGGCGGTGGAAATGCTCAGGTATCTATGACTCGACACTCCGGTCTGCTGCGAAACTGAAGAGATAATATGTTCTACTTCTACTTGTCAATGATGCAGGATCGAAAGGCAAACCCGAAACACACACACAAAAACAATCGTTATCAGAGGTGCTGTGCCCAACCGAAATCGAACAACGAACACTGAAGCACGAGCGGTGAGAGGTAGGTCCTTCAGAAAAAACGCGACACAACAAGCCTGCCGTAACATGCTTCTACACGGCACCCCCGGGAACTCAATGTAGCCAAAACACAAAGAAGGTGCGTTTCGCGCGAAACGTTTGTTGTCCAGCTCGTCGACTCGATTCGGTAGGCGAGGCTTGGTACTTCTATGTGGTTGCGGGAACAGCGCGCAATCGAATGGAAATAAAGCTTACTCGGTAGCACGCGATTTTCGTTGGGATTTAGATACCGTTTGTCTTCAACTCCACGTTCGGTATAATAACCCAAATAACCAAAATACAAGGCAATCGCCTGCGGAGTACAAGCCGAAGAACAATCAACTTGTTGCTCGACGGGAAAGCATCGTTCATTGCCCGTGTCATGCACTCAACGAGTATATCCTGGAGACCGCGGGGCTGACCAGGCGAAGACAGTTCGACGCCCTCCACAGGAAGTCCATCCTCTGGAACACGTGCTCCGTGACACCGTCCTGATCCAAGAGCATCAAAAACAGACAATCATTTAAGGTCGCATACGAGAAATGCACTGCTGTTGCTGCTGTGCTATAAAGTAGAGTAGTTGTTTCACCAACAGCACGAAAACACGATCAAACCACGCAACAGGCACAAATGTACCAACTCGTCCAACCGGTTGTGGTTTCAGGTGCGGCATCACCATTGTCCCATCTTGCTACTGTACTCCGCCATTCCGTTGGGTTGGTGGGAAGGATTAGCATGTGATACCACCACACACCGGTACAGTACCTACCGTGTTGTGTACCAGTTAGGTTGCTCCACACAATGGGACTCCAAATAGACCTATAGACGGATTTCCTACGGGCTGAGGGCTCGAGATTGCTGGAAATGCAAACCTGATGCTCTCGTGAGCCTAGAGCCCTTTTTTTCGAGGTTTCTCCGCCCGTAGACCTCGCCTCGAAGCGAGACTTGCACCTACCGATAGCCCTGTGTTGCGACGGCCCTCCCGGAGTGCCGCGCGCTCTCGGGGCGGACTGCGCGCAGCGCTAACGAGGGCAGAAAGTCGCGTCTCTGACATCTACCATGGATCCACCAATCACGCCCCGATTTCTTGACAGTGCAGGCCATTCATACATTCGGCAAGCGGCTGACGTCATGCGTGTGCGCTGGCTACACGCTACACACCCTTCCACATACGACAACCAAGCCACCAAGTCTCCGCATTACACGAGACAAAGTAATCTACTGCTGTAGTGCGCTTCCCTTTCGATCCCAGCGAAAAGTGGGGGGGGTAGCGGCTGGTGTCGTGTGCACTGCTGTCTGCAAAACTACACCCGCCCGAGAAAAAAAAACAACATGAAATACGTTGTTTGTTCCTCCGTTTCATGGAAGCACAACTTTTTTTTGCGGAAATATCTTCTGGCTACCTGCTGCCTACGCAGTAGTACAGCAGCAGTATATTGTAGAGCAGCTACAGGGACGACATGCTCCGCATCCCACCAACACACACCAACACACGAACTTCTACAGTCATCTGACTCCCAAAACCCTCTGGCAGAGCATATAGCAATACTGCTGCTGCTGTGGGTACAACCATATTTTCGTAAATCGGCAAAAGTTGTCTAAACGACGCGCAAAAACTACCGTACGGAATGATTTGCGCTGCTTTTCCTCGCCTCCAGTACTCAACCCCGATTCTCACCACCGACGGCTGTACATCAGATCACATACGAAGACCACACACACACCCTAGAAGAAGCGAACTTTATTCAGCTACAACGTCTCGCTGAGGGGGTGGGTAGCACATATGGGAGAGGGGGAAGAGAGAGAGAAAAGCTGTTTGCCTGGTGTATCTTAGTTTTATTGTTCGACACATCCCCCCCCGCAACCCCTCGTGTCTTACGAATAGTAGAGTATTGTAGGGGTCGCACCTCTGTTTTCTTATTGAGACGTTTCTTCTATTGTCCGGTTTGAGCTGTTATGTAGCTTAACTTATTTTCCTATTTGTTCGTGGAAGAAGTGAGCCTTTGTTTCTTAAAAACAAATTTCTTACTCCGAGAAATTAAATGCTCTCTGTCTCCTCCGGCCGTGGCGCATAATAACATAGAAGTATTAATATATTCATGGTGCGTCCCTGCTCTTCGAACAAACAAACAACTTTTCCCTCTTCGCAGCGTTTCTTCTTCGTATCTCTCATTTCAAAACTCCACCGGCACACACTTGCCATCGCCATTGAACCTACGAGCGTAGCGGCGACCGCGAAACGGTACGCCGCGAAGCGCCCTTGTATGACTTACCAAAATCTGTCTCGATGACAATTTGGGGTGTAGAACTATCATCAACCTCTTGGGGGAAGTTTCTCTGGTCGGCACACATTGATACCCTTTCTCCAGCCTAGGTAAAGTACGTGTACCACAAACCACATAGGCTCCCCACCAGAGTCTGCAGTGCTATGGAAAAGGCAACTGCTACCTTTTGCGGCCCAAGCCCGACCCTAAGCCTAAGGTGCTACTGCTGTACCCCCCACACGGTGCTTAGGAATGCCGTAGCTGCAAACCTTTCCCTCTTGTAATACGAGAGGATATTGCTTTCCGTCTGTCTGTCTCTGTCTGTCTTGCTACCTATCTCTCTCTCTCTCTCTCTCTCCCTCTCCTTCTCTCCCCTCTTCTCTCTCTTTCAGCCGCGCATCATCTTGTGTACCGTACAGCTACCGCGCGGACTGACTGCTGTACCGAGATGCTCGGTACGTCCTTCCTCTCACCGATTCAGTCATCTCGCGAGGGAGTCCTTCACACTCAGCAAGCTCCAGCACTTTTCGTTCCTCGGTTTTGGCAGCACCGTCATCGCCACGCCCTGCCTCCATGAGCTCCGCCTGGTTCCTTCACCCGACTTCGCGCATCACCGGTGCCCACCAGGCCCTTCTATGCGTGGATGACGCCGGGTTGGTGTGCAGTGTCCTTCTCTGAAGCGGGATTCGATTTATTCTGCCCACTCCAGGAAGCATACAACAACCAACCCACACGCCAGCTGCCAGTCGACGCACCTGCTACCTAGCTAGCACAGCTCACGTGGGCACCAAGGCCGAGCCTTTGACCTAACATGCGGCGTAATAAGAGCAGGAAGCAGGAAGCAGGAAGGGCAGTCGTGCTGGGCTCGAACCAAAACGTCGGGCGTAAAACCCGGGGTTGATCTTGAAACAACCCCGGCATTTCGGCGGACAGCTCGGTTTCAAAGCGAGAGGGTGCATCACAAACAGGGCCCGTTTTGGATCACTTGGTTGGTAACTCGGAGACGTCGAATACCTTCCTTCGGAGGTGCGTTGATATCCAGTTTGGCAGCAGTACGATGCCGACACGTCCGTATGTGAGGGTGTTGGTGTCAGCGAAAGTGACCTCTGGAGCATGCTAGCAGTAGTGCTCCCTCTTGAATTGCTGAGTTGGGCTCGTCTCTCCCTGTGTGAAGGCGTTTTCAGCAACTGCGTAGCGCAGGATACGCATCTACAGAAATGTGTTTGCCCTTCTTTGGTAGCATATCTCGTAGGAAAATGTCGATCCAAAGCTAGAAGAAGAAGATGCAGGCACTTGTCGGAGACTGACACCTTTTCTCTCTCTTTACCGTACATATCTACGCAAGACAACACCCCCCCCAGTGATACCATGATATCATGGGGATTCTAATGTATGCAAATCATGACCTGTGTGCATGCGTGTTGTTTGTGTATGGGTTGTGGTACCTTTTGTAGCCCTTTTTATCTTTGCCAAACAGTGGGTTTATGTTTGGCTCATGCTGATCCGTATCAATATTTACCCGACGGGTTGCATGTTGTGTGAGGGGTGTCATCGTGTGTAGGACACCCGCATGTTATGTGAGGGGTGTCATCTTGTGTAGGACACCCGGCGGCGTGGCGCCTACAACCGCCGTATTGGGATTCTACTATTGAATACAGTATGGGAAGGGTTAGAGAAACCCGCAGCGACCTTCCGACTTAGGAATACTGCCCTTCAATGCCTACCAGGAGACGGCATTGTAAATCAAGATTGCTAGTTGTTCGCCTCCAATTTTCATGATGGCCAACGAGAGGGAATGCATATAACAGCCCCGCTCTCAAATCCTTGGTAATTTTTCAAGGTACCTATAGTCATTGCACCCGTTTCTTTACGTCAGGAGAGACTACTTGTGGTGGAGCAGCAAAGGCACGTACCTGCTGTCTACTTGCAGCGGGTGGACCTTGTCTTCACCCGCCGCCAGAGCGCGGGGAGATATTGTACATCAGACACGCATACAGCAGTGTAGAGATAAGCGAACGTGACATGAGAATAGAGAAACTCTGTTACAGCAGTATCAGCTTTTATATTTAGGCGTTCGTGCGTGCTTGTGCGTTGGTTCAGTGTCCTAGGCAGCGTGTTCTGTTTTAGTTTGTATTTACGTGAGCGGTTTCTGCCGCGTCTCTCTCGGCCGGTGACGTCCTCTTGGGCACTTTCGACGGGTGCTCTTGATCGTGTTCTCCAGATAGGGTGCAGCGCATTTGCACATTCTCAGCGATATAAAAAAAGTCGTGTTCGGCAACACGGAATTCCCCGCATCTTTTTGTGTCCACCATCGTTTGCCTCACCTGAAGGGACAAGTCAACGAAAGTAGAACCATGCTCGCACAGGATGATGACGGTCACACCCGACACTATGTAGAGTTGGGGCAGAAGATATGAAATCCTTGGAGATGCATTTTAAAGTCTCGGGTTTTCACGAAAATTTAGAACAATGAGTTACAAACACAGCTCAGCCATGGACTCACATTATTGTAAACTCAATACAACAGCCTGTAGTCGACGGTGGTAACGAACTAACCGTGGAATTGAGCCTCGACCCGACGTTTCTTGCCCACTGTACTTTGGGGACGAAACTACCCAATTGGTCGGAAAGAAAGGCGAGGGCGACGACGGCCATGCGGTCGCACGCCCCTGATCCCCATCCCTCTGTGTGAGATTTTTCCGAGCGAAGCGAGAGTTTGAGGATGAAGTTTGTACACCTGACTTCAGTATGTCGTGGCCATCACCGGGTGCAAATCATTTCCAGCGCAGGGCAACCGGGCCCGGGCAAGCGCACGGTCCGAACGCATTATCGCCGCGCACGTTACTTGCACTAACGGCGCTCGGCCGACGACGGAGTAGTGGGGGCATCCACAGAGAGGACGGTCACGCGGCGCCTAGCACAATCACGAAGGAAGGCGGCGTTAGAGCAAGGCGCTAGCAACGACTAGAGCAAGCCAGGACGCAGGATAAAGCGGTGCGTGCGGCTTGAGGCGGCACCTCACACCTCAGACCTCACCCCCCATCTTCAGCCGTGCGAAGATTGATCCAGGCGTGTCATCATGATCAGCGGAGATTCCACCGCGTCCCACATGGGGAGCGTCAAGGTGGGTCGAGACACAATGTGTAGGCAATGCTTCGCCGGTTGTTTCTCAGTAGTGGATTCCAGGGACCTAGATTGGCGCGAACACCGTCTTAACTGGATCGAGCTGTTACGAATCCAAACACATGTGAGCAGGATTGTCCCAATGGTCTCTCCGATGATTGGGAAATTGCCTTCTGGTATCTAACCCAGGCAATCAGCGTGCATACTTGCTCGAATCGTCTCGCGCACTCATGGGTGTAGGAATAAGTCGCCATGCTCCATGTGCAATTGTTTTACCAGTGATTTGATTGCCATCTTCCGATAACACGAAGGAAATGACACAACTCGTTTGTATGATTTTTTCCGAGGGGTTTCGATAGCGATACTGCAACAAGGTAATCCCACCATCACACCACCGGCCACGCCTTGTTCAGAATATTGAGAAAGCGAGGGAGAGAAGGACTTTCGAAGTTATGCCGGGATCTTCCGCCGCGGATCTTCCGGATGAGCTCCAAGAACAAACGCAGGTGACGGTTGGGTGCACATTGTGTGGTAAATAATCATTGTACTGAAGAAATTGGGATCATTTAGTGAGATTTCGAGACTTAAGAGAGTCTTGATATTTGGAATCAGCGTTAGAACGACGAAGCGTTGTTGATGTTGCTGCAGGGCAGTCCGTGGGTGCGGGTAAAAAAATACGATAAATAGCGTCGAGCACGTGGTCTGGCCAATACCCAAATGCACGTTAATCGATAATTACCGGCCATAACGTGATGTCTAGATATGCATTGCGCCGCACCCTAACACCGATTTTTGAACAATATTTTTGTTGGAAGCGCTGGGCAACAGGTTCACATGAAGCGGGCCGCTGTTCCTGTCGTTTTCTCGCGGTTTCTAAGCAAATCGCTATGGCACCGTATCACGCGTTGTTTGCGGCAAACTCCTCCACGGAGGTATCGTCGTTGAGAGCGCAGCTTGTTGAATAGACAACCAAGTTTTTTATACCCCCATTTTTCTAAAAGCTCGGGGTGTTTTCACCTTTTGTACCCGAACTGCTCTGTGCTGCCCAACGGTTTCGAGCAGACCATCCACCCCCGGATGGGGTACGATATGTCTGATAGCCTCTTCATGCAGCACCAGGAGGCCGCCGGCAGAGAGAAGGAGTCCAGAAGGGCGTTGGAGGAGAGAGCTGCTCTGGAGGCATTTCGCGCTGCAGCACTGAAGGTTTCTTCCTCCAATCACGTTGTATTCTATGAACCCTATTTATTGTTCGTACTTGCATTATTGTTTCTTGGATAGCATTGTGCACTACTGCTGTAGAAGCGATGAGTGATTCACTCGCTCTACGCGTACAGCAAAAATGCCGTTTTACTGCGCAAGACTGTCGAATACATTTTTTTCGCAGTGTCGGTGGCGATCGAATACACGTGTATCGGTCAGAGTCGCGTAGCCCGTCTTCAGGTTGGTTTGACGACATGTACTGTAGGGTGTTTATGTTGGGAAGATGCGTTCAAGGAAGCATGGCGCTTTTTCTTTGCCAGATGGTGAGGGGAGATTTGCCCCTAGGGTACCCCTCCGTTTACGGCACATGATTCGGAGGTGTTGTCGATACGTTCTATGAAACACACGCCCTTCTTTACGAGGAGTGAACGTAATGGTGACGTTGTTCGGACTTGTGTGTTTGTGAACGTCCTCATGGCGTCTGGGTCAAAAGGACAGGTACAGTGAAACGTTACCTATCCCAATGAGTGCGCGCCCTGCCCGTTTTGTTTTTTTGTACCACGTATGTATGTACGCAGAATACAACGTCTCCATAAAAATCTTCATCTCCCTGACGCCGGCCATTCTACCCGGTGCCCCAAACTGTACCTCGCATTCCTCGCAATTGCCGTGGGATTCCACTGCACACCTCAGAAACCCTTTGATCCCGCGGCAGCGGCCACTGGTGCTAAGGGGGACGGGGGATCAGGAAGCGGCGCCGGCGGAGCAGGGGCGGACAGCAGACGGAAGGAACCACCACCACCGCTCGCGGGGATAAAGCTCCGAAAGAAAAATTCTCGTTCGGGCACATCATCATCACCATCACCAGCGGTAACAGCATCAGGGGTTTCCTCTCCGCAAACAGTTGGTGGCCAGACCGTAGCAGAAGGAGAGTCACCAGGAGCGGGCGGGAAGAGATCGGTCGACACTCAGGGCGGGGGAGAAGAGGGTGAAGGGGGGGCTGCGAAAAAGAGAGAGCGGGAGGACGGAGGAGCGAAGAAAAGTAAGAAGAAGAAAAGTTCCAAGAAGAGCAAGAGTAAGACCGGAAAACACAGCACGAGCGCCCACGAAGGTGGGGGCGGCGTGGGCGGAGAAAGTGGCAAGGGCGGCGCGGCGGCGGAGGCATCGTCTGGGCTTGGGTTAGGGTTGGTGGCATACTCGAGCGGGGACGATGATGACGAGGAAAGCTGATGCGCGATCATGATGGTTTTTGCGGGGGAAAAGGGTTCTACTAGTATCGCGCCTGTGTTCCCCGCTGACTCATGACGGAACGGCATACACTATCTGATATTGGTACCATTAAAGAGAAAGCAAGCAATCGCCCGATACCTTCATGTTCGTTCATGGAGACGCACCATAGTTTGGTTAGTCACTACTTCTATTTAGACTGACAAAGGTTCCACGAGAGATATAAAAAGCTTGAAGTTGACCCACTCTCGCAGGAGAGACGTTGCGAACATAGACCATGTTCAGGCATGATAGAGCTTCTTGCTGTAGCGAACTGTGCAACTAATGCCATGTTGCATGATCATCGTACAGGGTACCGTTGAAGGTATTTGCGTGTCGATAAAAGTCAACGAGTTAGACAACGGGTTCGGGTAGTTCGTAGCTGGGGCATCAGATGTATGGATTCTTGTGTCGCCAGCAATCAGGGCAGGTGGGAAGAAGAGGGGCAACGGAGAGCTCTCGGTTTGGGTATCTCGTGATTGATCATTACGCACGAGATAATCGAACATCGGCGATAAACATCTCATATCTCACATCCATCAATCAACTCGTGGAGCGGTGCGCGTAGTCGGCAACTGTATCCTGTCTCGCCAGCTTGTATGGCCCCTATCCGTTCTTGCTTCAAGCAATAATCGATTGTGGGGCGCATGGTCGGCAGTTCAATCCCTTTGAGATGGACCATGACGCGTGACTTGAACGGTGGGGAGGTTGGAGTTTTACGGTGGCTGGCGCCACTCACGCCGGTTTGGTATGCTCCCATTTCGCGCGTTGTTGATGCTGTACAAACGTTTTAACACCAGCCGCCCCGAAGCACCTCGTGACAGGTCCAAAACGTCCGCTCACCCCAGGTGTCTTTGTGACGACGCTCAACGACACACGGTAGCCACCCAGGTCGTTGGGCACCTTGCACCCCAGTCCACATGGAGCAGTTCAGCGTCCGAAGACACGCCGCCGTGTACGCAAGTGGGGTAGGCGACGAACACGTCACTCCACGAACGATGCACACACACGCACGCCGCGATCAGAACAGAAACAGCAGCGCCTTCCTCGCCGTACATGTTGTACAGAAGGTGCCACTGGACACGATGTCGTCAACGACCCATTCTTCCAGTAAGTGGAACGAATTGTTCCAGACTACAGACTAGACTGTCTGTGTTGATGCACAGTTTTTTCCGTCCTAAAGCAAAAACCAAACGCATGCATTGTGAGATGGGGCAGGACCAACGGTTTGAGAGAGGGCTTCTCCCAGGACGAGGTCGTCATTTCCAGGCATCCGACAAGTCTAGAAGACTGTTCCTGGGACTCGTGATGGCTTTCGTCTTGGTCTCTCCGCATGGGTACGTGGTGTTGTTGAGGCCGAGAGCCGGCCCTGCCACAAACACTCTCTCGAAGGCGCATCTATAGCACAAACGCAGGTGGTTCGTGGAGGGGGGGGGTGAGTATTGCGAACAACATAGCACACGCGCTGGGGGTGATTTGGCCACCAAGCTTCCCAACGATTGTAGGAAAACTGGGAAACTTGGATGTACTGCTTCCCGGGAGTACTGACTGAGGATTGTCTTTCGCGCCACGCGTACTGCGACTCCAAGCCCCGACTGGTCTGTGCCTAACACAATAGTGGGGATGGGCATAGCTAGCCAACATTGCAGCGCTATTCAGAACATGCCAGTGGGAAGCCAAAGCAAAATGGCGGTTTTCTGGTGCCGTAGCTGCATCGTCAAATTCACACATCTCAATACCAAAGACAGCCACCTAGTGAATCCTCGGCGGAGAGGTAGGCTGTACGATGGGCACCCCTCCACGACGTGCAGGTCGACTAAGCGGGATAGACGTCCAAGTTCCGATGGCAGAGGTCCTGGAGCATTAGACGATGCGTTTATCAAGCGTATGCGGGAACTTACGGAACAACCAAGACCATGCGCGTAGAGAACGTCATCTCAAAACTCCTATTGTAGACCAAGTCGTCAACACCAAAATTTCCAACTCCACCTGAGGAGCGCAAAACACTTTCTATGTGAAGGGAACGTCGGCCCGATTCGAAGAGTTCATTGCACTCCGATTTGTCACGCAGGTCCTTGATCCTTGTATCTATTTTCGTATGCAACCTCCACATCGGAAGCACAAGGGCGCGTGCTTGTCATGTCGTATAGTCTACGTCAACAACGCTTGGTCCAACGCTCGACTCTACGGGGCACGAGGTACATACCGGCAGTCGAGCAAAGCAGAACTTACCGACGATGAAGTTGTAGCCGACTTCCAGCCCGGCGAGCTTTGCCAAGTCGCCGAGTTCCGGCGGCATTTTGCCTGCACCAGGGTATTCAGTGATACAGCCAAAACAGCTTAGAGTTGTTGGCTCGTTCTTCTGCTCGTGGCTGTCTCCGTGTTGATACAACAACAAACTGAACTCCAACCACATTGATGTGTTCTGCCCAAGACCAACTACCCTATGCAACTCTAATCCTATCCCTTCCCTCAGAGTCGAGCCGTTTCAACGCCAAGGCGCGTCGAAAACAATTGGAAACGCTGAGACCGCTTTTGGACTATTTTGGCTTTGACATGTGTACACCTTGGAGCTGGTTTCCAGCCAAGTTCAGGACTCTCAGCTCGGTCAACTCGCCCAAGCACCTCGGTAACGTTCCGGATAGACAGTTATGTTGAAAGTGAGCGACCTACAACGAATGGGACATAGAGTGTGCGGCCGCCATGGATGTTGCGCGGTGTCATATGCGTTTCATTAATACCGCTCGATAAAACCACTGCGGCCGAGTTTCATCACTTTCGTGCGTTGCTGTTGTTCTTATCATATGTATCAAGAAGGGTGATATCATTTGATTCAAGACGAATACCGATGCCCAACGAATACTAGCAAGGGGTGGGTGGAGGGGATGGCGGGGCAAAACAACCCGGACGTGCTGGGTGCATTTCTCGGTAGGCCCTCGCTCTCTCATCAAGCTCCGTATCCACGGCAAACACTGGCTTGCTTGAATGGATCACTACCGTTCGTTGAATTTGTGTGGCACACAAACAACAAGAGTACGTTGGCGACGAAATGAAGCAGCTTCGACGACGGTCCTGAGATATAACAAGAACATGGGCAGCACAGCACTTCCGTTACGACAGTTCAAGTACCAAAGGCAGCAAAATATCAACAGTAACAACAACAAGGCAAACGGCAAATAATATATTCATTTACGTACCTCGATGTGGCGAAGGTTCTGAAAAGCCTTGGGGAGGCGACCAGACAGTTGGTTGTGGTCGAGCAGCAGCCGGTGCAAGCACGTGAGCTTTCCAAGCCAGGGTGACAGAGTCCCTTCGGGATTTTGTGCCAGGGAAAGGGGGAGGATTTCGTCAGGGTGCGGGCGTTGTTACGGTCAAATGGAATTCGTCGCTTCCATCAATGGGCCACGTACCGTTTCTGTACATGAAACGCCGACCGTCTTATCGCTACTGAACCGTTGTAACCATCAACTGGTCTATTGCGCTACCTTGTAAGCATGACGACTCGCCATGTCGTATGCGTATCCAGTGTCTTATCGTCATGCACAAGCTAATATTCGCAGTAAAGTAAAGATCGTGCACACCGACACCGTTCAACGCCATTTCGTTCCAACCTGTTGCTGTTGGGTTTCATTGCGCCTCTACTACTGTATATACAATATGTTGTCTTCATATCATTGTGCTCCCCAAGTCTTCAGATGCAACCATGAACTATTAAAGCCCTGGCGCTCGCCACCGAGCATGGCACAACCTCACCACCTGTTCACCTTCTAGACGGTTGCACGAGAGGCTCAGCAATCGAAGCCGCACGAGGTCAGCGAACGACGAAGGTATTCTCCCCGTGAGTCGATTGTGGCCGAGAAAAAGTTCCCGCAGTGCTCGCAAGTTGCCTATTTCAGGCGGCATCGAGCCTGGGGTGAGAAGGTTTACACGCAAACACACATTCGCTGGTCGGTCGAGCCAACCTTACAGCGCGAAGAGGCATGCCATGATTCAAATCATACTCTGAGACAACCAAAGACAAACCACACTTTCTCTCTTCTGCCTCGCTCGAAGCCCCCAAGATAGAGAAAATCGGAATTCCTCAGCTAGTTCAGGGAAGACCGCTTTCTCGCTCCCGGTTAGAAGGTAGAACGGCAGACCTCAAAGTCTAAGCGGGTGGTTGGAACCATCTCCGCGATGGCAATGAAACATACACTCTTCGTTGTGTTTCCAACTCCCGTTTACCGAGACGCCGGCGTAGAGAGTCGACCCCACCCGTCGCAGAACACACTAATATCGCGTTCCCCAACCTATCTGGGACGGTTTTCGTTCATCCTTGCCGCCCTGTGAGTGTTTCGAACCCAACTGTGATGATATTATTTGCTGCGCGGAAGTTCAACCCGCGACCACAAAGCACACGTCGACACCATCGCAGGCAAATATGAACAGCTTCTCAGTACTTTCGCCGTCAATGTATCGTGTCTATGTTGTGGGGCGATGACCAACAGACAAACTGTTTCAGCGAGGTGAGCTCGAGCAATTCAACAGCGAGTTACCGCAAACAGAGCAATGTACCATTGTGTCGCTGCATGTGGTAGCTGCACCTTAAGGAATGCGTTATCGAGCAACATTATGATAGCCCTTGTTGCGATTGGTCACTGACAAGTGCAAAGGGGCAGTTCATGGGAGGGGAGAGCAAAAACAAATTCCAAAATACGACCTCGGGAGAACCGAAAAAACTACGCGTTGTGTCATGCGAATCTGACAGGGAATATCAAATGCGGGCGTCGTTCACGCTGATTATGTCGCTCACCGCTGAGCCTGTTGTGGGACAAGTTTAGCAAGGAGAGCTTGGTGCACCGCCCGAGAGATGGCGGAATTGGACCTGATAACCTCGAATGGGAGATGTCCAGCTCCCGAAGCCCTGTAAATGGTTGCCGTGAAGAGAGGTAGTCACGTGTGAGCCAATAATTCGACAGGGCTAGTGGCAACAATCGTTAGATTGATGGACCAACAACATGAATCCCAGTGGAGAAATTTTGGAACACCGTCGACGAATATCAGGGTCGCCGTTCAGAGTCAGAGTGTGGGCAGCGTTGCTGTTGATTCTTCAACGCTGCGGTGGACATGTGTTCCTACCCGTGATGTTGGCTTCCGATGCAGCGAGCGCAATGCTGGGAGCGTTCAAGGGCAACACCCGCGGAACGCGTGACACGACACGTGCGATCTAGGTTCTGAGGCGAAGACACCGTGGCAAAGGTGCCGATCAGGCACACAAGGACGCCGATTGAATGCCACCAGGAGAAAATGTAGGCCAGACCACGACAATGGCAACACTCCTCGCGAATGTCAAGCGACAAAGGCCCACCCTTGATCTCGCCGAGCGTGCCCGGTATCGGCCCCTCCAGCTTCGAGACCGCGAGGCGGAGATACTGGAGGTGGACCATCTTCCCAAGCTCAGGAGGCAGGGTACCTTGCACGCAGGGAGAGCACCAAACACGAGAACAGTAGTCAAGCGTTCCCTCGTTGAGATGTCGAGTTTGATGTATCATACAAGGAAGGTGGGGCGTGTGTTGCTAGAATGTAAGGACGGGGCCCTCGTCCCTAATATCCTCAGTGTCGCCCTCCGCAAGCACGAGTGGTGCGGGGTTGAAGCAGGAGAAAGCCTCACACGACCATGCCGTCGTGGACGTCGCGGTTGTCTATTCGACATTGGGTACCGGACTGCAAAAGCAAGCGCTCATTTTTTCACTCTCAGCCTCAACAGAGGCATCTATAACCTTGTCAACGCTTTCAGGATTGCATTTGGGCACAGCGAGGTTTGGTTTAGGCATCACAGCGTCTAACGCAGGGATCTGAAAATACCCAACTGTGTCAGCAGATGCCACTTGCGTTCAGTCAGTCAACGCCGCACAGTCAGCAGCGCTTCATCGAGGCGCGAAGATGGGGGCAATTTCCTGCCGTGGAAGTAGACGTACCTCCAATCTCATTGCCTGAGAGGTCGAGGGTCACCAGGCCGCGCATGTTTGTCAAAGCAGCGCCAGGTAGCACACCTTGGAGCTGGTTGTCGGACAACCTCAGCCCCTGAACGTCGCCTACACCGCACTCTACTCCGGCCCAGCACCATGGATTGCTTCTCGTTCAATGTTGGCGAGACAGATTGGGGTTCGCGTTTGAGGTCGAGCTCGAGTATGGCTAAGGAGGCAGGAATGCGCTTCTGGACAGAATTACCAACAGGGACCATCCCTTGGAGGCCATTTCACCAAACAAATGCGTCTCGGGAAACAGAAACGACACCTCACCTCTCGCGTCGCGACCTGAGCATCACTCTAGCTTCTCTCTGTGGTCACGCCATGCACAGGACACACAAACTAAAGTACACAAGACAACTCCCAATGAGTACGACTGACCATGAGAAAGGCGGTACCCCTCTTGTGTTGGCTGTGGCAGTTCTCCCTAGCCACCCTGACAAGTCTAGCCAACGACGCCCTGTTGAAACGTGATTTGCGCGGGGCGTATTTAGTCAAGGGGGAATTCACAGTTTGTCCTCTGGTGACTTCAACTCCACCAAAACAACGGTGAAATATGTCGAACTATAAACAGTAATTGGCCATCACACGTAGGTTTCATGTCTATTGATGTGACTCAATGGGTTTTGGTTCCCCTATATCGAACGCCCATGCGCTGGATTTTTATTGTGCTGTGTGCGATTTCGTGCCGCCGATCAATTCCGTCCGCTGCACACCCTCCGCGTGTCACCATCATACCCTCAATGCGTCAAAACTCATATTACAAGAGGTGGTATTCGGACATATGGCGGAAAACTCCCACACACACACTTCCACCGGACGCTTTTTAACCACACCCTGTCGTCTTCTCCCTGTGCCTCAAATGATTTTTTTTTCAGTGAAGGGGGGGGGATATCTTGCAACAACGCGAACGCTCTCCTGGTTGGCAAGTCGAGAAGCATGGGACACTTTGCAATTTCCAAGTTTCTCTTGCACAGACTTTCCTACGCACGTCTACCGCCAGGCGCCTTACCATGCATTGCCTCAAAAAATATCTCCAGCGCTTTCATATCACGGTCGCATACTGGTTGTGGGCGGCTGTACTCGTTACCAGTGGCGTGCATGTACAATCCTTCCAAAGCGATCTTGCCCAAGGGTTGGGGTTGCATGTGTTCCAGGCAGGAGGAGAAGAGAGAGGGGTGTGTGTGACGAAAGAGAGACGATACAAGGGGGGGAGTTAGTCTAGGGTCATCGAGGACACTCTCTCCTGATTACAACGAAACTTACTGTAGTTTTCAGAACAATTTATGTACAACGCACACAGACAGAGTTACCCGCGCCTGTAGAATACAAGGAGGATAAAGAGGGGGAATCCCACTAGAGATGAAGCGTCTCATGGCTGGAATGATCAATTGCCTTCGATATCGTCTTGTGGGGAAAGGGTGGCCGCGTTATCAACAAAAGAAAGAAATAAAACCTGTAGCTGTGCCGCGCACGATGGTCTACACCACCAGCAAAGGGTTGAGTAGGCTGGGTAGGTGGCGGGGCAGAGCAATTAGAGGGTGAGAGATGAACCGAAGCCTATCTCGTCGCGTTGAAGGCCTTGTTCGCCCCGTTTGCTCACAGCATATCCCACTACAGCCATTATCCAATCCCTCGGCTGTTGTGGATGTGAACGCTGACCTTTTCTTGCTGCAGTTCTTGCCAAAGGCGCTTGGTTGCTGGGGACACCTCCACCTTCGGGCCGAGCTTTTGCATCGCTGCCTTCTCCTCCTGCACAATCGAAGCGTCAGCAAAACCCTTTAAGCATCGCCGGAGCAGTGCGTCGGTGGGGTAGGCTTGCCCGCGAGACAAACCACCACCGCGTACACCACACCACTTCCCACTGCAATGATGGTCACCGTACTTGGTGTTTGCCCTGGTTCTAGTAACAGAATGCTTCAAGGGGGAATCGGGCGCGTTGTGGTTTGGACCGACTCACCTCGAATACGACGATGGTTGCCTCGAGCTCGAACCTGATGTCTCGGCTGTTGTAACTCCCTCTTCTGAGAAGCGAGGCCGCCATGATCTTGTGGGTTTACGGTTTATGTCGGAGCGCTGATCCACACTGCGTAATATGAACACGTGGTGTAATTGAGTGAGGTCTGATTGGGGTGGTTGGTTGTCAGGTTTTCTTGGGCTCCTTCGGTTCTCCTCATTGCCTCATTTTCCGCTTACAAAATATCGACAACGAACTTCCTGCCGGATACTGTAGTATTCTCGGATTTGAGACACATCCAGATTTCGGAACGAAATCGGGAAGAGTCAGATATCCCATGAAGCTCCTACCTTACTCATACGCAGTTACTGTAGTTTCAGGTTTCTTTGGGGCCCGAAAAAATCGCGTCCGCTCATGGGGAGAGGCTGTACAGTCCCGACGAACGAAAGCTGACTTGGCTTCAGCATGGAAAGTGTACCCAAATGCACTTTCTATACTGACGCCCAGTCAGCATTTTTTTCCAGTACCAGGCTGTACAGTTTCACCAGGGGACATGCGGGTTTTGGGAGATATGTGTACAGCAAGCCAGAGGCCGAGGAGAGGAACACAGGCATCACACCGCAGTACCATGGATGTGTACAACACGAAGCATTTGTCTGACTGAATTCCTGCCGTCCCGACAACATGTACTGCTGTGCTCGATGCTGTCCTGAACATATGCATAAAGTGCGGAAAAATTGTCTGGTGTATTGAGCTACTTAATATACTGGTATTTACTGTGTGCAGGTGGAGCCCCAACCGCTGCTTTGTGGGGCAACAATTGGGTTCTTTCTCTTCTCTCGAAGCATGCAGTTCCATATGGTCGTGTCTACATCTCCATGCATTGTGGTTGTTGGGGTGCTCTTTGCCGTTTTCAGAGTCAGTCTACATCAGGATCTAGTGCAGCACGTTCAATGCACGTCTGCTCGTGCGAAACACCTAAGGGTCAAATCCTACAGCCGCGCTTCTCCATATTGAGCTTAGGCTTCCAAGCGACAGCAGCACCATTGATTCAAATACATACGAATGTATGCCGGTGGCTGTGAGCCCAAACTACTACTGTATGCAGAGGTTTAAAATAAAATCCAAAATCAATGTAGACCTCGATTTCTTGTGAATATCGCACGCAAGCACTGGGTAGGGGACCTCAGGGAGAGAAATCCTTCAGTGTGACCACGGATTGGAGTCTACGGGTCCGGCAGAAATGCTCGGTGTTGTAGGCGCTTTGTTTTGAAGTGCGACGACAAAAAAAAAAAATGCGAGCTGCTGGCCGGCACTGTCCATTTCGAACACAGCAGATTCTGGACCATTGCCACCATGCCAGGTAAATGCTCAACTGGGTGCTACTGCTACGTCATGGCATGACGATAAACTAACTGTATAGCGTAGCCGCTGTTGTGCCGTGCTGCTCTCTCCGAAAGAACGGTGTCGGTGCATATTGCAATTGTGTCAATCAATCACGGGTTGCTGTGTTGCTCGCGGCAGCAAGCATTGGTCTACGTTTTCGGAAAAATCTACCCGCCTCCACCACTCACCTCGCTCACCGCCCACACGCTCCTTTGGGCGAGAGTGCAGGAACAGAAAGTTGACCGGGAAGAGAGGCACGCGAGGTCACGGCACAAGATGAGGGCGACGGGAGGATGGGAGGATCCATGGGGAGCCATGAAAAAAAACGCCGCTTGGTTCTCAGTGAACTCCCTGGCGTTTCATTGGCCCTACTTTATAAACAACATATACCGCTGAAGTGACGCCTGCCGACAGTCTTGGTTCGGCGAAGGGCGCGGAAGAACACAAGACAAAATCTCGCCGCATCTTTGAGCAAAAGTCGTGTCGTTAGGGATATGTAAGGAACAAAGATACGGACAGGGGGAGGAGGTAGATACAGCGAAGGTGCGGCTCGCTGTTGGCATGGTCGGTCAATCTAGAAGGCGAGGAAGCGCTCTGCCTGTCAGCGTCGATCGAAGATGGGACTGGCTTCTGGGTCAGGTATGTCAAACCCAGTGCGTGGTATGCGTGGTATGAACATGTCGTAGGAAGAACAACTGTACGTGTAGACTTGCGTACATGTTCGTGCCCACGGAATCAGTGTTGTGTGGAGTAATACCAGAATCAACGCTCGTGAAGAGCAGCAGCGTGCCTCGTGATGACCAGTTCGTTATCAAACGAAAGTGTAAGCATCACTTTGAGCCCTACAGCACTGTAGCACCCTCAGAGTTAAATCTTGTCTACAGTGTACGTTATACTGTAGTGGACTCCACACAGCGGTACAGAGATCGCCAGTGTGCAGCACCATCATGGAACCCCGAGCAGGCTGGCGTCCCTCCCCCCCGAATCGACAAATATCTGCCACCCTGTGAATGCATTCCAGCACGGGACTTCTGGAAGCTGGTCACACCGCCATGAGGCCGAGACTTTGAGAGCTGCACTACTGAGCACAAGGGTTGATGATACCATGCGGGGTGTCATCCCGCTTTTCTTTGAAAATTGAAGACAGAAGGACCGCACCAGGTCGAGATACCGCAACAGCAATCTCAATAGGGATGTACTGCATGGAGTCTTTGAAGCCAGCATTGAGACACACCCTCCCCCATCGTTGCTGCGACAATGGCGCAAACGTTTCGCCGCTGTTGTTGCAAGGTGGCGCATTCTTTCCCCAAGGTGACGGCGCAGAACATCCGGTCCTTTGGCAACAGCGAAGGGGCGTTGGCAAGAGTCAACGCGTTTCTGGAGGGGGGACAGGGAGATCCTTCGGCTCTATACTTTTTCTCGGACAAGGGAAACAGTGGTCTGAGGTGAGCAAAAGAAGGTGGTACAGTAGTGCTGTCTTCTTTCTTTCCCAAAGCAACCATTTCACCTCGGATTCAAAAGCAATGGTCCGGATTATACAGTGCATCATGAGAGCCATGGAGGGTGTGTGGTATTAAGGGCGCGCGATCCCGGGTATGCGTGGGTGTGGCACGTAACTGCTGTTGTCGCACTTACAGAGGAGGTGACACCTAGGGAGTGCCATACATCCGGAAAGGCATGGATCCAAAGAACACCGTTGTACGACATGCAACTCGCTGAACCTGGGGACAAACAATACGTGGCCTACCTACCGTGCAGATTAGCATTTTCACCCGTGTCTCGCGTGCCACTGAGTGGTAGACTGAAGTACATATTATCCTGAGAAGCCTCTGCCCGAGCGCTTCCATTGTACAGTAGAACATCTACCCAAAAGGTACGTTGCCATCGTGGACGACGTTGGCTGCAGGGTTTCTTCTGCGCTACCTACCTAGCGGCAACTGCAAGGTTTGGTTTGTACGGCAGAGCTCTTCTGTGGCCGTGAGGTATCAGCACCAACCGGACGCACTCTGGCGCCCTACTACTGTCCTGTCCTGCGCCACCTCCTCGCTCGCAGGGTGGAGTTGAAGCCACCGGAGAATACCAAGGGCACTTGCGTATACGCTGCCAAGCTGGAACCAAGGGCTGTCTCTGGCGATGCTTTTGATCAAGAGGCGAGCGGAACTGTGTCCATAAATTCGTGTAAACATCGTGGTTTCGTAGTAGTCGGCATAGACTACTATTCTTTCGTAGCCAGGACTGTCGGGATTGAACTGCACGTGGAAGTCTTGCGTTGATCGTGTTCGACATCGAATCAAACTCTCCCGTAGGAAATATCATTAATGGTCATGGCTGATGTCACAACGGCACGCAAGAACCCCACACCTAACACCAAATCAGCGTGTATCCAGAGCGGTACAAACGACACTTTCAGCAAGGTAGAGTCAAGTCTACCGATACATTTCCCCCTTCCCGAAGGTAAGCGAGGTCGGGTGCCGTACCCCCTCCATTGACGATACTTTTTACGCCCCCTACATGCATGCAACGCTTGAACATACCTGAAGATTGTGGTGGGCGATCTACCGGCCGTCGGAGCGCTGCCGCACTTATGCCGGGTGACGCAGTCCGTTTACGCAGCGCTGCTGAGAGCCCACGTGGAGGATCAGGGTTGGAGCGATGTCGTCTCCGGTCAGGTAAGTCAATCAAGACAACTCTCACCCTAGATGCCGGCAATCCAGGCCAGGCGACGAAACACTCCCGCTACATTAACTTTCCCAACAGGATTCGAGTTTGCCTGTCTCACGTGTCCGCAACGACACCATTCGGCTCAGAGAATTAAGGCCGAGTGAAGACACCACGTTTTGGATTGCGTCGTGGAACATGCACGCGGTCGGGTCAACTCTTCGCTGATATTGCCTACTTCGAAGTATCATTGTAACGCTGTTTGCACCTGATTTTCTGGCTATTCGTTTTTCCCTCTGTCAAAAATGCAGTTTTAGGAAATCGCTGCTTCTTTCTACTTGTCGGGTATATTATGATAGTAGACCCGGTATTTCAACCATGGGGGCAACTAGCAAGCGAACCCGGCCTCTCTGCTTTCTTCTCTTCACCAAGGAAAAGCGGTGGAAAAGAGACCCCCCTCCCAAATGCACGAACCTGAACATTTCAAATAATTATCGCTGCTCTGGCCGCATAACTCAGCCTGATTCCACAATCGTATTACCGGTATTGCCACTCGCAAGGCAGTAACAACAGGCACAGGATCACGACAGGTCTTGTTGCGGTGCTCCGTGGGACAAAGGTTCAATATCGGCGCACATGCGCACCGCCCTTATTTACACCAACATTCCCTAAACCCGAAAGCCAAACTCCCGTGGCGACAATGACAATCACAATGACAGGTGATGGACGCCTTCGGTACTCTAGTGTCCAACGTCCAGGTGGCTCTTGGACAAGTTCGAGGGGTCACGTGTCTGCCACTTCCACCAGACCCTGGTTCGTACGCCAACAGCAGCAGCAATGAGAGACAACAGCAGCAGGTAAGCGCGTGTTTTCACCGCAACAATGGTAGGGTGCTTGTACCTGCGTTTCCGCGACAGTCCGCCTACAAAGGGGCTGCACAAGCGAACCCACACAAACCCAGAAACCCAGGACCAAAATCACAAAAGGTTGAGTTCGGCGAAGACGACTCGAAGTCATGCGATCTCTGCCCTTGATACTAGCTTGTCGTTCTCGGTGTCAACCAGGAAAACGCCCCGCCGGTGGGACAGAAGGCCCCTTCATACAACCCTCAGGCGAGGTCGACCGACAACAGCAGCAGCAAGCCTCAAACGTCGACGGGTTCGGTTGGTCAAACCGGTGGCGGTCGGGAGAATGGGAACGGGTCTGCTTCTACCGGACGATCGCAGAAGGAGGGCGGGGGAGATGCGGGTGGACAGGGAGTAGGAGTAGGGGTGGGGGACGATACCGATCACAAGGAGCTGATGCATGTACTAGAGTCGACCCTCATTACATGGACCAAGCAGATCAAGAGCGTCCTGAAACAGGTGTGAAAAAGGGAATCCCGCGAAGTTCATGTTTTTGTCTGGCAGACGAAGAGAGCGCATGAATCCAATGTTTGTCAGCAGCCATTGGCAGAAGGCGGAAGAGTTCGGTAAAGTTGGCCATTATGCGTTTGGGACTCGACCATGAATAGCTGGGAAGTAGTCACGAGCAACGTACGCAACGAGTACAGACGTGTCAGCTGCGAAGAACGTAGAATGTGGAATGTCGTCTACCTGGTTATGGAGAAAAAACTACCTTTCTCAATCCATCTTGCTACGCTTGAAAGCAACGTTTGCAATTTGGGTGTGGAGGGTGAGTTTTGCTTTCATCGGCAATGAAGTAAATAGCCTTCCTCTTCCCGACAACCTCAACCACCCCCTTGCCCCTCACACCCGTGCACTCTCGAGCCTCATGCTGGCAAGTGACTAGGAGAGGAACGGTAGTAAGTACGACTTAAGCGATAGGCCGGCACCAATGTGAATACCAAACCTCTCGCCTGTCCCCTTAACCCAACCCCTCGAACAAATCATCCTACAGGAGCCCGAGGCGGCCTTGCTGTCATCAATCGACAGGAAGCAGCAGCAACAACCCCAACAGCAGCAGCGGCAGCAGCAGCAAAGGACACCCCTCCATCCGGGTCCCGTTGAGGAGCTTGACTTCTGGGAACAGAAGGCCGCGGACCTCAACGGCATATTTGCCCAGCTGCAGTCGGTCCGGGTCAGAAAGATCCTCCGGTACTTGGACCGCAACAAGAGCACCTACTCTACCCCCTTCGCCAAGCTCTGCAAGGAGGCTTTCTTGGCTAGATCGGAAGCGAACGATACCAACAGGTACTTGCGGCCACTGCGACCGTGGCTGCAGCGGCTGGAAGCGGAGATCGTTCCGGAGAACCTGCCGGGACTGTACAGGCCGGCGCTTCACATGTTGCTGCTCGTGTGGAAGAGCTCCGGGTACTACAATACCAGCACCCGGCTCGTTGTGTTCGTGCGGGAGGTGAGAACGAGGCGTGAACCGTGGGTAAATGCAACTGCTGTGTGCACGCGGACTCGCAAGCACTATCGACTGGATCAATTGATTCACACACCCTTTCTTCCCGACGCTTGCACTGGAGTTTATCATGGTGGCGCTGGAAACGCCTTTCTAGAACCCTTCTCGATACACATGATTGGACTTCCACACACACCCTTTCCTTAGTAAGAAGATACGGGGCGTCAACGTTGGAGGATGGTGCGTGTTGTCACCTACCTTCCCCGCTGGTACCAAGAATTCTACACCGTCGGGCTAATAGCGGGGGATCTGTCTAAACAGCGTAGCACATGTAACGCCGACAACCGACCCTTCGAGGTTGTGCCTAACAGGACCAGAGTAGAGTACATTCAACATCTGGATGTTGAGAGCAAGGTAGACAGTATCCACAGACGGTGCGAGCAATGACGCATGACGCCGTTCGTAAAACCGTCGATAGTTGCTTGCTTCCTAGTTTGTTAGACTTGATTATTATTCTCCTATAACATGGGGTGCTCGCAGAGCAATCAAAAACATCAATTCTTTGACTTCATAGGTGATTTCGTGGTTAATCCCACGTTTCTTTCGTGCTAACCCTAAGTCGAGGTATGGACAGGAGCACAAGGGCAAGGCAGATGTGATACGTAGGAACCCTCTTCCTTCTTAGTTCCACCAAATGTTCAAGGCGGATATATTCCAAGGAAGATGTATCATCGGCTACACGATTTCGTTCGCACGCTTTTTGTTCGTACCCGTTTTTGTTTGCTGGCCGTTGTTGTCTGCTATCCCGACCAACCTAGATGTGCAACACGCTCGTTGCGCGGGCCACCGACATGCTAGCCGGAGGGGAGATCTTTCGACTGATAGAGCAGGACCAACAGAGGGAGGCGATAAAACTCCTCGAGACGTCGCTTAAGGTACTGAAAGGCGGGTATCATCGCACTCCATAACGGTTCGGTAGATCCTGGCGTAAATAGTGTCTTGGCCGTAACCTCTGCTCCTGTCTGGTCACCTTCAACCATATCGTACGCGACGAAAGGATGCGAAATGCCGCAACGATGTTGATCCGTCGTCCGCACGCAGTTTCGACCTACAGTCGCGTCGAGGGTCCAATGCGCCCCTTGTTCTACAGTCTCAACGCGCCACGTTTCCGTACAACATTGTAGCTGAGGTGAGACGCTGAATATCCATGCCCTTGTTACAACTTGACATGAATAGAACCATGTGCTACACATATTTTCCAGGTCCTGGGCAATTTTAAGACGACATACTTTGACTACAAAGCCAAAGCCGCCGTGCAGTGTCCATCAAACCCCTGGAGGGTGCAGAACAACGCCGTCTTCGCGAGGATGGACGCGTTTCTCGAGCGCTGTCACGACGTCTTGGACCTGACGGTAACCATCGCCCAGTTCCAAAAGGTACGAAAATGCAAGAGATTATTTATAGTCCGCCGACTTCCTGTTAATAGTAGTTGTTTAGGTGTAGTACACACCGATTGGTCATCATTCGTGTGATTGCTTTGAATGGCCCAGACCTCACACGGCAACAGGAAACTACCCTCTTATCGCGAAAGGCAGTGTACGTACCAGTACCGAATTAGGTCTCCTTAGGGAGTGCAACCGGTCATGTATCCTGTGACGTAGGTTGAAACTTCGCCCTTACCCTACTGATATTTTTATTGCATACAGCTGGCCAACCTCGAGGTCGGGGGGACCAAGGGGAAGGTGCTCACCACTTCGGTTTCTCAGATTTACCTGGACTTTGGCCTGGCCGTTGACGCGGTGAAGAACGTGGATTATGACATCATCGACCTTGACGCAGCTGGTGCCTTTGAGAACAGCTACCAGACGTTCAGGTCAGGCATGCCATTGCAACTACCGCTGATGTCGTTGTTGTTTTTGTTGTTGGCTTCACCTCAGTGGCCCGCTGTGACCTTTTGGTTCCTTCACTCCGTGCCTTGCTGACCCTCAAGCCAGAAAAATTGTTTCTCCGTACCACGAAAGTTGGCACTTGACTGGTGTTCTGCCACGCTTCCCCCCCTTACCCCTGTCCGGACCCTCGTCGTGTCCAGCCCCACTAGCGGTACTCCGCCAAAGGCGCGGACCCTTGCAGTATGAACGTCGCTGAGCTAGTGGTTAATCGCCTGCACCTTTTCCAACCTCAGCGTCTTCATCTTCATGGCGTTGTTATTCTTCAAAGAATCCTCCCGCCCGGTTTGGTCAGTCAAAACAAGAAACATTCCGTCCCGCGTTTATGAGATACGGGGATACAGGGAGGCCTGCGGTTCGAACACCATACACATTCATGCATGATGAAAACCAGCAGTGTCAGCGCGAACAGCGGATCGATTTGGAAGGGATTGCTGCAGCTTCAATTCTGGAAAATTCGATGGTAGCTCCTAGAATCGTAGAGGCGAGGAATATGCTGAGAGTACGTCCCCGCCTGGTCAAAATAGCGACTACCACCCCATACTGTCCATTGATCCACTGAACGTTGGCATATGCCGTGCAGGCTGTCCGTGAAGAGTCTGGAGAGAAGGTTGGCATCTGTTCTGACGCAAGCGTTCGACGACTGCCCTACGCTGAGGGGGCGCTTCCGGCTGCTGGACTGCTTCTCGGACCTCGTGCACAGACCCGCCATCGCCGAGGAGCTGCAGCGGAAACACGCGATTATGGTGCAGGAGTTCGCCACCGAGGTTGGCTTAGTCAAGCAGGTACGCGGTGGGTGCACCCACCTTAACCCGAAGTCGCCACGGGTGTAACCGGTGTGCTGAAGTACGCACGATGAATCAATATGCGTTGTATTATGAACTATTATGATTTTCTGTGCGACACAGAGAGTTGTTTTATCGGAAAATATTGAGAGGGTGCGGCCGGAAACGAGATGCGTGACGGGCGAACCAATGTATCGTTATTTCTGGTAGTTGACGACGATGCTGCAATTACAGCCGTGTTTAAGCTAGCTAGGTCTGGCTTGACGCACCCTCCGTCGGCAGGTTGCACGACGGCATTTTTCGTGCTGACTACACCAATGGACGACAGAATGATTGGTTTTTACTCCACTCCACGATTGCTTACAGCCCTCTCTCTTCCGGTTCTACAGTTGTTCATCAAGCAGAACGAAGACCCTCCGATTGCTAACAATCTCCCCCCCGTCGCCGGAGCGTTAACGTGGTCGAGAGGCCTGTTGGAGAGGGTCTCGCTGCCGATGTCGAAGATCAAAGAGTTCGACAACAAGGTGCGTAGCCAGCTGCAAGTTGATGTTTCGATACGGTGACTCATAACTGGCTAGATCTTGCGATGAACGGTTGTGGAGGACCTCTGATGCCAATGCCCACGTGTACACTACGTACTCCAGTGTCTTGACCTGTGAGCCTAAATCTCGTTGTTGAAAGAACGACTCTTGTCTCAACACCCCGAGGCAAGCAGATCCACCTGGAACCCTTGTTCACGCCCCCTCACAGGTGCTTGCCACGGAGGAGGCTCGAGAGCTGGTCAAGGCTTACACCCTCCTGGTTGGGCAGCTGGCAGACTTTGAAAACCAAAACATCGAGGCCTGGGGCGCGAGCATCCAGGTTTCGATCGAGACCAAGCTAAAAAATCCTCTCCTGGTGCGAGAGGCGGACAGGCTGCTTAGGGTTAACTTCGACCCTCTCATCGTGCGCCTCCTCAGGGAGGTGAAATACTTCCTGCTGCTGGGACTGCGAGTGCCCGAGTCTGCCCTCGAGGTAGGGCGAATCATTGCTACAACCCAACCACAAACTCACCCTCGAATACAAATGACAACAGGAATGGGTTGGGAATTTGGAAGCGGGCTTGCTCTTCACATATATAAATATATATGGTGACACGATGCCAACGAGTCCAAGAAATAGCCTCGCGCTTTGAGTATGAGCAAGAGCCTGAAAATAAGTATTTAGAGAGTTAGGTATCTATATTTTCGCTCGGGTCGAGGGAGCTCTAAACCATTTGGTGCTTTGTCAGCCCCCACTCTAAATACATTACGGGATCTCCGACACAATTAGCTCAAACCATGCCATCCCGTATAGGAATCCCACAGATACTCTTGCGCGATCTCCTATCGCCGTGGAATGGCCTATGGATCAGGTGTTCGGCAGAGGCGAGCTCTTCCGCAGGCACATGGGGAACCTTGATCTCATAGTGCACATGCACAACAACGTCGAGGTTACCTTGCTGCCGGTCGAGAGGCCCTTGCTGCAGCAACAACTGGAACAAATAGACCAGCTCCTCGCGCAAGGGATTGGGGGGGAAGCGCACAAGATTGCGATACAATCGTCCAAGCCTAGCGCGGGCGCTAAGGCCGGTGGCGGTGGCGGTGGTGGCGGTGGCAAAGGGCCCAAAAAAAAGAACGGTAAAAATACCCCCAGTGCAAAAAAAGGCGCAGGGAAAAATGCAACTGGAGGTAAGCGAACGACGGCCAAAGGCGATTAGCAAGCAAAGCGTGTGTAGACCTCGTTGAGGCAGAATGGGACGCGTGTATGTGTAAGGGTTCGTTCGTTTGTATATTAGAAGCTGGTCTGAAAAGAACTCCTGTCGAGAAACAATAATGTTTGAACGAAGAGAGGACAATCACCACGACCATACTGCCAGCACATATGCTGAGTATCGGGACTCAATCCGGATGGGAGCCCCCAACATCTAGAAGTCTTCCTTTTTCCACGGGGTCCCTACCACCAAAATTGAGAACGTGTTCTATGTTCTCCACGTGTTTTCAGCAGCCACGGGAGGCGCCGGCGGAAAGGCGATTGGAGGAGCGGGGGGTACCGGAATGGCTTCAGGAGCGCCGGCGCAGACCCTGAATTGGCGGAGCACGGGGATCGACACCTTCATCGGGGAGGCCATGACTGAGGCGAGCATGAAATGCCCATGATGGGTTGGGTTGTGGTGCACCCAGAAGCTGATATTCCGAACCAAATCGCACCGGACCTGTGCACCTCCGTCGTTTTTCACATTGGGTAATTAGAGAAGATAACACCGTCTGTTCACAGCATCCCCATAGCATATCAGTCGGAATTCGCGTTGAACCTATGGATGCCGTCGGCTCACCCTTGACATGCACTACAAACGTCAAGAATCGGCAACTCGGGGTTTGGTCTGTCGTCCGAAAAAAATCAGCTACCACTAAGAATCGCGGAACATAACCTCGATATCACTATCTTGATTGTTTTATCTTGCAGGTGAAAGAGCTGAGTGAAACGTTGTCGGGCATGAAGGGTAACCTAAAGAGACTGGAGGTGATGACGCGGGCGTGGGCCGCCCAGCCACTGTTCGAAAGGGGTGCCAAGACATCCACGGCGGAAAATTTCCAGCAGATGCAGAGCGTCATCGTCACGCAGAGGCAAGAAAAGTTTATCGGACGTGTTCCCCTGTTTGCGTTTTTCTGTCCGGAAATTTCAGATCCTTCCCGGTGTATGGCGTTTCACACCGAACGAGCTTCGATCGTTTACTCATATTGTGATCGACAACAGGTATTTTCCGTAGAAGACGTACTCCAAGCATGCCTGATGCGCGTGCACTGACTGACCACCGATAGACCCGGTAGGCCTGACACGATGTGATAGTGCGGCATGACGTAAACGATATATCATCATGCCGTACGTCAGAATGCTGAAGTTATGTGGTGAGGCATGGGCGTTAATGGTAGACCCTGCGAACTAATCCTAGCGTGAAGAAAGTGTTCGGCAGGTGCTTCAGTGCTGCGGGAGGGTCATTGGTTTACGACGTCGAAGCATACACGCCTACGCCAATCATCTTCTAAACATTTGGAAGCCAAGCACCATATTTGAATCCATCCTAGTATATCCGGGACTAATCCACACGATTTGGGAACGAACGTGTTGGGTAATCACTATGGTTTGCAAGTGTATGCCCTGCAGAAGGAAAGCGTGCCAGCACGTCAAGCACCCGAGGCACCAACCGCTGAGGTATTCTTGCGCGTCTCTGTCCTTAATACGATGCTGTACATCCATTCAAAAGATGCGCGGCGATCCGAGAGGGGGGACTGGAGCTGCACAAACTGCTGAAAGATACCAACCGGAAGCTCAAGGTGTCGGCAGGCTTTCCTGACTGGAAAAATTACGTCGATTTCGTTAATTCACTGGTGAGCTAGATACATTTTTTCCGAGGTAGAGCACAACTTCTATAGCTCTCCTGTGCGACACACCGCTACGACGTTGCTAGTCGACTACAACCAAGCTTCATACGGGTGCAGTGCGCAAGACACTGTACGCGGCAAGATCACCCCTATAGGACAAACTAGGCAGGCTACGTAGCTTGTACACAATAACGAATCCCACCCTTCCCGCACACGCATGGAAGAAAGATTGCACAACATCAAACAAAATTGTGCATTCTCAATGTTTTTTCAGGTTGTACAAGGCCTGATCAAGGTGGTAGCCGGGTCTCTCGGCACACTCAACCAGCAGATGAGCCATTCGTACATCGTCAAACAACAGCTTCCCCCGATGCTGGAGTTGGAGATGCACCTCGCCGGAGGCAAGGTGAGGAAATCACCGTACCTTACCCGATGCAGCATCTTGGTGTCGCACCAAAGTCGTGATTGGCCAAACCTTCAAGACTGGGATGATGGCTCGCGCTGTACTGCATCTCGTGGGATGTCGTTCGGATGTATGACAAATTAGTAAACAATATTGTATACAGTACAAGTGCCAGGAAACGTTGACCACCAAGCAAACAGAAGACAAAACCTGCACCAGCCGCGGTAGCTTGACGCTCAATCAGGCATTCACGGGGCAAACCACCTCGAGGGTGATGACATTCCAGCCTTCCATGAAAACAGTCTTCGTAGTTCAGTGGCCCTCATCACCCTGTGTTGGCTGATCGTAAGCATCTTTGGACTTCTTGAGGATGGAGCGAACTCACCCGCGCTGCCCCGCTTCATTCCCCCTTTTGGTGGTTGTTTGCAAGGTCGCCTACGTTCCCGACATTGGGACGGTGGAATCCAGGGTCAACCCCGAGAAAGTCGTCACGAACGCGGCACAGGGTCAAAAGGGGCAATCGGCCGGTAGAGCCGGGGGTGGCGGAGGAGGAGGCGGTGGGAAAGGGGCAGCGTCTTGGGTGGCGCGAGCAACCCTGCGGAGGATGACGTGGGGCTGGGTGGAAGGGTTTCTCAACGTAGCCAAGGCCTTCCGTCGCATCGACGGCACGGACGGGACTTACCTGAAAGACATTCAGGTGCATCCCGGGGTTGGCCACGTCTTTGGGTACACAAATCCCCGTGATGGTAGCTCGAAGGCCCACTGGTGTGGCCTGTAGAGTAGCCAACTACATCCTGTTTTTCGTGTTGGGGAAAATGTGGGTTCATAGTCCTCTCACAGTTGCACCAAGCACGAACCAAGACAGTATTGTAGCACGTCCCGGCCCCGATATCTGCTCGTTGCTTTTGCTTCAAATTGAACCCCACAACAAATGCCTCCGACATTATCTGAACAGGACGATCCTGAAGTGCGGTCTCAGTTGTCCCAGATCCACGAAAGGCTTGACGTGATGGAGAGTTCCATGCTAGCCTACAAGCGCCAGTTCTCTGCCTACGAATACCTGTGGACGACAGACCTACAAGCCATGTTCAAGGAGTTTCTCGAGGAGGCCAGCTACGACGAGGTCATCGAAGATGAGGACGACGACGCCGGGGGAGGGGCTGGAGGAGGAGGAGCACGGCAGGGTGTCTCAGAGCAAGCGGGGGGTGACGACGGCACGGACGACACACGGGTGCTCCGCATGCTCAACCTCGCGAAATTCGACGAAAAGATACACCTCTACCTTGGAGTTCAGTCGGAGGTGGCGTCTCTGAAGCATAACCAGGACGTGGGCTTCGTCCGCGTCAACGCGCAGCCCATGAAGCAGGCCATAAGCACTTGGGTGACGAAATGGATCTACCTCTTCGCGCAGAGTCTGCAGGACCACGTGTCTTCATCTTTGGAGAGGATGTACTCCTTCATCGCATACACGCAGAAAGGGCTGGAGACACCCCTGTCGGTGAGCATCACATTCTAAAGCAGCTGGTTTTCCGCCACGAAGCGGAAGCGGCTGTGATGCACGGTGCGATCGGCCTTGACCTTACCTTCAACAACTGTATTGCAACTAAGAGCAAAATGCCAGCGATAGAAGCATCTTCATGACTCTAGAGATTCACTGGAATTGGAACTTCCCGTGTTGCGTTCGGTTTGCAAGTGTCGCAAGCTTCGAATTGCAGTGATGGGACTCCAACGAAACATAAGACAAGATTTCCATTGAACATGGCTTCGACGTCGAAAAGAACTCCCTTCAGAGCGTCGAGCCACGTCGTTTCGAGATTTACAACCTGTTTATTTTGCTCGATTTCGCCCTGCCCCCCTTGATACAGGCCGAAGACAAAGACGGCATCATGTCCACGATGACCCATATTCGCGACGTCCGCAAGAAGGCCCCCATGGTGACCGGTCTCTTCGGCCCTCTCAAGGATACCGTGCTGCTGCTCAAGAGCAGAGGGATACCCGTGGATCTTCCCCCCGTCAACAAGCAGCCCGCGCTTGAGTTCCTAGATTCGGCATACATGCTCTGGGACAACACCGTGAACAAGGCCTACCGCGTCAAGGGCGAGATACAGCCACTGCAGAATGCGGCCGCTGATGGAGTGCGGAAGGATATCGCTAACTTCGGCGAAGAGGTGCTGCTTGCGCATTGCGCACATGTGGCGTACAACCCCGGTCGTACATGTTCACATTCCATGCTGTACGACGTCTATCAATGATGTTCGAACGAAACACCTGATGTTCACTCCAAGCGAGGAATGAAGGTTTAGTTCTGCATTCGTGAAATATTTTTGAGCGCAATATAATACCGATCTCGACAACGCGTTATATCAAACTCTGCCCCTACCATTTATTTGACATCTTAGTTCCAGCTTGTTTCGAGCGGACGCCATCGTTACTTGATTTCAATCCAAATGCCTGCAGGTCAAAGCCTTCGTTGCTCTGTTTAAGCGAACGGCGCCGTTCGCGACGGCGCAAAAGCGAACGTCAGTCGACGACGGAGGCGGCGACAGCACCGCAGCTCATCCTTTCCAGGCAGCAGTTGCAAGCTACAAGAAGTTGGACAATATCCAACAGTCCCTGCGTGCCCTCGAAGCGAAGGCCTTGTCCATGAGGGAGCTAGAGGAGCTGTTCGAGTTGTCGCCGACAAGACATACAGGTCTCGTTGAGGTGCGGACGCAACTCCGACTGCTGAAGATGGTGTGGGACGTGGTCGGTCTTGTGGACGGGCTGTTTGCTTCCTGGACGGCCACGCTCTGGGCCGACATCAAGACCGACGAGCTCTTGGAAGAGGCCAGGTAATGGCGAAGGCAAACCCTTAATGTACTTCGATCGTGTTTGAAACGGTCATTATTCAATCCACCTTCAAACAGGAACACCGCTCATCCCCTTGGCGACGGCCTGGCATACCATGACAGATTCCTAACTCGGCGATTTGACCCCAAACCACTAGTCCTCGCAACTGGTGCATGGTATTTCTTGGACCTTGTTTGCGAAGGATCCCAGTCTGCGAAGTACTGCACACGAGTACGTATGTCTGAACTGTTGGGAGCAGATGGCGACATATACGGTACCAACTGCACCTGCTTCAGAGTAGAAGAAGTTGTTGTGCAGAAATATAAACCAACCGCAAACTGTGGTCGCCTATGCGTAGGTCTCTCCAGCTTCACATCCGGGGGCTGCCAAGGCGCATCCGTGACTGGGGCCTGTACAAAGCCGTGGACGAACGGGTGGTCAACATGTCTACGGTTCTGCCCCTTGTGAGTGTTTAAAGTTATGCTTCAGTAGTATTTAAATCTCGCGCAACATCGAAGAAGGCGCTTACCCTGCACGGGAGGCACGGCGGTACATGTAGGCTGGCCCCAAGAAGGAGAACCTTTCGAAAATTACAAGGTCGAAAATGTCAGTGATGTTGGACATCCTCTGGTACAAAGACAAGAAATCGATCACATTGCACATGCCTGGGACGTGGGTTTTAACTTGTGAATACCTCTGCCCGTGGTATGTTAGACTGGTTCAGCGTACCTTCTGTTGAGGACCTTTGATGCACCTGTTAGCAAGCATTCTTTAGGCTTGGGTCAAGGTTGCGTGTGTGATTGTATGGGTTCCAACAGTTCGATTCTTCCCGGTTTGATTTGAGGCTGTCCCCGGCACTGCTCCCTCGAGAAAGTGAGAAAGTGGGTTATTACATCCTGCTTCAACCATAGTTCAAGCGTTTGTCACTCCAGTCCCTGTTTTCTGCCCTTTCACGGGTATCTCATCCATGTTCCATGCGAGTCGCAGGGGCGCCCACAGACGTCGTTCACGTTTCGCACCCCTGTATGTTAATTATTCCCTTTTCTCTCCGCTCGTGTCGCTGTGCTGTTGTATCAGATTCACGAACTGCACTCCCCCGCCATGCGTGATCGTCACTGGAAGGACCTCCTAGACGTCACGGACCAGCATCGTCCGCCGGCTCAACGGAGGCTGAGCAGGGTGCGGTGTCCAATGCTGACAATATTTGCTACCGTCTCGATCGCACGACGTCTAGCACCTAAAAGTACCTTTCATTCATTCAGTAAGACCTTTCCTTTCGTTGATGACAAGTGTGGTTGTTCTCGGTGTTAAGAAGCACCCAAACGGCACAGACAACCGCTGTTTCTCTTTTTCTCGCAGCAAGCGCGTCGCCGCTCAAGCACGAACGTTGGCTTGGAAGGACACGGACAGCTTCAACAGCCGCAAAAAAGGATAACGCTCGCGACCGTGTTGGGGCCTTCGTTTTCCCTGGAGGATGCCCTTTCCCTCGACTTGCACAAGTACGTGGACGCGTGCATGGAAGCGGTTGAGGTGGCCACCAAGGAGCTCAAGGTCGAGACACGCCTGCGCAACATCGAAACCCGTTGGAAAGAGGAGCAGCTTAGCTTTGTGCGGCACCGGGATACGGAGGTGTTCGTGCTGTTCGGGGCGGACGAGGTTCTCGAAGCGCTGGAGGACCACCAGATGCAGCTCCAGGGGATGGCCGGCATGGGAAAGTTCGTGGACTTCTTCCGAGAGGAGGTGAGGTGCATGCTTGACAGCAGTCTTGGAATTCGGGAGATCTCTTCGGAAGAGTGTTTCACGTTCTTTTCCTCGATCCGATCACCGTGTGGTCTCTCGGGATATATGCTAGCCACATGCAATACGTACAGTGGACGGAAGAGTCGCCCTGGGTAGTATCGGCCTTGAGCCCGATGACTGCCGGGAAAAAGTCGAAGAAAACAATTACGTCGAATCCGATGGCAACAACATTTTGACTTTTTCTGCTATGCAACAAGCCTGTAGTTCCAGGGCTGGGCGAAGGTACTAGAACAAATTTTGCATCCGTCACATTGTCTAACCAACCGCATCATGTACAACATATAATACTACGTGCTGTTTGGCCGTATTTGGAACATACGCTGCCATTGTGTTGAGTGTGACAACTCTACCACCTTGTGTGGTAACAGCCCACCAGCTTCCTCCCGTTGAGTCCATTCAACCAAAACCCTTCCTCTTGTTTGTCCCCGAAATCCGATTCTGGAATCATTTGCACGGCAGGTGACGGAGTGGCAGGCCACCTTGGGAGAGGTAGAGACGTTTTTGAAGCTGATGCTGACGGTGCAGAGGCAGTGGACATCGCTTGAGGCCATTTTCCTCACCAGCAAGGACATTAGGTCTCAGCTTCCAGACGACACGCGAAGGTCAATGCTGCGTTTGTTGTTATTTTTCTCTTCTTCTTCTTCTTGTAGGGCTGAGACTTGCAAGACTCGGACACTTCGTGTTTCATGCTATCATGGTGTCGAGTTTTATCGGGCTGCGCCCCGTCATGCGTCACCAGAATGACCACCACTCCGACGGCAAGGTTTACCAGGCGACCTGTGCGTCTGAGGATCGCACCACACATCTCTTCGTGCTATCAAATAGGGTTGTGCGGCGAAATGCTTGCACACGTTTCCGTTGGGTAGTGCGACGATTGGTTCACATTCAGCGTCGTATATCGGCAATATCGTAACACGCGCACGATGTGCAATGACAGGTTCTACGGACATCAAGAAGCTTCGATGCCCGTTCATTTACCTCTCCCAGGAGACCAAGAAATTAGCTTGTACCCTTAACTGTCGACCCTAATAGGTTCGAAGGCATTGATCTGGAGTTCAAGGACCTGATGAAGAGCGGGTCCTATTGTCCCACCGTCGTCACATTCTGCTCCGAGGTACAGTGTGCAACTTTACGGTAGCTTTGCGTTGTTCTATAACGAATGTTGCGGAGACGGGGATGATTCAGCGGGCAATTTTCAGAAGCAATATACGATCGATTCGAGATGCTCATGCACCCGGCCTACACTGCTGCTGTGTTGTGGTGGAGGGTTTGGCTATTCTTCGTGATTTAGATATATTTCACGCTTTACTATTTTGCTAACAAGAGCAATTGGTCATTCCTACGTTGGATATGTTGTCGTTCGGAGCGTTGTTCTCTTCCGAAGCAAGAGCGTATAAATAGTGATGTATTACATTCAGTTTTCTGCCGAAAGTAGCTGGTTTCGAAGGCGATCTCTGCCAAGACGTCTCTGCTGCGTTCACGGCAAGGTGATAAAGTCTGCGTAAATTGAAGGCACTTTATATTGTTGATGCTCACTAGCGTTCTGGTCGTCTGCGACCGGGCTTCTCCCTCTTTCGGGTTGGTCTAGCAGGCAAGGCAACCACATTGAACGAATACCGGTCGCCAACCAAGAACCACATATTGTAGAGCAATGCCAAAGTAGTTGCGCAACGAATGAGCAACGAATGCGTAATTCCGGCCGCGTGAAACAGCACACGAAAACGGTGTAGCCATGCTTGTGCTGTTTGTATGTTCCCGGTGTGTCAGGACGGAAGGGGAGAAGGTCTCGCAAACATGCACCGCGAGCTGGAGAAGTGTGAGAGAGCCCTCACGGAGTACCTCGACATGAAGAAAAACGTCTTCCCCAGGTTTGGAACGCTATAACTTCCTACAGGATTTCAACGGTTATTTTTCGGAAGTCAAGCTGCTGTAGCATGTTTTGCATTGTTCGTACATCGTTCGGATCTGGTGATTGTGCATAACCAGGGTCCTTACCGAAACTCGAGGCACGAAGGCAGGTGCCTCCGTTTTCTAGCTGATTTTGCAGGGGTAACGCATTTAACATTCGATATCCAAATGCCACTGCGTCCAGTCATGCTATAGGTTTATTGGCTGGTCGTTTGACAAGGTAACCTATGTTCGCTATTTGGGAGGCATTCAGCAAGGAACGAACGAGATCCTCTCCGCAAGTAAGATCTGGAGGTATGGTCGAAACCATGTTCGTGGTCAATCACAACAAGCGCAACGGCAGGAGGAAACCTACCGAATTCAGTTAGAGACACCCCTCTTTTTTTCAACGATATTGTCGGCCGATTACCCTAAGCGCTACGTTTCTCCACTCGCAATCTCTCCCACTTATCAACAACACACCGATTCAATATTCATGTGGATCGTGTTTTCCTTATCGTGTTCGACCAGGTTTTACTTCGTGTCTAACGCGGCTCTGCTCGACATCCTGTCCAACGGCAACGACCCTCCCAAGATTCAGCCCCACCTTGGCTCTGTCTTTGACGGGATTGGATCTCTTGAATTTTCGGCACCAGACGAGAGTGTTGATTTGTCTGCTGCTGCGAAAGGTGGAGAAGGAGGAGATGGGGACGACCCGTCCCTCGCGGAGTCACGGAAAAGGTAATGGTGCTTGTTCGGATGTTTTCCTTGTTTCAATTGCCACTACTCTCCCTGATCGCGTTTGGTAGCAGCGACGGACGGACGGTTCTTGCAAGTATATAAGCCATCAGGGGCGACAATGAGTGCAGCCGGCGAGAGGGTATTGTGCGGCGGTAGATGTCCAGAGAGATAGAAGCGGACAGTTCATGTAGGCACATTGTTTCCTGCCTTCTTCGTGTCCCCACGCCGATTTTCATATTACAGCAGAGTACAACGAAAGCTTCATCTCAAAGTAATCGGAAGCGGACCACCTTACACGTGAAACCGCCGAGTCTCTGGCGTTTCGCTCGAGAGGATAACGACCTTCCGCACGCTATTCCAAATGCATCATGTTGATACGTTTGTTTTTGCGCGTTTCTTGGCGTCAATCAGCGCCGGGGTACCAGAAACCGCGGTGGCAATGCTGGCAAAAGACGGGGAGAGAGTTCCGTTCCACGCGTTGTTCCACATGACGGGTGCCGTCGAGATGTGGCTCACCAGGTGGAGAGAAGGATTGAAATAATACTGTACATCACGAACGACACTACGCATTTGGTCTCGAACGATACGATGCCGCCACTAGTGCCCCCCTTTTCTGTATCCCTAGCGGCACGTGCATAGGATATGCTGCAGTTTGCTGGTCACTTGTGTGTACCTTTTAGCTTGAAACGGACGGTTTCCTGTTTCTTGTGCCAAGTTGTAAGAAGTTTCATACCCTGTAGCACGATCAATAAACCGATCAAGATCTTAACCTGGTGCAATTGCAACAACACCGTGATCTTTCCCTCGGCCTTGTGGCGGGTCAGGGAGGAAATACATCAATCTCTGCTCACGTTTTCCCTCTGTTTTTATGCCCAATGATCCTAGACTAACACCACATCAATATCACGGCCTTTTCAACTTGGTCTCCTCTCAGCCTGGTATCCTGGATGCAGAAGACTCTTATGCTTAGCCTCGATGAGGCAGTTAGGGAAGCCGCTCTCTGGGAGGTCGATAAGCCTAGGGAAGAATGGCTGTTCGGGTACCCCGCGGAGCTAGCGCTCCTTGCCGGCCAGGTACTGAATTGATCGTTGGTCACCAATATCATTATCACTATCTACGTTTTCAACTGGGTTGAGGGTTGGAAGGATGATGGATGCCCCCACGCAAACCTCGTCGATGTTCAGGAAACAGCCATTGGTCTAGCAAGACGATGCCAAGCTTTGCCTTCGATATTGGTTGAAGACGTCGTTCCTAGCAATGATTTCATTTATCACTACTGTAGGATCGATTCAACATGTACCCATTTCATTCGTCTTCTGGGGGGCGGCCTCAGCAAAGTTCCGGGTGTTGCAAGCGCTTAGGATAACACCTGATCGATAAACAAGCCCCCGTTTTTGGCCCATAGAAGCTGATCACTGAAAGCGACAGTCTCCGGGGTGTACATTCATGACCGTGTTGTAAGTATTCCGTTGTGCCCATCTGGACTATCTATTTTTGCGCTTTTTAAAATCGTTCTTCTTGTTTCCACATCAAGCGTTTTGCCATGAATGATGTCACTTTCAGATACTTTGGACTGAAGAGTGTGAGAGAGCTCTGGAGGAGTACGAAAACGGAGCAGAGGACGCCGTAAAGAAGTACCTCGAGGTTTGCTGTGTCAGGCTGGATGGTCTCATCAAGCTCGTGCAGGGAGAGTAAGTGACAAGCCACGAAACATCAGGCCATAGATCAAACCTTGAAACATTTCTTGGCAGGGGAGTGAGTAGCTTAACTCGCGGAACAAATTGCCAACCGAATCTATCTCATCCCTGTCCTTGCCCGCGTTTAGGAATTAGTAGGGAGATCAGGAGGAATGGTGTGGTTTTGTGTGCAGCTTGACTTGTAATTGCGAGGATACCACTGCAAACATGGGAGATATGTGTACGCAAGGCATACCGACAACCGTCAACTGACCCCAAAAACATCGGCAGGTTGACAAAAGAAGCTCGCGCGAAGATCATCACCCTCATCACAATCGATGTTCACAGTAGAGATGTGGTCCAGGGTTTGATCGACCGCAGAGTGGAAAGCAACCTCGACTTCGCCTGGCAGTCCCAGCTAAGGTATGTACTGTACCTTGTTATTCATCTTTCCATCAGTGGGACTTTGGTGGGCTACCATACTTGCATAGTCGGAAGGTTCGATTGGACGGTTATCTTGCTTACCCTACGCGTTCCCCTCTCTTGGACTAGTCCACTTTTAGTGTCTCGCTCCTTGGAAAGTAACGGCGGTGATCGAAGCGAAGAAATCCCGCTTCCGTGGATCTGGGCATCCCGCTGTACGGATTTGATCCTCGCCCAGATGGAGGGACTGTAGTACTCGTTCACAGGAATTCTAAAAGCAGGTACAGAAAGTTGACCGATAGAGAAGACCATCCCTGCGATGGCTCGTACATATCCTCGTAAAGTCACTTACAGTGTGTTGCCATGTCGCTGATTCCGTCCGCAATAACAGCCTCGTTTCTCATGAAGCTTCTCTCCGTGCTCGCACGGACTTTTTTTCAAGGTACTACTGGGCCCCTCAAGATGGGGCCAAGAAGATCGCAGTGCCAATGTCGTCTGGAACGGGGGCGGGGGCCGCAGGAGGTGGAGCGGTCGCGGCATCGGCCATCGACACGGGCGAGGGTTGCGTCCGAATCAAGATTTGCGACTTCCGATCGGTGTACTCGTTCGAGTTCGCGGGCAACTGCGGCCGGCTCGTGATAACGCCGCTCACTGACCGGTGCTACGTCACCCTGACGACCGCCTTGAGGCTAATGCTTGGCGGGGCTCCGGCGGGCCCCGCGGGCACCGGCAAGACGGAGACTACGAAAGATCTCGCCAGAGGCCTCGGGTTGCCGTGCTACGTGTTCAACTGCTCGGACCAGATGAACTACCGCACGATGGCCGATATTTTCAAAGGTGTGAGTGCCTTGTACTTGTGCCGTGGCGCGGTGGCATGTCTATGTGAGGCGTTTGTTTGCTCATTCTACATGGACAAACAGGCGTAAGATATCTCAGGGCGTGACGTAACGGTTGATTGGGTTGAGTTAAGGCAGCTACCCATTTCACACAGTCAAGCGGGTTGTGTCTTTTTACCGCATTGCACATGTGGTTTGGTGATTCCAAGGTTGAATAGTTCTGGTGATAGCACAAAAAACGGTTCGAACAGGCCACACGGAGACGTTGACACATCACAACACCAAGTGTTTGGTCCAGTCTACGATCAAAAGGTCCTGATGCACAAACGATGTGCCTCATGTTCGATGCTAGTTGGATGGTATCAAGGCTGACCCAGGAACCCATACGCCATTTCCTTCGAGATTTTGATGCCGTAATCTTTGTGGTTCCGACTGCGATACAGGCCTCACTCAGGTTGGGGCGTGGGGGTGTTTCGACGAGTTCAACCGCATCTCCATCGAGGTTTTGTCGGTAGTGGCAAGCCAGGTCAAGTGCATTCAGGATGCGGTTGCGCGATTCTCTAATCCCGACTTGAGAGAGCCACAGTACCAGCACTTGCCAGCGGGAATCCCCAACGTCAAGGTCAGTATTGCCTAAGAATCCACGGGGGTCATATTTTGCGGATGAATCGTTGCACATGACGTTGCCCAAAGTTTTACAGTCCACGTTATAGTCAATAACCGTAAGTTCAGCGCCCTGGTGTTTTCAGGGCTTTCTCGCTTCCTGAAATCCCCATCCCACTGATGTGGTATAGGCGTAGTTGCAACACCTGAAGGCAACCACCAGTTTGTTGAGTCGATTGACGTGCACAAGAGATCTTGCACAAGGGTTTCCTGTTTCGCTTTGTTGAGACCGACGTTGCCGAAAATAATCACCTCCTGCACACACACCCGACCAGACAGAAGATACCCAACGGACAACGCTCAAGTGCTTTACGAAACCCGATACCTTGATGCGAAATCAGGTCGGGGTTTTCGACTTTCTTGGGGAGGTTGTATCAATGGTGCCCACTTGTGGCTTCTTCATCACCATGAACCCGGGGTATGCCGGGCGGACGGAGCTCCCCGAGAACCTGAAGGCCTTGTTTCGGTCTTGCGCGATGATAAGGCCCGACCTTCGGCCGATCTGCGAGAACATGCTCATGGCCGAAGGGTTCGTGAAAGCTCGGGCCCTCGCGGTGAAGTTCGTGACGCTCTACTCGCTTTCCTCGGAGCTGCTGTCCAAGCAGGTGGGTTTCCATTGTCGTTGCTGCTGGCACTGATGATGACCTTTCAGAAATTGCTGGACATGGGTTTGATTGCTGGCGTTATTGTGAACATTTCTGACGCGCGACATGCTGGATATGGCCTCTCATTACCGGGCAGCACCCCACCCCAGCTCATTGTCCATCCGCGTGACCACGCGTACCCTTCCCCGCTTAAATCGTATCCTCGGATTCAGTTCCATTACGATTGGGGCCTTCGAGCAGTCAAGTCAGTCCTCCTGGTGGCGGGAAAGCTCAAGCGTTCCGATCCCGATATAGACGAAGAGGCTGTGCTGATGAGAGCGCTGCGAGATTTCAACACCCCCAAGATCGTTAGCGCGGATACGCCCATCTTCCTAAGGCTGATTGCAGATCTCTTTCCGTCGATGGACCTGGCTCCCAAGGCAAGGAACCATCATGGATGCAGACGCATAGGCAGGACTGCGTTGCGGGAAAACATAATCCCTGTTTCATACCTAGCGGCCTGTGCTAGAAGCTTTTGTTGAGTCATTGTGCTTGTAGGTGCAATTGACGACTACGAATCCAAAAACCGTTTCGGCCACGTTCCCCCTCTCTTGGCTACGCTTGTATCATTTTGGGAGAAGGACGAGGTGATGCAATCTGCTTCTATATCCGTCGCGTGTACGTACAATCGACCTGCTCTTACGCCGCCTTCTGTAGTTGTTTTTGAAGCACCTCCATAGCCGAAGCCGATCGATCTCTGTATCACTGGGACGAAACCCTTCATCTCAACAGTTCCAAAAACAGCGTGACACCTTCCACAACCCGTCTCGAACCACGAAAGGTGAACGAGGTGCTATCCAAAACCTGCGCGAGGGTCTGTGTGGAGGAACTGTCCTTGCAGCCGGACCATGACTTCGTCGTCAAGGTGGTTCAGTTCCAAGAGCTGCTTGACGTGCGGCACAGGTACACTTCCTACCTGGTTATTGGTAGAAAATGCTTTTCCGGCTGACCAAAACGCCGTGTCCAAGGTTTATCGACCGGAAAAGACATTTTCAGAGTGCTTTCCTTCCTGCGTACCCTTGCTGAAGGGTTACTACTCATCGGGTTCTGTGGGTCGCCCCCTAACTGGCATTGAAAGGTTGTACTCCGAGGAATACTTGTAGCTTCTGGGCCACCGAGGGTCGCCATGTCGAATATGCCAGAAAAGCGGACGTTTCAGGTTAATGGACAGGCTACGTCTAGGCTGTACATGACGAGCGAACGCCCGCACTGCTGCATCTCTTCGCACACACGTTTCTACCTCGCCGTAAACGGGTAGCTCCCGCTGCCACGCTAAACGATCACGTTAATGTCGCATTCCTTCAGTGTAATGGTTCTGGGACCCGCTGGGTGTGGGAAGACAACGGTATGGAAAACCCTGATGGCGTGCCACAACCGGGGAGAGGCGAAACCGTCCACGGTTGCCGAAACCGTCAACCCCAAGGTAGAGCTTGGAATCCTGTACAACCATGGTTTCCCATGTTTTCGGCCCGCTGAAGGCATGTGATGCTATTCATTTCAGACTGTTTCGCACATGAATGGTCTTCCATGTTTTCAGCTCGCAAAAGGCATGTAGTGCTATTCGTTTGAGATGGTTCCGCCCATGAAAACGTTGCGAGTAGGGTTAGAGCCTGCTTCCCGACAAATCGGTCTCTGGTGCTTTGAAGCTTGAGCCCCTGATGGCTGGTAACACTCGGTACGTGTGGGCTAACGTTGGTCTGAGCATGATATTCGACGAAGCCCAACTACATACCGGTTTTGCTGATGTTGTGTCGATGTTTCAAAGCTGTTGACGTTGTCATGGGTGCTGCTGAAGTCCCTATGAAGGAAACGATCGCCTCACTCGCCTGACACGGCTGGGGATACGGTCCCGTGTACCGTATCACATCCAGTGAACAAACGAGACACCCAGTGACATGCACCAAAACAGTGGGGCTCGAAGATTACTCTCACTAACACAAAGAGCAGGCCTCGTGAAGTGATGAGAGAGAAACCGAATCAATCCTAATGGGGGCAGTAAGCCATTCAAAGATTGAAGGTTGAAGGTATGGCCAAACTTGGAGGCACCAGTCCCACATCTCTGTAGAGGAAGAACGACTTGATCACCTAGAGGTACTCACATGGCGTCCTACCCCGCGATATCAGGCGGTCACTTCGGACGAGCTCTACGGTTACATGACCCTGGCGAAGGAGTGGAAAGACGGAGTGCTAGCCATTATCATGAGAAACATGAGCAAGGAGTGGGCACCATTCGGCCTGCACCAGAACCACAAGTGGGTGATCCTCGATGGAGACATCGATGCCGTCTGGATCGAGAGCATGAACACTGTCATGGATGACAACAAGGTGAGCGTGGCGACTCCGTTTATATGGGCGGTCGCGCAATATCTCCGATATGGGGGTTAATTTCTCCACATTATGGGTTTCTTATTTCTGTACGTCGATGCCGTCTGGATGCCGAGGATGACAACAGCCACCGATAGATGACCTGTACCGCAAGCGAAGCTGGCGAAAATGACGCCTATTGGCAACCGAACGTTTTAATCAAGGAAACTGAGTGGTATGGTTTTCTTGGCGGTGTTGTTGTTGTTGGTGGTGGTGTTAAAGAGAGGCCAACTGGCTGCTCTTTCATTTTGGTTCAATGACAAATTGGTGTACCATAAGTGCTTGCGCGAACAACCTAGCCACAACACGTCGTTCATACAAACGTTTTGTAAACAAGGTGCTCACGCTGGTGTCGAACGAGCGAATCCCATTGACGGCGGCCATGCGAATGATCTTCGAGATTCATTCTCTGAAAAATGCTACCCCCGCAACGGTTAGCCGCGCTGGTATCCTGTTCGTCAACGAGGTAAGTCTGTTAATACCATCTCATTGTCAGAACGTCGACGGAAACGGAATGAGAATTGAAGTTTCGCGGACAACATGTCGAACTTGGACTGCACAAACCTAGTGTAGTTTGGATACACGCGTTGACGTGCGTTACTCTACGTAGCCGCAGTCATCCCCTTGGTCCATGACGTTTTCCGCGTTACGGTGCAATAGACGCGCTGGAACAATCAGCCATGGAGTTCGTTTGGACAAAATACTGGCCAACACCACCAGTACGCCGTCCACGTGTAGGCTGTAAACCACCCTTTCCGTCCAAACGGAGGTACCATCAATTGCCGATCCTCTGGTAACATGATCTGTACATCATCATGTGATGCCTGTTCTTTCAACAGACCGATATCGGCTGGCACCCGTACGTGGAGAGTTGGGTACAGGCGCGCCCCGTCGAGAGTGAAAAGGTCGTCCTCGAAGGCCTGTTCAACAGGTGATGACACAACTTTTGTAACTTTTGTAGTAATAGGGTCATTGTTCTTTCGATTTTGTCTTCTCGGATATGTTTCCAACGCAAACACGTACTGAATAGGCATGTGCTGTTCGGACCGGGCCGAAGAATGGCAACGGGATAGGATTTCTCGCGCAAGCATCATTACATTCATGATCAAACCTGTTGCAAATATATCGAACGGAGTTGTGTGCGAAGGATGGTGCTCCAAGGTAGTCCCCGAGGCTATGGTTAATTCTTGTCTGTGGTCAATCCAGGCACGTTCCCGACATCTTGGAGATGCTCAAGAAGGCCAAGATGGAGCCTCTCGTGCCAATTCCCACCATTAACATGGTGCAGGCGGTGTGCCGGCTTCTTGAAGGACTACTCCCTGCCCTGACAGACAAAACCTCCGAGGTGTGTATGGTGGGATACTGTCACATTCAGCAGGATCGGTGCGTCGATAAATCAGCGATCGTACAACGGTTAGCCACTTATGTAGGAAGGAATCGGTTCCGATACTGCTTGATCCCCCTCCTGTACACTCTGTATCTAACGATACCTTCAATGACTGCTTGGTGGGTGTTCAGCAAGACTGTAAGATACACACTCATCCCAACACCACGGTACACGGGTTTCCAGCATGCGGTACGAATGACTGACTTGGACACATGTACTTGTATTCTTGGGTTCGTGTTGAGAATAATATATTTGGCAGAAAAGCCGCTGCTTCGACCAAGCGAACGAAATGAGAGAGAAGTATCTATTTCAACAAAGGCAGTTCCGAGGTGGTCGGTATTATGGAAAATATGTCAGATTTTCGCGCAACATGACTTTGAAAGATGATCATCTGATGATACATTCACTACAGTAGCATGTTCTTGTTCTGCCGGGTGCAAAAAAGAGACGCAGACATTTGTGATACTTGCTCTCTCGACACTGCCTGGAGTAGATGCAAACATAGCTCACATTCACCACCCACCTACCCACTCTCCTCTCTGCTTTGCTACCGAGCAGAATATGGAGCGAGTGTTCTTGTTCGCGGCCATGTGGGCCTTCGGCGGTGCGCTATCTTCCGATTCAAAATGCGACGACCGGAAAGTGTTCAGTCAGGAGTGGCGGAAGCTCTTGCCGTCGAAGTCCGTCAAGCTACCCGATCAGGTGATACGCTGCTGCTGCCGCTGCTGTTGTTGTTGTTGGGGGTGGTGTTGTGGTTGTGGCCGCGCCGATGCGGTCAGAGGGGAAGTGGTATTCAAGCTACCCCGCCACGCGCATACCAGAGGAAATCGACAGTCAATACCCGCACCCCGTGCAGGTCGACAAAACACGCAGATGTAAGACGTTTTCACGCTGCAAACAACCGCAACCGCAAATCCAACAATGATGCAAACGGGTATGTTGCAACCTACGTCTCTCGGTATGGCTAGGTTGATGGCACGGTACCCAAAATGTCCAAGGAGTTCCACTGGCTCAAGAACATTATAATAGTTCCGATGCGCGAGTCCTCCCCCCCCCCCGGAACTGCCAGATATCTTACAGCATCTATTCGGCCCGGACCCCATGATTTCTATACCTACCGTAGCACCCTTCGAGTTTGTTATTCCAGGACATTAATTCGTGCGTTTCCTGCACCGCAATTTCCTACCACACCCTCCCCCGTCGCGAGCTGACTAATTTGCTGCTGCGGCACGTGCGGTCTAATTTCTCGTATGTCTTCCATCCGCTGAACTTGTTTCGACTTGCGTTGCTGGCAAAGGGACTGGTATTCGACTACTTCGTCAACCCTGAGAACGGAGAAGTTGGGCGTTGGTCGGACAAGGTGCCGTCCTTCACCCCATCGATAGGCCAATCGTTCGCGTCGATGGTGGTGCCAACCACGGACCTCGTTCGGCTAAGCTTCCTGACGGAACTCTTGGTCGGGATGAAACGGTAAGAAGGGGTCCGGTGACAGTTGATCCATCGGTAGAGAAAACCCCCTAGAAACAGAGTTTCGGTTATTGGTGTGCTGGTAGGTGTGATAATTGGCTTGATAGAGAACGTACGCGTGTGAGCAGAGGCTTGATTTTCTGGATCAGGGCACGATTTCGTTTTGGAGCAAGGTCCTACTGTAGGTGGAGCACGGAGTAACCTTCGCATGCTACTGATTCGTACGAACTGGTTCATACGACCCTTTAAGCTCCATATAGCAAAGCTGTGTCGCATAAACGTCCCCACTCCCACGTTTTGTTGTCCACGCTCTATCGTTCATCCCTCATTTCGATCGGCCAAAACCCTCAAGGCACGTAATGCTGGTTGGTTCCGCGGGGACGGGCAAGACCTCCCTGGTGCAAGGCTTCCTCAGAGAAAAGGCTAGCGACACTCTTCTCTCGTGCACGATCAACACCAGCTACTACACCGACGCCGCCGCCTTGCAACGTCAGCTGGAGCAGCCCTTAGACAAGGTACCCAACGACTCGCTGCAGGCATGGGTACGACAACGTGTATAGCTATATGTAGTACTTGAAGTAGCTGTATTCCTCGAACAACAAAAGTTTGCAGTCAAGTTCATCTAGCATCGAAACCTATGGTGTAGCTTGTCGTGTGTGGATGCCTCGTTGCAGAATACCTCACCGCAACACTCCAATAGTGTCCCCCATATGCCGAACCAAGCTTAGGTTGACGTGCCTTGTACGCCATTATTCCATTTCCTGTTGTTTGCAGAGGAGCGGCAAGACCTACGGGCCTCCCAGCTCAAAGAGGCTCATCTACTTCGTGGACGACCTGAACATGCCCTTCATTGAGGAATACGGCACGCAGACACCGATCGCACTCCTGAGACAGTTCATGGACTATCGGGGGTAGGTGGTAGACTGCTGTTTTTTACACCCTAGATGTCGACGTCATCAACCAGTGACTATATCCACACATGAACAGGCTTTGGATCGTACGCCGAAGCATTGAGTCCACAAAAGAGCGTCCCTGCAATCCCTGCGAGGGTTGATGGCATACTACAGTTTGACAAGCTTACATCATGATGGCATCAACACTCGCAGGGACCCTCTTTTGTTGACTTCAATGCTTGTAATGCTCTTGTGTTTGAACCGGGGTTCAAAGCAACTCAAGGATCACACGACCCTGGAGTGTCGACGAACACGTCGTGCTTGTTGTAGTTCCTACCGACCGCTCTTTTCGCTCTACCAACCGACAGACACAGACAAGCCATCACCACACATTTTCAGGAGCGCTTTGTTCCAAACCTATGCCCGTACATCGTTGCACTTTGGACCTAGGGTTTAAGAGCATATCCTGGCTTGCTATAGAAATACTTTCGATTTCAACGCGAGGTATTATTGCCGTTGCCGCGCTTGTCAGATGGTACGACCGCGCGGACTTGGGTCTAAGGAAGAACATAGTGGACGTCCAATTCCTGGGCGCGATGAACCACAAAAGCGGCTCCTTCTCCATAAACCCTCGCCTGCAGAGGCACTTCGTTACGTTCGCCTGCCAGACTCCGGCCGACGACGACCTTATCACGGTAGGTTGGCCGAAATTAATGGTCCTACCCTTGCATGAATAGGCACGTGGCGGTGTATCACAGGATGCTCCACGCCAAGCGATCGGGGAACAAGCACACCGCGCGTCGAATTCGAAGAGTGTGATGTGTGCATGTGTGTCGTCCGATCTGTTCTGGACTCCACTTCCTTTATCTCTGGGTGTGCGTTCTGGAAGCACCGGCCGGAGGTACACAGGGGGAAGGTCATACAGCGGTGCACCAATTGAAACCTCGAAGTTCCCTGAACGCATCACCTAGCGAGAAAAACATTGTGAATTGGCGATTTACCATCGCTCTCCTTTCACGTCGGGGAGCTGCTGACACATGTCCGGCGCACAACCCCCGGCCGCTACATAGTACGTGGAGAGATCGCCATGAATTACCCGCATCCCTCGAGCGTTGAGCGCCGGATAACCTTTGCGTTGTTGTTCGAACGGCTCCCGGCAAGTCCGGTAGCTGCACCTGGCGAGTCAAATGATAAATACTTGAGACCAAGTGTCGGATGTACTGGGGACGATATGAAATCCCATGTCAAGTATGTCCCTCCAGCTGAAAAAGCAGGAATTTGGCATTTCGTTCCCGTATGAGATCAGGTACCATGAAAACACGTACCCGTTTATACCGGACATCCAAATTCAGATATATGGCGCAGTGGTCGGGGGACACCTCAACTCGTTCCCCTCAGACATTCGGCGCTTCGGAGGGCCGGTCCTCGACGCGACGATATCTCTGTATCGCTCGGTTTGCGCAAAGTTCCTTCCGACAGCTGTCAAGTTCTACTACGGTTTCAACCTTCGCGACCTCTCCTGCCTCGTACAAGTAAGTGATTTGGCGGCGGACCGACGAGACAGAAAGTACTACATTAGTAGTGGAATAGACGTTGGGAAGCCCGCGAGGAACAGTACTGCAGTATGAATAGTATTGGTTGCAAATGGCTGGGAACGACGGGTCACCTGTACCCTTGAAATCGTAGGTGATGTCAGCCCTCCACGACGTTGCGAGTCTTATGTGGTGGTATCCACGGTACCTTAAGTACTTCTGATACTGCGCAAGGCAACCCGAAATTTCCAAGTGCCATTTTCACGCCCGAAATAGCGCGTGGCCACTACTCGCCCCTCCAGCATCCTCCCCGGCCACCTGGGGAAACAAGAACATCATACGTTGGTCTATTTCTTCTGGTGCAGGGACTGTGCATGGCGAGACCTGAGAACTGCACGTCAAAGAGCTGGTTTGCCCGGTTATGGCGCCACGAATGCGAAAGAGTCTACTCTGACAGGTGACCGCTACTTTGCTTATCGTTCTCGCTTACACCTTCCATTCACATGGTGCGATGGGCGTCCCAATATAACCCAGCAGAGGAATGCTTCAGACGCTAGCTCATCACTGCCGTCTGTTTTGGTTTTCAGAAGACGTTATTGTGGTGGACCAGGGGACGACGGCTATGTAGGTTTCAATCACGTTTCATTTTTTGGCGCGACCGGGAGAGCAGGTGTATACGGCATGAATTTAGGCATGGGTTGATCATTCTTTGCAATCTTCACGACGAAGGATTCCAACAACGAAGATCATTGCTTGAAAATGCACCATCCTGGCCTGATGCTTCACTTCCATGAATCGGACTGAATTGTTGCATGTTTTCTTCGAAAACAGACTTCTCTGATCACCCCTGAACCTTATTTCGACGGGGGCTCGATCTCAAAACCTTGATGTAACCGCTACAACCTGCTTACAGGCTGATGTCCGACAGCGAGGTAAAGGCGTTCGAAGACATGATGCAAGAAGCGGCCAAGAAGCACCTAGGCCTTGATGTGAGTTCTTCATCTCGATCAACACTGTGGAGGGGCAGCAGGAAGCCTTAGCCTTCCGGTTTCGCTTCTGTTGGGTTATGCACCTGACCTTATTGGCCAATCCATTTGCTCTTGACCTAGACGTAGGTGCGCGCATTAATCTACCGGCTGCTATTTAGGATTGTAGGGGAACAGTGCCGCGTCATATGCTTGCCTCGTTGAGACGTTATTTTGTACATGCAAAAGTGATTATTCGGGATGGATCGTTGTCTTATGGTCGTCTCTGAGGGGGATTGTCGTCGCGGGCAGTCGAGCATCTTATATAGCGCTCCGTCACACCTGCAAGTTGGTAACACCTAAATACGTCGTCTGTCGTCAACCGCTTTGTTCGTGCGTCACAACAGCACGCCCAAAGTGAAGTGTTCCAGGAAACTAATGTCTTCACGTCCTTCGCGGTCCAACCTGAGGACCTCGACCTTGACTCAGCCTCGTATGTCCCGGTGCCGTCCATGGATTATCTCAAGCAAGACCTGCAGGACAAAATCAAGGTATGAGGGCGGCTCCTGCCGCTGCCTTCAATGGAGAACTTTAACTCTCCAACACAATATCCCTACGCTATTTTCTCCACGCTGAACACGACCCGACCAGGCTCATCTTACGAGGTGCCGCAGAAGATTGTCGCACTTTCGGCGAATCCTCAAGTTTCAGTCTCGTGTATATGGAGACATCGAGGCGACCAAACAGCCAAAAACCAATGCTCAAGAGGTCTTCCACTCCTTGCGTACGAGGAGTTCGAGTTTACCTCCAGTTTCTCGACGGATTGTTCTGTAGAATATGCTGAGAGATGTGACCGGGGCGTTGCGCTAGCAAACGTCCATTTTTCCCGCGACTACAGGGGCATACTGTAGTACAAACACGCCCTTCCCCTTCAAACCAGATATAAATGCCGCCAGCGACCTAACTGTTTTTTCTTGTCCTTTTCGTCGGCGCCCCAACCTTTCGATCCCGCCACAAGAGTGCTACGGAGAAACACTTCATGATATACCTGCTCTTTATCGACGAGACCATGCCATGCTCCCCCCCCACCCCCTCTCGCCCCTTGCCTCCAGGAGTACAACGAGACTCACGCCATGATGAACCTAGTTCTGTTCGACCAGGCCATGCACCACATCACGAGGATCAGCCGAATATTGCAATTCCCGCGAGGAAATGCGCTGCTGCTAGGGGTGGGTGGGTCTGGAAAACAGACCCTCTGCAAGCTGGCTGCGTTCATCTCCGGTTGTGAGGTAAGCGGCCTCAGGACTTCATGGTAATGAAGCCAGATCTGCAGAGCTACAGGGCCCGTTACCACATGCTAGAGACGGTTTGTACCAGGCTGATCTTGGTGCTGGCCGATCTATAACCCACATGATGACAGTCTCGTGTGATTATCCGTCTAAACGCTTCGTCACAAAGCACGAACCACTTTTCCCTACATGCATGCAGCCTCTGTTCAAAAGAGGCCCTACCACACCTGATTTTCTCCCCTCGTATACTCCACCTGGACGAACAAAATCATGTTCAGGTGTCTGAGATAGCCGTGACGAGCAACTACGGGGTGGCTGACCTTCGAGCGGAGCTTAAGGACCTGTACCGAAAAGCTGGGGTCAAGCCCGCCCTACCGCTTGTTTTCATGCTCACGGACTCGCAGGTGGGAGCCGGGATCGGGTACTGTACCTCGGGGCATAAGAATACTGCACGGTGGTTGGACCGATCAATGTGAAATTGGCAGCAGGAGACAGCATGCTCCACGTTTGGTGTTGAGTTTCAGTCATCACCGCCGCAGTTGACCACGTGCCCAAACTCACACCAACTCTTAGTCTGGGGGGCAAAGGAAAGTCAGAAGCACATATGCTGTACGAGAGTGTACAGTGAAGCATTCGGCGTTGGCAGAAGAAGAATTAACAATACCATCCGATGCGCGATGTCATGATTCCCGCGCTTGACCAGATCGTGGACGAGCGTTTCTTGGTGTACGTGAACGACATTCTCACTTCTGGAGTGATCCCCGACCTGTTCACCAAGGAAGAGTTCGACGCGATCTTTACCGCCATACGAATCGCCGCGAAGTCGGCGGGAGTTCCCGACGTTCGCGACAGCCTCATGCAGTTCTTCGTCGAACGGTGAGAGCTGCAACAAGTCGTGTGCTCATGGAGAACATGAGAGCCCTGGCGTTAACGTCTCGACCACCGTCACTACGTGTGGTTCCCTATCCCCTGCTTGGATGTGAACCGATTGGCTTTCTCTGATCTGGCCAAACAGGAAATTTCCACCGCAACAGCAGCGTCCGTCCCCTCGCCCGCTTTCTCTCTCTTTTTCTGCCTCTGCTGCTACACCTTGCCTCATTATTTGTCTTGATGCCCGCTATTTCCACATCTGTGTGCGATCCTCCCTCAGGGTGCGGGCGAACTTGCACGTTGTCCTGTGCTTCTCCCCCGTGGGAGACGCATTCCGGTCACGGTGTAGGAGATTTCCGGGACTAATCAACTGCACGCAGATCGATCTCTTCCGCCCGTGGCCCAGGGATGCGCTGGTGAAGGTGTCCCTCTGGTTCCTGGAGGACATGGCCCTTGGAGACAACGAGGTATTTTGGCAGAAAGCAAACGGGATGAAGAATGCTGGTGGGGGTTGTGGCCAAGGCGTGTGATTATGATGGTGGCAGTGACGGATATCCTATTTTCACTCCCTTTTTTTGTGACGAATCAGTTTCCGAGCAATCACGACCAGATCCCGAGCACCTACACCGACGCCTCGTGGATACTCTTTCGGCCAGATACTGTTCATTCACGCGGTCATTGCCTGTATGCGCCTCCGTTGTCCCTGTACTCGTATCCCCATGAAGATTAAGGAGAACATCGCACACCACATGGCGGAAGTCCACAACTCCGTCGGCGAGGTATGTTATTGTAGATTTGGTGATGTTGGCATTGTCGGTCGTCGTACAGTAGAAGTTGCTGTCGGCGTTGACACTGTCGCTGAAGAAGCTGTAGTTTCAAAAGTTAGAGTTGCCAATCCATCGTACAGTTGTCTTCCAAAGTAAAACCGTGGTACTTCTGCGGGTTGCCTTGCATCACTCGAGAAAGTGCTGTATTTCATGGATCGAACTGCTTGTGTGCGTGGTTGTTCATCTTCCCACAGGTCTCGCAACGATTTCTTCAAGAAGAGGGACGGTATAACTACACCACACCAAAGAGCTTTCTCGAGCTCATCGACTTCTACAAGGAACTGCTGAGGAAGAAGCAAGGGGAGCTGGACGGTAACATCAACCGCCTCGCTAATGGCCTTCAAACCCTGAGAAAAACGAATGACGATGTACAGGTAATGCGCTAAGGCTTCCATCTCTCATGCTTTCTGGCAATCCGATTTGATTGCGTTGACCTTGAATTGCAGCGGGAGGAATAGAGATAGGGTTCCTACCGCATTTGCATTTAGTTATGGTAAAGGATGAACCCACCGTACTGAACCCGCAACTCGCCGACCGAGTAGTTTTCTATCGTCGTCTCGGAGTGTTTGAAATCATAATGCTCCCCACTCAAAACCCGCTGAAGGCATCGCGTGAATGCCTGCATCATCAAGGCCACGGGAGTCATGTGCCGATATTGCGTCCACGCACAGAAGTTCAGCCTACCATGCCGAACAAGCCTTGAAAAATTCGTAGACCGAAAAATGCATACACAACGAGACGATGGAGTCGCACTACAGCTTTCGTTTCGAGGACGGATGCCACCCCCTAGCCCGGTGCACACCAAACCCGGGAAGACCCTATTTTTACCGCCCGAGTCAGTTGGCATGCATTTTTTCTTTCGCAGACCTTGCGGGATGATCTGAAGCTGAAGATGAAGGAGGTAGATGCGAAGAAGCGCGGGACGGATGTTCTCTTGGAAGAAATGGGCACGCAGCGCTCCGAGGCCGAAGCCCAGCAGGTAGAATGCCTCTTTACGTGGCACTACCAGTTTGTGGTGTGGGGCCTACAACAGTTTGATGACGGAATGCTTGATGACGGAGCCTGCGTTGGATGCACAAGGGATGTGCCTCGAGGTAGAAATGCAGATTTGTAACACTACATCGATTGTGTGAGCTTTAAGGCGGTTCTGATTGCATCACAGATGCCCACATTTAAGATGATGGTCAGCAATTCCCGCTATCACTTCTACTGGAACATTTTTCAGTCCATCGCGGATGTGGAGAAGTCCAAAGCCGATCTCGCTGCAAGCAACGCAAGAACCATTGAGCTGGAGGCCGAGATGGAGCTGGCGGTGGCGAAGCCGGCCCTGATGGCTGCCCACGAGGCGGTGAACTGTTTGGACAAGGCGAGCTTGACAGAGCTCAAGAGCTTCAGCAAGGTGTGCAGCGTTGTTTGAAGACACGGCCAGCTTGACGTAGCTCAAAATGGTTGGCGACGAAACGCAGACATACGTCCTCCACGGTGGTATTATAGTTGGTGCAAAAAGTAGGGGGCATAGCAAACGGTAGAAACTGGAGAGATTTCTAACAGCATTACGCATGCCATCACGTCCTGTGCGGCCCTTGACGGTCCTGAAATTGTACTGTTAATCTAGACAAGGTGGTTCATGGATCGGCCTTGTTTCAACACTATGTTTGAGAATCCAGCACCCGGCTGATCATGGAGAACACCACGTAATGCCGCTTCTTTATGTATTATGGCACGTTTTCGATTCAGTGCGAGGGCATCGTAAGCAACGCTTAGCCGATGAAGGCCTCCCAGACCGTGACTTTGGCTGTCTTCATCTTGCCATCTGTCACCGAAATAGTGTCGCCGCATGTTTCGTGCGTTCTCTTGCATTATGCCAAGCCTCCACCCGGTGTGGATCTAGTGACGACGGCCTTGCTGATCATGGTCAAGCTCGAAAAGAAGAACTTCAGCTGGGAAAATGCCAAGAAGATGATGGCAAAGGTCGACGCTTTCAAGGAGCAGCTCGAGGAGTATAGAGGGGAGGATGTACCCGAGGTGAACGGTGACAAGCGGTTCTTGACTCGTTGGCTAACAAGAGTTGCAAAACGCTGAGAGGATGAAAGGAAGTCAGGCCGGCGCGTTGCAAGAGCTTTACGCTTGTGTCCGGAAGTATCGTTGAGTATTACTTGAAGAATTAGCATCACACAAGGGGCACAGTCTTGATATACTTTTTCTATCGTCTGCGCTTTTCCTCTGACAAAACGAAAATATTTTTTTCCTTGCGAGATTTCAATCAACGTACATTGTTTCATCTATGCTTTGTGTTAGCAGCGCCCCGTACCCCGTGGCGTTTGAAGCTGTTCGGCTCCCCCTTGATCCTCTTGCAACAGGTAATCAAATGTATCCATCTCCACCTTTAGATCTACACACATAGGCCTGACGTCCACCGCCAACCTCAAACTTGCGGAGGGGAATGCTATCCCTTCCTTCCCGTGTGGTACAGCCAGAAGCACGTAGAGGATATGGGTCTGACTCGTGATATTTTCCAACATCAAGCAGGAGGTCGTGAAGCGAGTGCAGCCCCTTCTCTTGGAGCCGGACTTTACGTACGCGGTTATGAAGACAAAGTCTGCCGCGGCAGCTAACCTTTGCAACTGGGTCATCAACATCATCAACTTCAACCAGGTGAGCGTCCCGCGCGAGTGTGTGCAGGGGGGATACGGAATATCATCAAGTTGATCAAGGTACATAGGAGTAGGAGGTGTGGTCAGCTGTCTTTCCTGTTGTGGGGATTATTTAACAAATACGACGCACATTCTTACATAGTTGTTCTGTGGTGACGAACCACTGTTTCATTCTCTATATTTGGTTTCTGCTTTTCATACCCTCTGCACCACAACACCTCAACATTGTTCCTTTTATCACGAGACGCGCATGGAACCGAACAAATTGAAATGGTTCCACCACGCACTCGGTTGCTGCCAATTGCGTGCTGAGTGTACATCTCGAAACGCTGAATTGTTCGGCCAACAATGATTCCTCTACGTTGTGGCCATTATCCACACCTTACAACGGAATCTTTCGCAGATCTACAAGAAGGTCAAGCCTCTCATGGACGCTTTGGAAGCGGCCCAGGAGGCGAAAGCCGCCGCGATTGCTGATCTATCAAAGGTAAGAACAGCCCAGCTTTCGCTTTTAGCAAAATGCACACAGCAGTATCAGTCCAAGTGCTCGCTCTTGTGCGCCCTCCCTGCGATAGGTAAGCTGGTCAGGTCCAAATAATTGAACATCTACCTCACAACAACATACCAAACGAATGCACTCGGGCCAAGCATGAAACCAGAGGGTCCAACCTTCTTTTACGTAGGGAGCACAACAGGACTCTACCTCCAACCGCTTTCGTTTGTCTTACCTACCAACACAACGCCACAAAACAGGTGGAGGACGCCTTGGCTGTTATCAACGCGCACTTGGGAAAGCTGGAGAAGTCTTTCGTAGAGGCTACCGAGGAAAAATCGAGAGTAGAGGGACAAGCTAGAGCCTGCCAGGAGCGGCTGGGCCTGGCTGAGAGGTGAAACGCGTGGTACAAAATAAGAAGTCTTACAGTAGTGGTCGGTAGAGGTGTTGGAGTACCCAGGCTGTATGTTTTCCCACCACCACATGGACAGTGCGCTGAACACCAAACGTGGCCGCACACGGTGAGCTCCGCACCTGAAAAGCAACAGGGGCACAGGTAGCGAATATTCCTGCTCAAGTAAAACACTTCACAATCCGGGGCAGGCAAAATAACTACCATGCGCGTGTCTGTGATGAAATAGATGCAACGGCACTGTTGCTTGGGGGCTGCTTGCTATCATCGACTCCGTCTTGCAGCTAAAATACCCCATTGAGAAAATATGGTGAAGCGTTGTTTGGTGCCTACGAGAGATTATTACCACTCTTCCCTTCCAACAACTGCATGGGATACGACAACCCCACACTATCGGCCCGCTCGAACCAAACGTCTGTTTTGAGATAAGCTCGAACGCCTCACACGTCTAAACGATTGAGCACCAGTTCATTGCCAGCAAACGTTTGGGAGTTGGTGTGGTGCCGGCACCTGAGCTAAACCTTTTATTTCGTCATTGACATCGCTTTTCGATTTCTCGTGATGACGCTTCTAATGGGCAAAGCGGCACTATACTCTGACTTTGGGCAGGCTAACAAAGGGGCTGGCCAGCGAGAACAAACGCTGGGGAGAAGAAGTCGAGCGACTGCGAACGAGGTTAGAAACTGTTCACGTCGGGTCGGGTGGTCGTTCCGTGGTTATTGGATCTAATGTCGTTTGTTGGCGGTGTCGTCTGGCCCGTTGATCACGCGTATCTGACTGACTATGAAAATGCAATTAATTGCGGAGGTGGATCACAGGGTAGCGTTCTGTAGATAGGCATTCTCCTCACGATCCTGGACCTTAAGCACGAAACACCAGCACCAACACCACCCGACACAAAGGGGAATCATCACCGCTTGTTCTAGGCCTATCGCCAACTCCACGCCGAGTTCCACTTCCAACGCGCCAATATTGCCCCTCTCTGCCATTGCCTTGCGTCCAATAGAGGAGCGAGCATCGTGGGAGACGTGCTACTCGCGGCGGCCTTCGTTAGCTATGCGGGAGCATTCAGCAAGGACTACCGCCAAGAGCTGTGGAGAAATAGGTTCGATACCCCGTGTGCAGATACTGATGTGGATATCGATATTGCCATTGCTGCGGCTGTTGCTGCTGGTACTGCGGTTGTTTTAGCAACGCAAGTTCTGCCTTTAACACATTGCGAAGTCCATGCCCCATGCTCTTCGAACTGGCATGGATGGCCATAATGGACCTGGAAGTAGAGTGCGAAAATGTTTTTTTATGCCTCCGCGCTCGCTATCAATAAGTTAAACCGGTTCAAGCACGCCTTTTCCGACAACTTTGTCTGGGCGAGGTTCGACTCGCCGCCCACAATTTACGTCCGGCTTCCGGCGTGCACGCTGTATGGTTCATGTCCTCGGTGATGCCCAGGTGGCTACCCGACCTAACAGCAAAGATGATACCACTTCGCGAGGGGTTAGAACCCCTGCAGATGCTGACGAGTGACAGCCAAGTGGCGGAATGGCAGAACGAGCGACTGCCGTCGGACCAAATCAGCGTGGAGAACGGAGGAATATTGACTCAGGTCGGAACTGAAACAACATGACGACGCTAGAATAAGACATTCCATAATGTTTGCTGTTGATCCGACATGTGACATACCTGTAAGGCACAAGTAGCTTCATGAGGTTCCCTCGCCCACCCGTTTTACTATCCCCATCTCTAGTGCCAGCGATGGCCGCTCATGATCGACCCGCAGCTTCAGGGCATCCGGTGGCTGCGTCGTCACGAGGAAGTCGCCACAGAGGCGAGCGGCCGATCACTTGTTGTCCTCCAGATGGGCGAGGTACGACCACCAAAGCCACCACGATACTTGTACGATCACCGGATTCTCCCGGTATTTAACCTACTGTATGCCGTTGCGACGGTTTCGGAGTCAACATAATACCTTTAGGCCTGTCTGCGTATGAAGCACGTGGTAATGCCGTATAGATTTGAAAAGAAAGCACCCGCACAGCCTGTTTATATGAAATCCTACCTGAACTTTGTTGTTCCAGAGCTACTACGGTGAGTCTGGAAATGTTAGTACTTCTGAGGTATCGATGCTTGGCATTGGGCGATAAGTACGATCTGCCGTACAGAAGCAATAAAACAGGCGAAAGGATACCTTTGTGCAGGCTACAGTTCATCGGAACGGAAGTCGTAGGACCAGCATAGCAGCTTCAGGAAGACCGCGGCGTCTCCACAGAAATGACTAAAATCACGATACAATAGAGAGCCATGGTGGTCTTGGAGGTTGTGCATTGTAGCATCTTTCGACAATATTTTCACAGTAGTATAGTGCTGTACACACTACAAGGCCCGCGCTGCTGACAAACAACGACGAGATACAGTGGAGAACAACAGCCGCTACCGTAAACAACATACCCAAAATACATCAAAGCGCAGGCGAATTGGATGAAGAAAATCGTGGCGGCCATCCAGGAGGGCGACACAATCATCGTGGAGAATTGCCCTCAAGACATCGACGCGGCGCTCAACCCGGTGCTGCAGAGGGCGGTGATTCGGAAGGGGAGCAACCTGTTCCTGCGCATGGGCGGGGAGGATTGCGAGTACGACCCGGCATTTAGGCTTTATCTACAGAGTCGACTTTCGAACCCTCACTACCGCCCGGAGGTGTTCGCAACCTGCACGCTCATCAACTTCATCGTGACCGAAAGGTAGCCCTGACCCTAGGGAGAAACTTGGGTTCTCCTCACGAATGGCTTGCTACGTGTCCTTCGAAAACGAGGCCTTGAGAAGGCGGAGACTTAAGAATATAGCTGTCGGTCCAGATGAATGTTTTGCTCGTTACAATGTTTGTGAGATGATCCTCATTGATTTCCTCGTGGCCGACTCAGCACCGCGAAACAAACTGCACGTTCTTCGCAAGTCTCCTTTAGCGTGTTCCTCAAGAAGCGGACAAGCCTTCGACGCAACCCAAGAGCTCAGCATAGGACCTCAAAACGAACACCTCTTACACCGTTGTTATGGAAAAAATCCATCTTTCCAGGGGACTAGAGGATCAGCTTTTGGCGTCGGTCGTTGGAGCAGAACAACCGGAACTTGAAAAGACCAAGAACGACCTCGTGCAGGTATCATACGGTCTGCGAAACAGCCCGAATGTACTCGGAAATAGCCATCTGGCGAGAACGCGAGCGCCTCGTCGTTGGGCGCTGAGGTGTAGATTAGATTTACACCTTTTTGGAAGGTGTTCGAGACCAAAAGGGGAGGCACTCGGAACGACGGGAACGCAGGTTAAAGAAAGAAGAAGTTTCGCAAAGCTAGCTGCGTGCACGATGTCGACTATCTGCGGACACCACCTTCACTACTTTGGCCGTGCCACACACGCTACATAAGCGCTTCAATGGTACCTGATCAACAGCGATGACGCGTTGCCCGTACGAATTACCTATATATTTAGTCGTGTGCTTGTCGACGATACACTCGCTCCTCGTTGCTTCGTTGCAGGCGTCCAACCGCTACAAAATGCAGCTCCAAGGCCTTGAAGACCAGCTGCTTCAGCGACTAGCGGATGCTCCTGCTGATATTCTTGCCGACGTTGCTCTCATCGAGGTAGGCGCTCGTTGACCCTGCCAACTCACGCCAAAATACAAACGCCAGCCTATTGTAGCAGCACCTAGGAGACGGGTGGAATATGTTCTTGGCCGCGGTGCCGAGGTTTACTTTGGCGACACGCGAAGCGCTGAAAAAACACTTGTTCAACGCGCGGGTGAAACGAAATACTTGAGTGGATTGGTCGAAGTGATCCCTGTCAGGCACCCTTGTCGATGTTCGAAAAATTGAACTGCACGACACAATAGAGAATGCTTGACTCCACGAAACGTGTAATCCCTACGACAAGTTTCAATGATCCCGAAGTCTGATTGTTTATCATGCCCCATCATGGGATTGTCCAACTTTGCATCTCCACGAATCGGTTTCCAATTCAATACAGGCGTGAAAATCTAGCATGGTGGCTCCGGTCCAACGCAGTATGTCACGTAACCCTCGTTTAGTATGTGGAGGGGGGTAGTGGTGTTTGCCGAGATCGCGGAGCTGTTTCGAGCAATCAACGAAACTGAGTGACCCCAGCACAGTCAAACGTTCGGGTCACATTGGAACTAATAGTTGGTTCTTGTGCAAGAGAATTTGCGGATAATACGGAAAGCTGCCGATGTATGGTGAATGGATATACCTGTGTGGCACGGAGAAAGCTACTGGCTGTGAAGTTGTTCTGATGGCAGGGCGACTGATCCTGTTCGCGCGCGATCCATCTACCCTTCATGGCGTGTGTGATACAAATCAGGGACTGGAGGAGATGAAGGAGACCGCTCGAGAGATCAATGAGGCGGTTGTGCTAGGAAAGGAGACCGAGGCTGGGATTAACGAAGTGCGAACCGTTGGCAACCCGACTGACAAACACGATACAGCAATCGAAAATTCAAAACTGTGTTAAGCAGGAAGAACGGCGTGCCGGGCCATCTCTACTGGAGGGCAGCGTTAATGCAATATCCTACGGGCCGGTTGAAATTTCCGACGAAAACCGCTTGCACAAAAAGGGGGGGTCCAGTTAAACCTATACACAGAGAACGCAGTCTAATTGGGACGAGCATTTTTCGCAGAGCTCGATCTCCTTGCCTCCCGAAAAGCCGAAACAGCCCCCGCACCTGTATTCCACTCCTCACAGGCTCGAGAGGTGTACCGACCGGTGGCCGCGGAGGCTTCCCTGATGTACTTCATGCTCCTCAAACTCAGCACCGTCAACTCCATGTACCAGTACAGCCTCGACTCGCTAACACGGTAGGTAGGCGTATTCAGACCACTCCGAAATCTGGTCATTATCAGCCGTTCCAAACGGAGCATAAGCAGAACGGACCCCTCTGGATTTAGGGATACCACGTACTGTCGACGGGCCAGCCGGCTCTAGTGCAGTGAGCTGCCGAGGACAATACCCCCCTCACTCTCATCTCATCGACAACCCCTCTACGTTCACCTTGTGCAACACAATGCCTAGGTTTTTCTTCAAGTCCATCAGTTCGAGCAAGCCGGCGGTTGACGACCAACCGCAACGCGTGGAAAACCTTAGGAGAAGCCTCCGATTCACCGTGTACACGTGGGTAACGAGGGGCCTGTTCGAGAAGCACCGGCTAATCTTCTTGACACAACTCACCTTCGGGCTGTTGAAGGTGCAGTCTTTTTTCGTGTTTGGACGTTTCTAGGCTCCAGAGTATCAGCTGACCTCCTCTACTCAAGCCACCTGCGGGCTACGTCATATTCATCGTCGATGATGTTTAGGCCGCCAAGGACGCCTGACGATATATCACGAACGCGAGGGTCGACCGTTACCTGAACTGCCACACCCAGAGGTCGCAACCTTTTTCGGCAAGTGTGGACGGTTGGAACGACCCTTAAAAAGCTCAAGCCCACCTCTACGAATGTTTCGGAGTAGATCCCAAATCTACCTCACGGAGGCCCTGGCAAGCTGTACAACTGTCATATTCCAGCATCCTCCACAGGGCAGTTCCGAATGTGTTGCTAGGCGCTTGATGTCCTAGATGGATGGAGGCACTTTCGCATGGGTGAATCCTACCGCCACCCTCACATTCTACCACAACCGCAACCTCCGCAATCAGTTTGGAGCATTCGGGGGAGACACCGCGTATTCCTCGGAGGCCCTGAATTTCCTGCTCAAGGGAGGACGTTCCGCCGCTGCCGGTGGGGCGGGGGATGATCCACCCCCGGCCGACTGGCTCTCCGAAACAGCGTGGAGGATGGTGCTGGAGCTGAGCTCGCTCGATGGGTAAGTCGGCTCAAGCGGCGGTTGATCGCCAAATGGGCGTGCTTCTAGCGCATGGCAAGTGTATCCCCCCGGGCGTGAATTCCACCTCAACATCGATCTCCTGAACCCAATGCCCCCGCCCCCCTTGCCTCCAAACAACAAAAGGTTTGCTAAGCTCGCCAATGACGTGGCTGAATCGGCGCCGCGGTTTCGCGAGTGGTTTGATGCTGCTGCCCCCGAGGTGGAAAAGCTTCCTCTGGATTGGCGAGAGCTCGACAAGCGACCGTTCCTCAAGTTACTGGTCGTCAAGTGCCTGCGACCAGACCGGATGACCCAGGTACGGTGGGTTCTTGCTGGATTGGACTGCGAGGGAAGAGGAAAGCCATGAAATTTTGGGAATCGATTTTCAGGGTGCATCAAGTCTCGCTTCTTGCATTTTCCATGTCGTTGGACCCGCAGTGATGTTCGCTGTAGTTGACATGTGGGAATCCATTTTTTCCCGAATGACACGGAACGCTCGCTTCAACTATTGGGAGACCATCACCAACGTTTGCAGAGTCTGAAAATCGCGATATAGTAAGAACGACAAGTGCATGTGTCCTCGATCTAGCACGGTCGATACCGCCGACGACCCTCCGTGCTGCGTGGAGGCCAAGTGCTGGCACTGAGTACGCATCCCCCGCACTCGCACTAACCCGCCCTATCGATTGTGCCCCATCGTGTCCCATCGGGTCGCGCTTCCGTCGAGCAGGCGATAGCAACCTTTGTGAGAACAAACTTGCCCGACGGCCCGGCGTTCGCTGACATCGATGCCAAGCTGAACAGCTTCCAGGTGCGAGGAGCTATCACATGGTCGCCAGTGGTCGCTACAGTGTGTTCCTCCCACGCCAGTTCTTGGACACCTATGTAGCCTCCGTTAGAAATCACCACAGGATTCTTGTTATACGAAACGATAACAAAGAACACGATAATAGTAAAGCTTCCGAAGTAGGATGGTATGAAAACGACTATCGAAGATGTTAGACCGCCAACATAATCCGTTTCATCTAGGGAGCCACCGAGGTAGTGTCGTGCCTGCTTAGAACGTCGTACACCGTGGAGCTTCGATCGGTTGCTGAATTGGTTCTTGTGACGATTTTCACCACGTTCCGTGTCGTGGGTTTGTGGCCGGGGTTGCTCGGTCTCCAGCCGTCGTTTCGCGAAACATTTGGGACTTATGAAAAAAACGCCGCAAGCAAATGCTTCTCGAATACTTCTCTGGCGTCGCACGAGTTCGACGAAACATCTTCTTTCACCCTACCATGGACCAATGTGACACATGTACTCCCGACATTATCATGAGCACCGCATTCTGGCAAATACATATCGTTCTGCGAAACCACTTAAGCGGTGGAATCCTTTTTTGTGGTAAAAATATGGGAGATATCGTAGGGGAGAAGTTCTTTGTAGCAGGGACAGGGTGAAGAAGGGGAAATGGGAATGGAGGATAAAACCCGGCTGTCGTAAGCACGCGCAACTGCTGTACTCTCACGACGTGTAGGTGCGTGGCTGAAATTTTCCCATGTTCATGCTGTTGGTTCGCCGAACCAGGTGTTGTCGGAGGCCTTCAAGGACTCTGATCCAGCCACCCCAATATACTTCATCTTGTCAGCCGGAGCAAATGTCACAGCCGACGTGGACAAGCTTGCAGACATGCACGGCATGGAAAGGGGGACTAACTACCACGATATTTCGTTAGGCCAGGTGCGAAAGCGACAGAAACCAAGTCGATTTTCTTCCTTGCTTCGCACAGCGCGGCTGCACAGGAAGCGCACGGCGAACTACTGGAAAACAAATGCACCCGAGGGTTGCGTCTTCCAGTCAATGGGTTAGCCCCGCAGTCATGCGATTACCCAGGGCAGTTCCTGTTGCTTCGAATTGCACCTGGAACGTCGAAAGGGACAGCAGATATCAGCGGCACAGCTTCATTATCGAAACAAGATTTCCTCCGCCCACGTTATTTCACCTGTGCTCACTGCCACGTTTTGGCCGCTGTGACGAAACTGTTGGTTCTTGTCGCCTTTTTTTCGTCAACGTTCCTGTGCGCGTGGCTTTTGTAATACGACATGACATGGACACCAGGGACAAGATGAGGTGGCGATGGACAGGCTAGACGTTGGTAGCGCTCAGGTGGGAGGGTGTTCCGCCCAGGGTCAGATATTGCGATTGAGATAGGGGAAGGGGTAAACACACAGGCTTGATGGGGTGGGTGTTTTGTCGGTGCCAGTGCCGTGTTTCGATCCGTGAGTGGCCAGCGAGAACCCCCTTCGAGAATTCGCCTGCTTATCTGGTTGTTCATGTCGTAAAATGATCGCTGAACAGGACATGGACAGTTGCTGCTCAAGCGCCATTGCTCAACTTCGGCATAGCCCATGACACGCATATGGGTGCAAACGGGCGGGGTAACTTGTCACCTCGCATGGTTCTGACCTACAGTGTTCGGCACTTGCGACGCTTTCCTCTCACCAAACCTTACAGGGACATTGGGTAGTGCTGAACAACGTCCATTTGATGCCGAAGTGGCTACCGGCGCTGAGCAAGAGACTGGACTACTTCAAGGAGATAGGATCAAACCCCAAGTTCCGCGTGATGCTTTCCTCGGACCCGTCGGAAACAATCCCTGTCGGCATTCTCGAAAGGTAAGATGCATTTTCACACATCTGCCTCTACCACGAGAATTGGACAGCGCATTTCGGGAACCAAAGCAACTGACGAGCTTGTGCTAACAACATAACGTGTAGGACGGGAACCACTATAGTGTATGTTTCAGTTGTGGCACTAACCCCGCACAGCCAAGGTGAGCACTTTGCAAGAAAAGAGCGTCAGTGTCGCATCAAGCATGTGTCCTTGTTCTGTTACAAAAAAAACTGTTCCTCTTCGCGAACTGACCGGTAATGTCTGTTCTACTCTACCAGACGTAACGAACCCTCCCACCCCTTGTAGAATAATGCAGGTTTTTCTTAACATGCGGTAGTTTCACCTCTCGAGCTGTGGACCAATAAGCCGGCCACCTGGGGTTTGAGCTATTCCGCCCGTGGCATAACTTACGCTTCTTTCGATGGCGCAACGAATATTCTGGCCACCAGGTGCATCAAACTGACAAATGACCCGCCCTCGGGTCTGCGAGCAAACCTCAAGCAGGCATTCGCATCTATCTCCAGGGAGGACTACAGTGACCTAGAACCAAGGTAAACATGACTTCCCTGCTCGGACTTTCTATGTCGAGCGCTGTTGTGAGACCCGTTGGGGGCAAGAACAGCAGGTCGACTTGACTGACCTGAAATCTGAGTCGAAAGTTGGAACACTTTTATTCCGCACAGTTTAGTGGTTTGCGGCTTTGGGACAAGAGAGATAACTCCGCGAAAGTTGCATGTGCGACGAAGATTGAAGTTATCTCTTGTTCGTTGCCGTCGCGCGTTCTAGTGATGCTGAAAGGCGCTACACTTCATTCAATCGTTCAATCTTTCTTGCTTGTGGGTGTGCCCGTCGTTTCGGCCTTAACCCATGTTGTGACCACTGCTATGCGCATGTGGTTGATCTTCCCAATAGGACGCAAGGAATTTTGTTCGGACTGTGCCACTTCCACGCCCTAATGCTGGAGAGAAAAAAGTTCGGTCCCAAGGTAAACAACCTGACTGCGTTATCGATACCTCATGCACTTGCTTTTGGTGCTCACGAGCAGTTTCCAACGGTACACCCCTTATTACGTTGATAGGATGCTCGGTTGAAACTTGACGGGGGACTGTTTGCTTCCACCGAGACACGACGGCCAGAAACTTGTCATTCTATGTGCTTTGCTACACCATAGGCAACGGGGCTTTTGGCCCTTGCATGTTCGGCGCTTCCTGTGCCTCTTCGAGCCGCGTGGGGTTCAAGAACGATGGCATAGTTATCGGTAACTTGCACACTTCCTGCCCTCACGTCACGTCCGCCTCTCCACCCCTTCAGGGTTTCAATATGATGTACCCCTTCAGCTCATCCGACTTGACGTGCAGCGTTGCGGTCCTGAAAAACTACATGGAGAACGCTCCAAGCAAGGTAAGGTTGTGTGCACCAGGTAATGCCGTAGCCGCTCGAACCTTGCTACGAATGAACAACGAGCACCCCCGACAGCTCTGAAAACATGTGCGGTACACTGAACAATGGTCTGCCAAGGGTTGGAGTGGTGCAATGCTTATTTTGCCTGGTAAATGTCTCGGTTCGGTACCGGAGGTCACGAAAGCATTGCGGGTGCGGTGTGAACTATGTATTGTTCTTGCCTGCTTTCTTACACCAATTCCATGTACCTTCCGATCAGGTTCCGTGGGCAGACCTCCGGTATCTGTTTGGCGAGATCATGTACGGCGGCCATATCGTCAATGACTTCGACAGGTGTGTAGGGGGCAAGGCGCCCACATCAAACGGCCATCTGTTGTTTCTTACATATGCTAATGGTGGTGACCTTTCGTTAGGTCGAGGCTGTGCTTCCGAACGGCAACGATAGATCGATGCAACAAACCTCAAGCTTTTTTATCAGGGCATTCCAGAGCAGTGTAGCCCGCACTTACCCAGCAGGAACTGCTCTCCCTTCCTCCCGGCCTTGTCTCAAAGGTTCTCCTTGGGGTTAGGGCTACTGTGAAACAGTCGTGCGCTGCCGATGTATAGAATGCTATCGGAAACACGCTTGCTTATCGCTTGTAGAACCGATGGCTGTTGATTCATCGCGTCTGACACGTGATGCCATTCCATCACTTACCTGCATTCCCCCAACGTCTTGGTTTAGTGGAAGGTTGGCCTGATTGGCACAAACCCGACAAAGTTCCTCACGCGTAGGTATAGAGTAGCCCCCACCATATGACCGGGTAAATGCTTACGACTGGAAACGTCTCTGCGATGTGCGTAGACGGTTTTACCCTGGATTTGAATGGAAAGTCCTCGGTCAAACTTGCGAAACCAGACTGCCTTCTCCACGAAGCTCCACCCGGTGCACAAGCGCCGGGTGGAAAAAGACTCTCCCTCGGCAAACGTGTCACCATCCCTTTGGTTCTCTTCTCGCCCAATTTCTGCAATGGAAGATATCCTTGACAAATGATATGCTGCTGTGCTGTTGACTGGGCCCTCTCCCAAACCTGCGGGATCCAGGTTGATGTGCAGCACGTACTTGACGTTTTTCATGAAAGATGACCTCCTCGACGAGATGCCGCTATTCCCCTACCCGGATTCGCCGCCCCAAGGGGGAAATGGTGACCCGTCTGCCGAGATTTTCATGGCTCCCTCGGTTTCCTACTCCTACGACCAGGTATGTGAAGGAAAATATACTCCGAACGTGAGATCTGGGGGAAAATACGTGAATCATTGAAAGCTAATACTCTGCCGTTTTCGATTTCGGAATATCGTACGCAGCTTGTTCTTGACTTCACAATGCAAGGATGAACGAGACAAATTGGAAGCCAACGCGAAGTAAACTCGCCTTTGAAGTGCTGTTCTGCATGACACACGGTACTTTGCATTTCTCGATTCCTGTTTCTACACACTCAGTATGATGCGTTTGTGCTAGAGATTGTGGAGAGAACAAGGAGGAAGACAGAAACAAATAACGGATGAGTCGTAAGCTTTAGATACTGAAAATAGTACAATGACAACTATTTGATGATGATTCTAGCTTTACTGGAACCTCTGAATCACCTACCTTGTAATCGACTGCTGTTCGTTTTCTTCTGCCCTATCGAGTAGATCCTGGACCACATTGACGCCACCCTGCACGGGAACTCCCCGGTGGCCTTCGGACTGCATCCCAATGCTGAGATCGGCTTCCGCACGGTAACGATAGTAGCGGCTCTTCCGTGCTCTCACCATCTGTGACGATCAGCGAGGTGCTCACGCGCACACAGACGCTGTATCCATTGTCCGCCCACGACCACTGCGTGCATGTTTCTCCTAGAAACACCAGGGGGTTGAAGCCCTTGTCCTGCTGAAACCGAGGAGTATCGGAAAGGTGCAGCGTCGTTCCTTGTTGCCCCTCCTTGTTTGCGTTCGAAGACTGGAGAAACCTCACGGCGTGACAGTTCCTGTGTGATCATGCACGCAAACACGAGTGAAACAAAGCTTGGGTGCCTTTGGGACGGTTTCTCAAACCGCTTTTATTTGATGTCAGACATTCGTCTTCCCGTACCCTCCGGGTTCGCGAACGGGTTCTGATCTCTGCTTGCTGGATGTGTCGCACAGCCTGAACCTCCAGTAGTGGATCTCACGTATGATCCCCTGTCGTGTATTATTACACAAGTAACGCCCACGTTGTAGAACGTGCCTTCATGGCGATGGCGCAGACTGCCGGTGTGGCGTCTAGGGAGTGTTTAACATCGACAGAACGTCCTTAGCGTTCATAGATGGTTCAGCATGCCAGCTTGAGTTTCAAGCGTTCATCTGCACGTCCAAGCCAGACGACGCCTCTGACAACGAGCAGCGCAAGCACGTTTTGCATCGTCTTGACAACGTTTGTCGACAACCCCAAGTCTGATCAGTTCTTCCGTCCCTTCTTGATCTCTTCGCCCAAGGATATTTCCACCGCTATGGTACACCCGCCATATACTTTAACACGCTCTCATTTGACCCAAACATAACGAGTTTCCGCTCTCTACATTAACATACTCTTTCCAGGAAACCTCCCACCAACTGCTTGCGGCGATCTTGGATCTTTCGGCCCGGGACCGAACGATGGGTCAAGGAGCCGTCAACGGCGGAGTAAACTTTGCTGAGCAGACCAGCCAGGATATTCTGGAGGTATTCAGCAGAGTGTGACGCAAGATGTGGTTACACGGTATTGCGCGTGAGAGTGTTTACAGCGAAACCCAGTCATATCTGCAGCTTGTCGTGGAACTCTTTTATCTCGGCGTGGTGGACTCTGATGTGCTCGTGAACGCAAGACAGCGAGCATGTCTTGTCCCTGCCAAGCGAAGGAACTGACGGCGGCCGAAAGCGTGGTCTGGGAAGTTCTCTCCACGTCCCCTTGTTGTCACCTGTTCCGTCTCCTCAATCTCGTTTCGCGCCTTCGACCATGGGGAAGGGTAGGGTGGTTAACATCGCAGCCCTTTTTTCGGTTTGTCAAGTAGCAAGAACGGCCCCCCCTACTTAGAACGCATTGTTGACGGCCTTGTTGCTGAAGCAGACAAGAGGTAGTTATGTCATTGTTCTCGAGGCTGTCTACCAGCCGAACGACGAACTATTGAACAACGAAAAAGACAAGGAGCCAACTCAGTTTGAACAAGGGACCTTGTGCGTTAGCCAAGCTTGGCGTTCGCTTGACTTCGCTTGGGTGCCCCCAAGGCCGAACGACCATTTGGCATTGTTTATTGTTCGTGGTGGCGATATGGTTAAGGTAGCTATTTTCTCGCACATTATCGCACTTTCCACAGAATGGCCCAGCCGCCGTACTTTGTCATCCTTGTCACTTTGTCAACATTAACTCAGCAGCATCGCCCACATCAGGGGGGTGTGGTTTCTCGGAGCTAGAGTCGATCGGGCGGTGAAACAAATTCCCGTTTCCTTCATTTCATCTCGGTCGCACGTCAGGTGGTTCGAGACGCTAAATTCGATCTGGAAGCCATCGCTGTGGCTTGCGACAACGATCTCGGGCCCTACGAGAACATCCTCTTGCAGGTACAGTAGGATTCGATAGATTTAGAGTTGGAACGTCGGGTGAGAACTTGACGATAATCTCGGAGCTTACCACATTGTCCATATCAGGCGCCCGTCGTACAGGATTCATGCCTGAATTCCCCCCAAATTTAACAATTAGCCCTCTCCCGCCAGAGACCAGCTGCAAAATGAAGGCCGGTAACTAAGGCCATGCAATAATTGCACGAGGGAACGGAAAGCCAGATCATCAAGCCTCAGCTCCATATTTTCTGACAGCTAAGCAAAGCTGTTCAGAAGCCGCAATCGTTACATGAGCCAACTTGTTCCGCGTTGACCGCGCTCCTCGTGTGCCCGCAGATCTACAAGTTGCCTCGGGTTGTCATCCAACCCCGTCGTGGTCCAAAATTCGTTTTGACGAAAAGAGGAAGACGTGACGGGGAAGGGGGTCACTATCAAAAACAAGGTTTCGCTCCATGCAACGCCCAAGTAATACCCTCAATACTCCGCTCTTCGCACCTCCTCTTCGCCGTTCCACCCCCTCCCATGCGCGCCTCAGGAGTGTGAACGCATGAACCATTTAGTGGGAGAGATAATTCGGACGTTGTCCGACTTGTGCCTCGCCTTCAAGGTAATACAGCCAGCTATAGCATGTTGGCTGATATGAGAGACACCAGGCGTTTCAACGATGACGAACAAAGACTACGCCGGCAAAGGCGTCGCCAATAGCCGTTCTCAATTTTTACTTGTGAGACGGGAATATTGACTTGCGCGAAGGCAGCATCGCACAAGCAATGTTGCATTTTGCTACACTTCAACAGCAGGAACTTGGCACAGGTCGGCGAATTAAACAAATCGCGCACGTTCTGGAATGATATTCCAACAGGGCACCGACACTCCCTCGTTGGACTTATTCCCACACTCCAACGCTATCCCCCCCATTGTTTCCATGATATTAGTTCAATCCTAATACTTGTGTACCTGGCACCGCTAACAATCCTCCCATCTTTGGTTGTGCCGATCACGCCCCGCGTACCTTGGTCATGGCCGTGGCGCTGGCTATGACCATGGACATGGTTAATTGGCTTAGGGGGACCTCACTATGACGGAGCAACTCGAGGAGTTGCAGTCGGCAGTTTCCATGGACAAGGTAAGGAAGGACACAATGATACCAGCAACAGGCGACGATGTACCGTTGTATCAGCAGTCGAACCGTTCCAGCAGTATGCAGCAGAATAAGGCAACCGCATACTCCATACCCCCTCATCAAGCACAACCGATCGGGCGCACGATGTCCATCATTCGGAAGGCGTCTAAATAGCTGTCGTATCCCATTATTTTCTCGCGATTTTCTATTGCACCTGTATCAAGGGGCCCTCCATCTGAAAATGTCGCAACACCCCTGGGTTACGCTGCAATCTTGGTCGCGGGAGGGGGGGGGGGGGGGGGGATGGGCATTATATGTCCCCGGGGGGGGAAATTTTGACAAAATCCCCGGGGTTCGGAAATTTTCGGGGGCTTTTTTTAGCGCGGGCGCGCGGGATCCCCCACAGAGCTTTTATAGGGGAATTTTGGAAAAAAACCCCAAAAAAACCCATTAATCTTGGTCTCGAGGTCTAGTGTATGGTGTAGGAAATAGTATGACGACACGAAGCCTACAAATGAAGAGACTTTTATGGGTTTTAGAATGCGGCACGAAAGTATATTCAATGAAAAGTATATCGGTTTTACTATGGGCACACTAAATCCTTTACGACAGACTGGCAAGCGTGCCGCCTAAACCCCCTATATTGCGCTGCAATCTTGGCCCGGGGGGGAGGGGTGTTCCACATGGAGGGCCCTTGGCCTGTTTGTGCTGCCGCGTGATATCAATACGGTGAGCCGGCACAGAAGAAGTCGGTCCTGGCACGATTCCATTACCATGGTTCTACCAACAATTAACGACAGTGCCCCCGTATGCTCATCGACTTCTCTGTTGTGGCATTGGCAAACTCTTAGGTTCCCAGTGCATGGGAGAAGCTGGCGTATCCATCCATGAGATCCCTGTCTCTTTGGCTGTCCGATCTTCAGGTAACGGTGGACATGTGACGTTTTATCACAGATATCCTATGACGATGCCCAAACCAATGCGTTGTTAATCTCTGGAAACTGCTTTCGGTTTTTCGCCTAATTCTTAGGGCGACCTGCGCTGTGAAAGCGTGCCCAACTTCTTTGGCCAAGACCAAACGGTGCATTGGATTTAGTGTCACCGCAGCCACACAACGATACGCAGCAGAATCGCTGTCACAGCGAAACACTGGAAACTTGTCAACTGTTTGGAAGGAGTTTTGCTTAGAAAAGAAACGGAAAAGTGAACCAGCCATCAACACGTTCGCGAGATGCATTCCTCCTCTTCCTGTTTGCTGACGTTTTGCAGACCTAGCCGAGACCTACACCACTAATGTACTCACGGACACTGCCGCTTTGGACTGTAGTATCAGTTGATGGTATGCCTACCCCTGACCCTTGCTTCGAAACAATGCTGCGGCACACACAAACGTATTCGATGACAACAACAACATCAACAACAACGTCGACAAGGCGAGACTCGTACAGCTGAGTGACTGGGTCGGAAGCCCTCAAGAGCCCCCTGCGGTCACCTGGCTCAGCGGGCTGTTTAACCCGCAATCGTTCCTCACGGCTATCATGCAGGTGACAGAACTACTGTAGTGACATAGGAAACCATTGTGTAGGAAATGCTTCTCTGTCCAAAGTAGTTTGTAAAGGTCACCGGGAAGGATGACTCTAATCTATCCGTTTGAAAGTTGTGCCACGTCAACATGCGCAGTAGCCCTTCAAGGAGTAACCCGAACGACCCTCAAAGTTCGTGTTCTCCACCGCTGCGTCTCGATGGCACAGTTTTTGACTCAAGTGGACCCGGTTCAGAGTTGTTGGTGCCCTTGGGGTTGGCGACTGGTGGTTTTCGTTGCTGGAGTTTCTGGTGGTCGCTCCTGGATGTTCGTCGGGTAACGAACGTGTATTTCCAGACATCATGGATGGACAATGGACAGGAGCTGCCTGTAGAAGTATTGCTGCTTGGTTGCTGTGCTGGTACATCAGTCCGTATGGATGGTGCGGGCTAGCCTGCTGTGCAGTCTTGCAGGTACTTAGTTGTAAAACATCTATAATAGCAGGTGTAGGTGTGCCCCGGCATACTTGACTTTGTGGACGAGTTAATCCCTGCACGCGCTACCCATGCTTTTCAGCCTGACACCATGTGTATCTCCTCGTGACGTGTCCTCCTGGCACGGTGCACGGTCGTGTTAGGTCACTGCTAAGGCTGGCGGTCTGGAGCTAGACAAGTTGTCCGTGTCCACGGAGATTACCAAAAAGGTGATGTTGTGCAGATGCCAGGCGAATTCACGCTGCTACGGAATGTTGTCGCGAGGAAGCATTTTCGTGTAGGTTGGTCAGGTGTTCTTCATGCTGTTGAACAACGCAACAATCCTCGGACTTTTCGCATTTTGGGCAAGCATGAAACGACAACGACCCTGTATGATGGTGTTTGGTACGCGGCCTTGGTGGTCAGAAAATCGCCGAATCGCCCGGTACCCGACTGATACAATCGATGTCCCACTTGTTCGAAACAAAAACGGGGCCGACACAGGTATTGTTCCACAAAGTTCTCCTTCCTCTGCTTTGACCATTAACCCAACAGTTTCACTTTCCCGTCATTTGACCGCATCAATCATAGATGGATGTCTCAGACATTTCTGTTCCCAGCCGGGATGGGGCCTACGTGAACGGCCTAAGCTTGGATGGCGCACGATGGAACTTGCAGGTGCTAATGTTCAGGTGTAGAGGTGCTGATTAGCTGCTTCCCGGTGACAAAGAAATCGAAAATATTTCAACGATCACATACTCCAGTACCAACTAAGACCTGGGTCAGTGTATTCGGACGCGAGATGCCAAACTAAAGTAACGTACGATACTTCATATTATTCAGCAGCCTGGCGCGTGCTGGGCCGCACCTTCTGTACTCCAAATTCCTGCGCTTCAGACGTGGAAAGTGCGTGCACTTCGTCAACATGCCCGTCCTCTCCCGCAAAAGAACAAGCCATACTTGTCCAAAATGTATCCCCTGGGAATAGACTATTTGCCAAAGGCTAAGTCTTCTCTTGTTTGTACTGCGTCTTGTCCAGGTGCGGTCAGCGACACGAACTACTATGGTGGTGTAAAGATGCTGTTTGAATCTTGCCAGATGGCTGAGTAATGTTGCTGTCTCATTGCTGCGATTCCCGCGAAAACGATTGGCGAAATTCCATCCGAGGAAAGGTTGGGCCCCTCCTGAACGGCTCGACTTTCATCGTTGAGCCATTCCCGACAAACCGCGTAATCACTCATTCCCACAACCCGAGGTCCTTGTGCGGTTCAGGGCACCGTCTTTTCTGCCAGCTGTGCAACTCCCCTTGACGTTGCTCTCTCGCGTAAATCCATATGGGGCTGCATGCTCATTAGGCGCAGCATCTGGAGAGCTCGAAGCCCAGGGAAATGTACTGCCCTATGCCGGTCATCACGTGTGTCGCGGTTGTTAGCCAAAGGGCGGACAACAGTGTATTCATGTGAGACATCGAAAGTGACGGTGCTGTTGTTGCGGTCATCGCTGGTGCTGCACACTACAAAGTCACCTTTGACTAGTTGGCTGAATTTAAGCACGAAACGATACGACGGGAAATGGCCGATGGACGTACGTGCAAGTGATAAATTTAGTCATTGAAGAGGCTGCAGAATTACACCCTTGCCCTGATTTAGAAATGCCTCACTACTGCAATACAGTATGTTCAAAAACATCGTGAAAAAGACACCTAAAGCAGGTGTTCTTCACCAGCAGTTTCTTTGCCACACAAACAACGTCCTGATTTCGCCCTTTGTTCGCCCGAATACTGCGTCTTCGAACAGGTGTCCCGTTTACAAGACGCAGCAGCGAGGTCCGACTTATGTATTTGATGCGTTCCTTAGGACGAAGACGCCTGTAGCGAAGTGGGTCCTCGCTGGGGTTGTCCTTGTCATGGATACTCTATGATGTAGTGATAGTGTTAGCAGTGCCAGACCAGACGGAATCCGTCTTTATTTGGCGGGTCGGTAAGATCTAGTTGTGTAGAGTACTGCATACGCCCGACCACATACATATGCATAGGGGTTCGGCATGTTTGCGTCGGATGTTCTCGTAGCGGTACTGTAGCAACATTGGCCACATCAATGCCAAGGTGTTGATGAGCCGATCCAAACCTGGAAGACGCTTGCCCCGTAAGAGAGCAGCGATCCAGGCCTAAGCGAACAATTTGATGCCCCACGAGACTACATGAAGGGATCCGATCTCACCGCAGGTCCCCGCACCGAACTTGGGTAAGGCGTTTCGTTCGATTTCGGGGTGATTTTGGTGATTTGGGGGGAGTAGGAAATCTCGAAATTCCGTAAACGCTGTTGTTCAATCGGTACGACGACAGAGGATGACTTACCGATACAAACCTATGTATGTACATATAGCTCGTCTGGACGTGGGTACAAACCTATATTCTTGGTTGTCGGCACTCATTTCCGAAGGAAATGCCCTGGTTTTGAAATCCAGATCTACCAAAGTGGGGCCAGCGGACGTGACGTGCGGGCGAACAAATTCCTTGGTTGTTGCGCTTGCCTTTCTCTGTTTGATTGATTGATTGAACATTGCAAAACAAAAACACATGGAAAACTAAGAAACTCAAGAGTCAGAAAGATCTTGTTCTCAGCTCGTCCTTTAAAACCGCGCCTGCCTCCCGCCGCGTTGAGAGTCAGAGACTGTTGAAGTGACGTATTTCGAACAGGGCCTTCCTCACCGGTGGGCTCTTTCAAAAACACGCATCATATTCTTTCTCCGTCCAACGTTGTGTGTATGCGCGATGCACGAACTCCAGATTCCAACTCATATACAGCAAATTTTTCTGGGGTGATGCGCTGGGGGGTGTGCCCGCCGTGGTCTTCGACAGCCTGACGAGCCTTGATAGCCTTGATGTGCGTTGTTCTCACATGTTGGCGGTGTTCAAAACGTGTGTAGTTACGTTTGTGACAGTGGCGCCCCATGGTCATCCGAGAGCATTTGCTGTGTGTTGTCCGGCGATTCTCAGCACTGAAAACTCGTCGTGGAAGGGTATTCGTGTCCCGATCTCCTTCGTTCGACCCAACCCCTTGGGTACGCCTCTTTTCAGTTCTCGTGTCTACGAAAAACATTCAATGCAGGTATAACTTCTCGGGGACCTGATACTTTCGTCGATCTTGGAGCTCCGTTGACCCATGGTATGCAGGTCGCGATATCTAGACATACACAACAAGGTGTTTGGGTGATTTCTCCGCCCCGCTCATCAGAAACGGTGCCACGACTCGTGATAAGTCAAGATAAGCTGTTCAATACCAGTATTTGGGAGGGATCGATAGTTTAGACTGGTGCTTGATCTTGCAAATGGTTTGGTGCGATAAGAGAGCGCCACGACTATACCAGAAAAAAACACATCGGAGAAATCCGTTTGCCTCTCCTTTGCTGCGGTATCTACCCGGTTGTTGGAGTGTTCAAAAGTGGGTTATCGTACCTTTAGTTTGAGAGAGATACAACAGGGTACCGCAGAGCAAGGCTCGTGGATCGGGATTGGTACACTGGCGACTCAGTCTACCCTTCCCCAAGGGTGAGGGCGCCAATGAGAGTGCTAGTCTCTGTGGGACCTCGGTAGGGCATCTGAATCAAGGCGCCTCAAAGGCAGACGTTCGGACCGCATCCTTTGGGAGAAGGATAATATCTCCCCATTGTTCTGCTGGCAAACACGCGTAAAGAAGTATATTGACCGAATCTAAGGCAACAATACGCTTGATGTCCTCACACTTTCGGATAGACGCCCAGTTCATACCCTGCCCTGTACCACGCCATCAGGTGCATCTTGGTCCTCCACTGATCTTACATCCACCCCCTGAACTGCACTCCACACGTCCTGATTCCGGTCGTGTTAATCAGGCCGCAACATCCACGTCAAATCGTCCTTTCGACTGTCTAGCCAAGAAAACACTAACCAAACACACATGTGCCTAATCCACACGCACGCGTCCCGCCTTGCGGTTCAACGCTACATACTCGAGTTGCCTCCCTTGGACATCATTATGTCCTGGGAAAGAAGCGCCATGTGAGTATTCGCCCCTCCACCAGTTGCCCAGAAGTGAGGGTTACCTTCCAACAAAACGTCCACACAACATTCGCACTCGTGAGTCTTGAAAGCAGTCAAGCTACAATTTCGAACTCTGATGCCCTCGGAAGGGACATGTGAAAGAACCGTTCGTGTATTCCTCTCACTACGGTGTACAGCAACGAAAGTATAGGAAAGGTCAACGTTCCGACAGATTGCAGTAATTTGAGCCTCACTACATGTGCGACCCACGCATAGCGCTCTTTCCTCGAACAACACACGGGGCCTTAGCCCCAGGGTCGGAGCAATCCCACTGGCTTCGGATGATGCCGGAGACGCAGCAGTCATCTCCACTCAATCCGAAGGGTTGGTTCCTCGCGCATCCCGTGCCACCACACTGTCGGCACTCCAGCTGACGGTGGAGGAGCACCCGGAGCAGGAGGCATGTGGTGGGGGGAAAGAGGTATCACATGCAAAGAAGCATCACATGTAAAGAAGCCCTTACTGCAGCAGGTCCACCAATTCGGCATGCAACAATGAGCTACGGAGTTTGCCATTAGTCACCATTGATCTGCAACTAAATAGACGTCACGCAACGCAACAATCCAAATCCAGAGCAAGCCTCACCGGGCAACAAACGATGCCTGGGCGACCCTTGCCGATGTTTCCTTGGATGCCCGGGTAGTAAGGAGAGCACGTGGCTTGGGGCGGTGTCGGCTTCTTTGGCCGGGAAGGCGTGCCTGGAGATAGGTGGTACGCAAGCGGTGTAGTGGGTATTCTGTTGACGTTCATGCGGTCGTGGGCAAACGTTCGTCGCTAGACAAAGACACGCAGCTGCACATCACTTTCGAATCCGCACACCTGGCACGCTACTCTACGATATTTCGACCCGGATCGAACGGTACAACAGGTGTGGATCTCATAGAGCACGGTGCGGGAGAGTGTGTGAGAGAGGACCTCGAGAAGGAACATCGATCAAGGGAAATGAAAGGGCAAGACAACGCGCTTTTCTCTCTCCTGTCTCACGCATGGACCTGACTCACCGATGGGCTTCGGCATTGGCTTCGGCATTGGCTTCGGCATTGGCTTCGGAACCGGCTTCGGCAGTGGCTTCGCCATCGGCTTTGGCGTCGCCATCGGCTTTGGCGTAGGCTTCGGCGTTGAGTGCGTCTCCGCTGCATCGAGTAGACCGGGTCGTACACGATTAGCGCGTGTCGGAGGGGTCCGTCAGGAGAGTGTGTTGGACGATCATCACGGCACAGGAGGTGTTTGGTCATACATCGGGGAGAACAAGAGAAATGAACCGGGGGAATACGTACATGTTCACGAGAAGAGTAGCAGATACGGTAAACGTGGAGAGAGACATCGAGAGTAGAAATCAAGCTGTCGCCGCGCAAGCTACGAAGAGCCGAAATCACCCTGCGTGTGGCATCTCGTTTGTGCCGACGCAACCCGGACGGAGTTCCCTGGCAATCATCACAACTCAGGCTAAGGACCCTCGGGAGGAGGATGCGTGGTTGTTGACTTTAGGAGGTTGTTAGACCTACGAAAATAGATCCAAAAAATACACAGCGATGTGCAACCATCGGAACGGGAGATCCGTGTGTATTGGGAATCCTCTCCAAGCCAGGAATCACATGGGTTGAGCCTCATTGCATGTCTATGGGGTTTGCAATCATTGCCCTTTGTTGTTCGGTGGTGTATGTTAGCGGTGGAAGAACTCACCGTCGATGACGCACGGGGCTTGAGCGCCAGGTGTAGAGCACGGGTTGCACGTTCGGATGATGTCATCGATGCAACAGTCGAGTCCACCACGCTTCTTCGAGGCACATTCTGGGCCACCGCACGTCCCGCATGCGAGCTGTTGGTGTAGATGAGTATTGAGAACGGGGGGGTGTAGACGGGAGGTCGCTTGGTCTCGACGGGAATGAATGACAAGACGAAAGGCGGCCACGATCACGACTGATACGGTGACGTACACTGTAGTGTGATGGGACTCTGATACTTGTCAGGTAGCGAGTGGCGTATGACAGTTGGCGACTCATTTGAAAACCATTTGATAAGGATGCTCACCGGACAGCAGACGATGCCATTGTGGTTCATTCCGACCAGCCCCTGGATGTCGGTGTAGATATCGCAGGTATCATGGTCTGTATTGGGAGTCGGCGCAGGCGTGGGCGCAGGCGTGGGTGCAGGCGCCGGTGCTGGTGTCGGTGCTGGTGTCGGAGCAGGGGTCGGCGCAGGCGTCGGCGCGGGAGTCGGCGTTAGAGTTGAGGCAGGCGTCGGTACTGGTGTCGGTGCTGGTGTCGGAGCAGACGTTGGGGCTGGGGTCGGCGCAAGGGTCGGCGCGGGAGTTGGGGCCGGAGGCGGTGCAGGCGTCGGTGCCAAAGTTGTCGGCGCAGGCGTCGGCGCTGGGGTCGGTGCAAGGGTCGGGGCGGGAGTCGGCGCAGGCGTTGGCGCAGAAGTCTGCGCAAGAGTGGGCGCGGGAGTGGGCGCCGGAGTCGGCGCAGGCGTCGGTGCAAGCGTCGGTGCAGAGGTCGGTGCAGGGGTCGGTGCCAATGTCGGCGCAGGTGTCGGGGCCATTGTCGGCGCAGGCGTCGGCGCAGGCGTCGGTGCTGTGGTCGGTGCTGGGGTCGGTGCGCGTGTTGGTGCAGGTGTTGGTGCACG